CTGTCCTTTTGTTCTTCAGTCTAGTTGTGGAGGACGTCGCTTCACTGGCCCATGTTGGTATTATCATTGCACTCTTCCCGGGTGAGGCAGATCGGTCGCCGGCCTCTGGACAGCTCATGCCGGCTGCTGACTGCTCACATTGGCTGCCAGCCACTCACCGTAGCTCATGGCAGCCCACTGCAGACTATGCCGTTGCCGGCAACTCACGGCAGCCCAGCTCCAGGTTGAGCTGTTGTTCAGCATCTTAGCTGCAGAGGGCGCAGCGTCACTGGCCCTCGTATGTGTGATTTGAACAGGGGTCCTGCTGCTCAGAGCTGGTGTCCCAAGCCAACTCTTAACCAACGTGCCACTCTGCCAGCCCTACATTCTGATCTTTATCCTTTATTCAGATCAATTAAGTCCCTTATAATCCATGTAGTTAACTTATTTGGTTTTGTTGATACCATCTTATTTGGGGCTCCAGATATTTAAAATCTTGTCTCTAACTTTGTAAACATAGGAAGCATCCTTGTGATTGAATCTGACACCTTCAGGGGCTGACCATTTTGTGGGTCTGTTCTATTGACTCATGTGTCTGCTGGCTTTCATACATTGTGGCTTATCTCCATGTGCTCGGTGAGTTTGCCGTTCATTGCCCTGTGTGCCTTTATCGAGGGAGGATTTATTTAACTCTGCCAGGTGTCTGGGCTCTATGAGGGAAGTCCAGGATTATTTAAAATGAAATCCACAGCCTGAGAGATTTTGGGGGGATCATTCGGGTGATACGAACTTGGGCTCCAAATCCAGCGTCAATGTGTGATTTCAATTTATCAGGGAGTTATTTTCCCTTTGCTGCTGAGCAGTAAGCTGGGGTTTTTTGTATTTTTGTTTTTTCAGTTCCTGTGCTTGGGGAAAGTAGGAAATTGTCCAGTGGGTGTAGCCTTTTGGGGCCCCAGCTGTATGGGGAAGAGTCACCTATTAGCATGTCACGTGACACTGCCCCTTTTAACCCAGGAGCCCATGAGGAAGGAAAGAGTTCGCTAGTTTGGGCAAATGCCTCAGGACCCAAGTAGTTTGCGTGCTGTGATCACCTCTCTGAGTTCTCTCTCACCTTTCTTTGGTTTGGGGCCTGAAAATTCCTGATCATCTCATTTGCTCTGTGATGCTTTTAAGAAGATGTACACCATTTTACCCAGCATTTTTAGTTATCCATAAATGAAACTGTAGCCTCTTCCCAATTTGGAAATGGCGGCTCAGAGCAGGCAAAGCCTCGGAGCAGTGACAGGGCCCAGAGGTCTGAAGAGCTGGGCATATCTAGAAGAAGGACCCACCCCCACCCTCAAAATACAAGGGCAAGTAATTTCAATGTGTAAGCTGGGCTGATGGTCTCCTTCAGGTCTGTAGAAGGGTTTCTATGGGGTTAATCTGACAATGCCATATGCCATAGTAGGAATGGGCGAGGGACACAAATGGGCGTAGAACTTTAGCTGCAAATATTCAGGGCAAGGCTTTCTGCAAATTCTTGATAAAAATGAAGAACACACACACACAAATGAAAGCTCACTCATACCCTCAACCACTTTCCTTTTCTGGGATTTATATCAAGTATGGTGATGATTGCCTTCTCTGTCCCTTTAGTCCCATGCCTGTGGAAAACTGCTACCAACATTTAGCGTATATTGTTTTCAAGTGTTCTTGTGATTATATCAATACAAAAATGGATTTACGCTTTACATGTTGACCTGCAGCTTGCTTTTTTATACAAATTGTTGGACAGTTAAGTTCGTGAACTCATCCTAGAAAAAGTGCTACATACCTCATTGCTGAATATCACTATGGTCACCTTTGAAGTACTCCCCTTGGGAAGCTATGCACCGACGCCAGTGCCTAGTCCACTTTTCAAAGCAATTTTGGAACTCTTTTTCTGGAATGGCCATCAGAGCTGTCATCGTATTACCTACACTTGATGTTCTGAATGTCATCAAAATGTCTTCCTTTCAATATTTCCTTTATCTTTGGGTAAAGACAGAAGTCACTGGGGCCAGATCAGGTGAGTAGGGAGGGTGTTCCAATACAGTTATGTGTTTACCGGCTAAAAACTCCCTCACAGACAGTGCTATGTGAGCTGGTGCATTGTCATGATGCAAGAGCCATGAATTGTTGGTGAAAAGTTCAGGTTGTCTAACTTTTTCACGCAGCCTTTTCAGCACTTCCAAATAGTAAACTTGGTTAACTGTCCAGTTGGTACAAATTCATAATGAATAATCCCTCTGATATCAAAAAAAGTTAGCAACATCATTGCAACAAGTTCATGAACCTAATTGTCAGTCCTCATACATAAAATGTTTTCATACATATGTGCCTCTATTTTCCATAGGATAAACTCCCAGAAGCAGGATTACAGGCTTAGAGAATTTGCGCTTTTTAGATTTAAAGGATACAATCAGTGGTGTGCTAGAGCCTGCTTAGATGAACTCATGTTAAATTTTCAAGAATTCTGAGAGCTGATTATTAAATACAACCACTTTTAAAAGTTATGTTCATTTTCAAATAAATAGGTCATGTTCAAAACAAAGATAATAGGGACCGCCGAGTGGCGCGATGGTTAAGAACTGGCTTGGGATGCCAGAGGGCCCTGGTTCGGATCCCACATATGAGGGCCAGTGACACTGCCCTCCACAGCTAAGATGCTGAACAACAGCTCAACCTGGAGCTGGGCTGCCCGTGAGTCGCTGGTGACGGCGTAGGCTGCAGCCCCTGTGGCAGTGGGTTTCCATGGGCTACCATGTGTAGTCAGCAGCCAGCGTGAGTGGCCAGCAGCTGTTGTGAGCGGCCGTCCAGAAGCCGGCGACTGATCTGCCTCGCCCGGGAAGAGCGCAGTGATGACTTGGGCCAGTGAAGCAACATCCTCCACAACTAGACTGAAGAACAAAACGACAGCAACTTGTCTGTTCCCCTTCCCCCAATTACCCAATAAAAAAACAAAGATAATAAATACTGAAAACTCATTGCTTCCTAATTATGTTACTACATTTTACTATTATCTGTGTTTATGTCTTTTGTATCTGGACAATAGAAATGTAACAATAGCAGCTGCTATGCACCTCTTCGTAATTTCCTGTTAAGTGATAGCATATTGATAGCTTGAAATCAACCATGATTGCAATATTTACACCTTGGAAATTGGCAAATGCTACAAATCAGCCCTCTTCCCCTTTTTCCAGACTTCCGGTCACTAAACATTTGCTGGCCCACAACTATACAACTGAATTACCCTCCCCAAAGGGTATGTACTAAGTTATACTTCCACCGGAAGTGTATTGGATCTTGCCTTTTTACGATGGGTATCTCATGTTAATTAGCATTTTAATTTGCATTGCTTTGCGCATTATTGCAAACATCTGTTGGCCATTGTTACACTGGGAGGTGTCTTCATCTTTGGCTTAGTTTTCATTGGGTTAACTGAGTTTAAAGAGAAAGAGGTTGAGGGGGTGAGAAAAAAGAATTTGGAGGTCTATAATAACCGTTTGCTTGCTGTTAATGGCAAATATTTCCAGTGTGTCCATTTTTTCCAGTGTTACTTTGAAGATACCAGATGTGCCTAGAAGGACCTGAAATCCTGAAATTCTGGCTGTACATTCAGTGTTACCTTGTTACATGTCTGAGTGGGGCTGTTTCTGCCAGTCTGTGTGTGTGTGTATCTGGTTGTGTGTGGTGTGTCTACATGTGTGTGTCACACATGTGCTCTTGGATTTGACTCCCATGTCTTCCATTTGTTCAAAGGTGTCAAGTGGGAATTGAAAGAATAATGGACCCACTGAGATACACAAGAAGGTATAGTAAGTGGAGTAGTTACTGCATGTTCTGAAGTTTACACAGTGACCATGATAGATTTTTGAGGAAAATTTTAAAAAAGTAAGCAGCTCTGAGGTCTGTCTCCTTGGAAGTGTAGATGTAGGCAGGGCTCTGGGCTTTGCTACGTGACTGGGTGCTGGGGCAGAACCCACCTCCTTCCACTAGGTCCAGAGTCTGGTGGCAAACGGGGGCTTCACCTCAAGCTTCTCCTATCCCTAAAATCCCCATTACCTTGCTAGAGCCGCTGTGCCGTGTTGTGCGGGTTGGGCTAGGCGCAGGCCCGGTCGACGCCGGCAGGGGGCGCCGCTCCCTCATTTTCTCAGAGGCTGTGCCCGCATCCTGCCCTCGGTTTTAGGCGTGTGAGGGACCAGGTCCCGCGTACTTAGATCTGAGAGGAGTCACCCGAAGCAAGTAGCCCTGAGGAGGGCCTTGGCCTGGCCAGCGTGGGCAAGCCCATGACCCCCCTGCCTGGTACGCCACTCCCGAGGGGCGGAAGCCGCGGGTCTGCGCCTCCAAGCGGCCGCGGTCAAGGGCATGGTAGGTCGGAGTTACGATGTAACACTCAGGACCCGCTGTACTCAACTCGCTTCAGGCCGCCGGGGTTGGGGACGACCAGAATCTCCACTCGGCTGCCCAGGGCGTCCAACGAACGCGCGCCGGGGTCTGACCATGGTGGGATGTGCGGCTCAGGCCTCTAGATCCCCATCCGTCCTTCAGTGGGGCAGGACCTCTACCCCGACCCTGTCAGGCCCTGGGGCGCGCACCCCTCAGGGAACACACGCATACCACAGGCTGAAGCTTTCTTTCTGGGGGGACTTTACTCAAACACCGGAACGTCGCGGGAAGGGGCGGCTGGGGGCGTCTTGCGACCACCCATCCTCAGTTTAGTGATAGCTGGAGGCCAGCGCCAAAATCACGTCGCTCAGAAACTTGTCCAGCGAGGCCTGCAGGGTGGGGCTGAAGTCCCCAGGGAAGTACCGGGCGAGGGTCACCATCAGGCAGTGGCTCAGGAGCTGCGGGGGGAGGAAGTCGTTTCCACCCGCGTCCATCTGTCCCCCACACCCTTCCCTGGTGGGAACTTCCCCCTCCCCCAGCGAGCGGGTCCAGACCCAGCCCGCATGTTTACCTTGAAGTTGACGGGGTTCACTCGCAGCTTATGGGCGTGCAGGTCGCTCAGAGCCGACAGGGCGCGGGGCAAGTCGTCCATGTGGTCCACGGCCAGAGTCAGTGCTTCGGCGACCTTCTGGCCGTGGGCTTTGACCTGGGCGGAGCCGGGTCTCATGTCCAAGTGGAGGAAGTAAGTCTTGGTGGAGGGGAAGGCCAGGAAGGTCCTGCAGGAGGAACGGAGACTGAGGTGCTGCGCCCCGGGGTGGGGGCGCATCCCCGCGGCGGGCGGAAAGGCAGTGAGCCCGGAGGAAGCCAAGGCCTGTCCGCACCTCTCCAGGGCCTCGGTCGCGTAGACGCCGACGTTGTTATTCAGCTTCTTCCACAGCGCGCGCACTACAGCCTTGTCTGCAGCCGACAGCACCATTGTGGAGCCCCGGGCCAGCTGCGCTTGCTCAGCGCGGGGTGCTATGCCAGAGCCAATCGGCCACGCGTCTCTGCGTCCTCCGGGGGGCGCCACGCCACGGAGTCTGGTTCCTTTGGGGTCCGGGAGCTTCCAGTCTCCTGCGTCTGCTCTGACCCCGACCTTCGCAATCGTCCGGGATCCCCAGCCTCCCATTTTTGTAGTGGTTTCTATATGGAAACTAATATTTAATACATAGTATTATTAGGTAATACTGAATTTTAGCATGGATTTTGGCATTGCACATCAGTTTATCATACCCCCCTCCGGAGTCTGTTATGACACCTTTCTGAGTCTATTTTCTCATTTATTGGATAAAACGAATATAATGTCTTCTTCCCAAGGTTGGTGTGAGGATTAAATGGATAAAAAATGTCAAGTGTCTCCCTCATAGCAGATGTCCCGTTCAGGACAATGAACATTTATTGACTGCCTAGGATGCATCCTAATAATAATAGCTAATACCTATGCGGCACTCATTCTCTGCCAGGGACCACTCTACACCTTTGTCATTGTTATTGTGGTAAAATTCATATAACGTAAGATTTGCCATCTTAGCCATTTTAAAGTGTACAATTCACTGTCTTTAATTACATTCACAATGTTATGCAACCATTACCACTATCCAGTTCCAGAATTTTTTCATCATCCCAAATAGAAACTCTGTATCTATTAGCAGTCACTCTAGAATCCCTCTTCTCCAGCCCCTGGCAACCACCAATCTGCTCTCTGTCTCTGTGGATTTGCCTGTTCCCGGACATTTCATATAAATAGAATCATGCAATATATGATCTTTTGTGTCTGGCTTCTTTCACTTAGCACATTTTAAAGGTTTAACCCCTTTGTATCATGTCTCAATCCTCCACTGCTTTTTATGGCTGAAGAACATTCCATTGCCTGGATGGACCACGTGTTCGTTGCCCATTCATCAGTTGCTGGACATTTGGGTTGTTTCCACTTTTAGCCCAGGCCCTCGTTTTTTGTTAATAATAAAGATTACTTCTTACTGAGAGCTGAGACTGTGCCACCAGCTGTGCTAAAAGCATCACAAACTGAGGCAGGGGACTTGCTATGTCATTTTCCAACGACCACTCTTGGGCCCGGGGATGAAAGGACATTGCTCTCAGTTGGAAGCTTGGGGCTGGACTGCAGCCAGAACTGGACACCGCAAGCCCTCATTCTGAAGTCACCTGCTCTTTGTGGAGGAAGCGCATCGGAGTGCTGGCTTACTGGTCCTGGCTCTCTTCTCCGTTGCGGCACTAGAGGCGTTGGTGGGCCTCAGAGGTGCCAGTCTCAGGACAGTGCAGTGGATGCTGAGCTGGACCCCAGCACAGGGCCTCCAGACCTGTGATGGCCCCAGGATGTCAGTGTCTGCAGGGCGGGCATCCTGGGGTGGCATCAGGTGAAAGGGGTGCGAGAAAGTTGCCTGGCATCTGCAATTGTGCTGCTTAACCCGAATTGCGTCGACTGTGTATTTGGGAGGCACTTGATGGAGAAGGGAGCATTCAGTGTGACTCTGAAGGAGTGGGACCCAGCGTCTTCCCATCATCCAACTCTAAGAGGAGCCCTGGAAGAGCTCAGAGGTCCTAGGCTGGAGGCCTGCTAACTCTCAGAGTAAGTGTGTGTGTCATAAAATGTAAAGACGGAAAAGGAATCCATTATTTGAGCAACTAGTGTTGACTCGCACAGCTCGGAAATGAAATGGAAGAGGAGAGGGAATGTACACAGCACAGCACTCCATGGTGAGAGCCGAGGGTTGGCCAGCGAATCCCCGGCAGTGGCAGCTGGACTGGCTCCACTCCCTCCTCTACCCATTTACACCCTTCCCTCTCTTCGCTGATTGCGGAGAGGTCCTCGGTACGAGGCATGCAGAACACCCACCCCTACCCTGGCAAGTTCGCGGACACACAGAACCCAGGTCACACAGGCTGCAGTCCACTCAGACTTTATTCAAAGATCAGGAAGTGTGGGTGCGCAGAGCGCAAAGGGACCCCGGGTCGGGGCAGGGATCACCGCGGCTCCAGCTTAACGGTACTTGGAGGTCAGCACGGTGCTCACGGAGGCCAGGAACTTGTCCAGGGAGGCGTGGACAGCAGGGGTGAACTCGGAGGGGTTGTGGCTGGCCAGAGTCACCAGCAGGCAATGGCTCAGGAGCTGCGGAGAGAGGCGGTGTCAGGGGGCGTCCGGGCGCGGCCGCCTGAGGCCTCCGCCCACATGTCTGCCGGCCCGGCCCGCGTGCTCACCTTGAAGTTGACGGGGTCCACACGCAGCTTGTGGGCGTGCAGGTCGCTCAGAGCGGACAGGGCGCCAGCCAGGTCATCGATGCTGCCCACGGCCTTGGTCAGAGCGTCGCCCACCTTCTTGCCGTGGCCCTTCACCTGGGCGGAGCCGTGGGCCAGGTCGAAGTGGGGGAAGTAGGTCTTGGTGGTGGGGAAGCTCAGGAACATCCTGCGGGGCGAGAGGAAGAGTGTGAGTGGCGGGGGGGCGGGGGTCTAGGGCAGGGTCGTGAGCCTGGGATTCGGATGAAGGCGCTGGCGGGACTCTTCGGGCGGGTCCGCAGTCTGGACCCTGAGGTCTTGGGGACGTGGGCGCCAGCTGGGTCGGAGCCCACCGAGGAGGTGCTGGCAGGTCCGCGACCAGGCGGCTGTTGAGCCCCGGGGTCGCAGCAGGGAAAGGAGGGCCTCACCTCTCCAGGGCCTCGGCGCCATACTCGCCAGCATTGCCGCCAACCTTATCCCAGGCGGCCTTGACGTTGCTTTTGTCGGCGGGAGACAGCACCATGGTGACTTCTTTCTGAGTCTGTGTGAGGACCAGAAGGGTGGCGGGCGGGGAATATGCGCAGCTTTTATGCGTGGGGCCTAAGGGGCACGCCCGCCCCGGCCGCGCTCATTGGCTGGCGCGGAGCTGCTGGGCTTGACCCCGACTGCAGGGGGCGCCCAGAGCCGTGTCTGCTTCTGGGTGGAGCGGTGGGGACGTCGCTCCCCGGTTGCAGAGGCACCTGGTGTCTGCGGGTCTGGATATTTCTTTCTCCCAACGATCGCTTCTTGCCCGCTGCATCCACCTCCCCCGGAAGTGATATTCTCGCCCCCTCGCTGGTGGGGGCCGGTTTGTAGAGGTGGGTCCCTTTATGGTCCCTGAGCCTCCCTAGCCACAGGCTGCGCTCTCCTGGGAATCTACCCCGGACCTAGGCTTGGTGCACGCTCGACGTGTTTTAACTTGGGTAGAATCAATGAACAAATGGACGACTGTGTGCAGGAAGGAAGAAAGGCCTCGCCTAGTCCGGGGCGGAAATAGACGCGCGCAAGAAGGTCCTCGCTCACGTATCCTCAAGAATTCCTGCTTGGAATGCTTCCTGCTTCCCTTCAGCCTTGGTTCTTCCAGCCCCCTTTCCTTCCAAAAATAATCATTGAGCGTCATTGAGTGCCAGTCTCTCGATAGAACAATTCATAGGGCTGGAGTAGGGGGTTCCCCACTCAGGCTTCTTCCAGGGTCCTGGTCCTGCAACCCCATCTCAAGAACTCACGGAGGTCCCTCCCCTGTGTGATTGTTTGAATGACTGCCTCCCTCCCTCCCCCAATCAGGTGGTCCTGGTTCACAATGACACCCCATCCCCCAAATTGTGCCTGACACAACACTCGCTAGGTAAATAGGGGTTGAGTTGATACATAAAGCAACTGCTGAGCAAGAGCTGAGATTTCAGCCTAGTTAGGGACAGAGTCATCAAACCATCATACAAGGATTGATAATCTCAAACCTCAGTAAAGGCCCTAAGTCAGCATGAAGGAGGTATATGAGGCATTCGAGGATATCAGGGTTAGCCTGAGGATCACGGGTGGGCTTCCCTGAGGAGGTGAGACTGAAGGATGAATAAGTATTAGGTGGAGTAGGGTGAAGGGGGAACCCTCCAGTTGGCTTGGAGAGGGGCAGGGGGAGAGAAGGCCTCTGTGGCTGCAGAATGAATGTGGGGAGATGTGGGGGTGATGTGGCTGGCCAGACCCTGCAGGAGGGGGAAAGGATGGACTTATGGTGAAACAGTGAGAAGGGGCCTTGCTGGTCACAAGTGATGGTCCCTTGGTCTAGTTGGTGGGACTGGGGAACTCACTAGGTTAAACATCATAACTGGAGGAGGAGAAAGGGAGTGAGAAGTCCTTGCTATGCCCTTCTCTGGGAGCCTGGAGGAAGACTGCTTTGGGGAGTGAGTTGGGTGGGCTTCCTCCAGCCCATCCCTCTGCCCACATCCCTCCCCTAAGACCTTCACTCAAGACTTGCCCTGTGTGTCTGGGAGGACATGATGGCCAAACTGACTTGGGAGGAGAAAAAAGCAGCTCAGACAAGCCTCCGTGATGCTCCCTGAGGCCCTGCCTGCTGGCCCCCTCTTCTCATTTTGTTCTTCCTGGACCTTCCCCCCAACTCATTCCACTTCCCTTCCTACCCTCCTCTCTTTTCCTGATTCTGTCCACAGCCTCTGTTCTAATCCTGGCTCTGAAGAACAAAAAGGATAACACCCTGGGGGCTTAGAAGCATCAAACACCCACTTCCCAGTCCTGGGACAACACCCCCACCCCCACCCCACCCCCATCTCCTACGCCCCCACCCCCTTCTGCATCTTTTCCAATCCCCCTGCCTCTGAGCCCTTCTAAGGCAAGACTTGGTGAACATATATCAGCCAATGGCTCACATTCTTAACATGGAAAGAGATTTTATATATATTATATACATAATCCACATATGTTGTATATAATATATAGAGAAAAATGACTTAAGAGGAAAATTGACAAAGGATATTAACAGGAAATTAACAGAAATATACAAATGACTGATATTATGAAAATAAGACAGCCGAATAAACAAACTGTCCAGACAAGATGTAGAGGAGACATGATTCGGTGAGAAGAACATGTTGCAGACAAATATCTATGATATAATGAAATGTTGGACAGCTATCATGATAATATTTTCGACCAAAAAAAAAAAAGTGTAGCTGTGTCCCCTCAGCCCACGATAGGGAGCAGTGAGCTTAGTCCTAAACTGTCAACTTGGGCTTCTTCTGCGGGGTGGAGGAACAGGGCAGACGGGACACTCTGTGCCTACTTTGAATAACACAAAAGGGTGCGTGTGTTTGTATGAAAGCATAAGTGGATTTTAATTCCTTTTTTAACCGTTTGTTTTCTATGTTTAAATAAAAATGATTTGGACTGTGGGACAGAGGAAGAGTGCCTGGTGGAGAGGGGGGAAGCTGTTCAGAGAGGTCCATGTCCCCAAAAAAAGTGGTGACCAGGGGATTGGCCACCCTCCCCAAATGTTTTTTTTAAATTAAGGTTTATTGGGGTAACAATGGTTAGTAAAGTTACATAGGTTTCAGGTATACAATTCTGTAATACATCATCTATATATCACAGTGTGTGTGCACCACCCACAGTCAGTTCTCCTTCCATCACCATATATTTGAACTCTCCCCAAAGAGTGTGTTGGTCTGAAGATCTGGGCTGGGCTGGGGTGCTGACAGTGTCCCTCAGGCAGCTGCTAGGTGGGGTGCGCAAGATTCCAGCGTGGAGTCTAGGGTTTCTGCAACTGTGACAGGGGCCTTTGCAACTATTGCTCAGGACACTGAGGTCAAACCCCTGGGAGACCCCAGGAGCCTCCAGGTGCAGAATGCAGTGTGTGTGTGGGGTGGTGGTGGGGTTTATGAGCTGGGGGATCCAGGGCTGGGCACACAGTGAGCTATTCGTGCCTGGTAAAGTGCAGAACAAGGAGCAAGGTACTCTGCTAAAGTGTCCCCCCACCAGTGCACCCCTGTGCTACAGGCAGCTAAGGCCCCTCTCTGCTTAGGAGACTGTCTCACCCACCTGCCCAAAGAGGATTACTGTGACCCAGGAAGGGTGCGTGTGGCTGCCACCCTGGTTCTAACCTACCTTCCCTCCGGTAGAGAGGAGGTGAGAATCTCACAGATTGCCCAGCGCCTGCCTCTGCACCAGGAGCTGCCTATTTGGGGGGTTGGTTGGTTTGTTTTGCTTTTATTTTTGTCTGGATTGTATGTTTGACAGTGATCCGTCAGAGAGATTTACAAGAGGGTGGCAATCTTAGGACTCCCCATTTCCCTCGCCCCAGAGAGGAAGCCTTGGAAACCTGGCACCTCCCAGTGCAGGAGCTTGGTTCGGTGCATTCCTGGAAGCGTCAGCCTTAGGTCCCCTTCCTCTTCCTCCTCGCTCCCGTTCCCTCTCTTCGCTGATTGCGGAGAGGTCCTCGGTAGGAGGCATGCAGAACACCCACCCCTACCCTGGCAAGTTCGCGGACACACAGAACCCAGGTCACACAGGCTGCAGTCCACTCAGACTTTATTCAAAGATCAGGAAGTGCGGGTGCGCAGAGCGCAAAGGGACCCCGGGTCGGGGCAGGGATCACCGCGGCTCCAGCTTAACGGTACTTGGAGGTCAGCACGGTGCTCACGGAGGCCAGGAACTTGTCCAGGGAGGCGTGGACAGCAGGGGTGAACTCGGAGGGGTTGTGGCTGGCCAGAGTCACCAGCAGGCAATGGCTCAGGAGCTGCGGAGAGAGGCGGTGTCAGGGGGCGTCCGGGCGCGGCCGCCTGAGGCCTCCGCCCACATGTCTGCCGGCCCGGCCCGCGTGCTCACCTTGAAGTTGACGGGGTCCACACGCAGCTTGTGGGCGTGCAGGTCGCTCAGAGCGGACAGGGCGCCAGCCAGGTCATCGATGCTGCCCACGGCCTTGGTCAGAGCGTCGCCCACCTTCTTGCCGTGGCCCTTCACCTGGGCGGAGCCGTGGGCCAGGTCGAAGTGGGGGAAGTAGGTCTTGGTGGTGGGGAAGCTCAGGAACATCCTGCGGGGCGAGAGGAAGAGTGTGAGTGGCGGGGGGGCGGGGGTCTAGGGCAGGGTCGTGAGCCTGGGATTCGGATGAAGGCGCTGGCGGGACTCTTCGGGCGGGTCCGCAGTCTGGACCCTGAGGTCTTGGGGACGTGGGCGCCAGCTGGGTCGGAGCCCACCGAGGAGGTGCTGGCAGGTCCGCGACCAGGCGGCTGTTGAGCCCCGGGGTCGCAGCAGGGAAAGGAGGGCCTCACCTCTCCAGGGCCTCGGCGCCATACTCGCCAGCATTGCCGCCAACCTTATCCCAGGCGGCCTTGACGTTGCTTTTGTCGGCGGGAGACAGCACCATGGTGACTTCTTTCTGAGTCTGTGTGAGGACCAGAAGGGTGGCGGGCAGGGAGTACGCGCAGCTTTTATGCGTGGGGCCTAAGGGGCACGCCCGACCCGGCCGCGCTCTTTGGCTGGCGCGGTTCCAGGAGGTGCGGGCCGGGGACAAAATCTTGAGAAAGGGGGGCGGGCGGGGCTTTTAAGGCCGCCCTCAGTCTCTCGGTCTCCGGCAGGTGGAGACCCAGCTCTCCAGGGTACTCTTTATTGCAGCTTCTGCTGTTCCGGGGTGTTCACACAGTTTTCCGAGCCACCCAAATCCACCGCGCACCCATGTTGGCTGGGGCCGAGGGAAGCTTCGAGAGACTTTTATTTGTCGGTCCCGGAGGAGAACACAAGTTTTTCCGAAGTGAAACACGGTGTTTTGGCACCATACTTTGCGAAGGACCCAAATCTGTCAGTTGTCGATATAAACAGTGAGGGTGAAGGATAATATGGGGTAAATCCTCCACACTTTGTACCCCCAGGGGTGGGCAGGCCTCCTACGCAGCACTTGGGGAGCTCTGCCAAGTCTCCGTCATGGCTAGCCTCCGGCATCCCCCTCAGACTTGGGGGCCTACCGCCCAGCCAGACTCCGTACTCCCCTTCCCCAGGATCCCTCCCCCCCCCAGCACAGACCCAAACTGTCAACCCCGCATTGCCCTCATTTAGAGTCTGGCGCCCAAACCACAGAGGTGAGAGACTTGGGGGAGCAGTGGGGGGAGCAGGCCTTGGCTGGAAAACCCCCAGAGGCTGAGACACAGCAACTGGGACTGAAGTGTGGGGTGGAGGTTGGGCAGCCAGGGTCCTGCCAGGCACTGACCTTGCGTTATGATCTCATAAATTATTTCAAAGCCGAGTAAGGTTGTTTTTTTCTTTTCCCCCATCCCTGAGTTAGTTTGTTGATGGGAACCGGGTTGGAAACCTGCTCTATCTGCCAGATTGTGGCCACCTAGGAATCCCTCTGTACCCCCACCTGCCACCCCAGGAGATTCTGAGGAAGGGGCTACCTTGGCCCCTGGGCCTGGGTGCCTAGATCTGTCTGCAAAGGAGGCAGCTCCCAGTGTGAGGTGGAGAATGAATGAATGAATGGATGAATGAATAAAGTAAATGCAGATGTGATTTGCCAACAGTATGGCACCCCCTCAGGTGCCCCATGCAAACTGAAGTCTTAGAGGATCCCTCCATCCGAGCACCCACTCTGCCCCACCACATACTCCCCCCACAGGAGGGCAACTATTGTGGTCAAGCCTTTGGGTGTCTACGCACTTCCTAGGCCCAGGATGGTCAGCCTGAGAACCATCCCCATTACAAGTCTGGAGAGCTCTCAGGATCCACTCCAGGCCCCCATTCTCTTGTTAGCAAAGTTTTAGGGTCACACCCTAAGATTCCTAAGTCTCTCTGCCCAGCAACAGTGACTTGAGCCCAAAGACCCAAAGACCACACACGGACAGTTCTTGCCTCAAAAGGCCTCTTTATTGACACGCACAGACCTAGGCCAGCGGGCAGGGGTTCAGCGGTACTTCTCGGTCAGCACCACCGCCAAGCCGGTCAGGAACTTATCCCACGCCGCTTGCATCTCCACCGTGTACTCGTCCTGCAGGTGGGAGGCCAGCACGACCTGGAAACACTGGATCAGCAGCTAGGGGAGAAGGGGCGGGTTGAAAGGGTGTCTGCCCCCTCCAGTTCCTCCTGGAACCCCACCCACGACCCCCTCCTCCCCAGGCCTGTGCGCGCCAACCCTTTAGGGGCCGGGGCTGCCTCACTGGGAAGTTGGTGGGGTCCACGCGGAGCACGTGCGCGTGGAGGTCTGCGAGCGGGCTCATGGCCCAGCGCAGGTTGTCCATGTGCTGCACAGCTACGCCCACCGCCTCCAGCATGCGTTTTCCGTGGCTCAGTAGGTGCACCTCGTCAGGGAAGGGGCCCAGGTGCTTGAAGTAGGTCTTTGTGCTGGGGTACACAGTGAAGAGCCTGCGAGAGCAGGTCAGTGGGAAGGACAGGCGCGTGAGGTCCCTGCAGCGTCTGCAATCGCCCATACCCCCTGGAAACCCGGGTCTGGCCTGCCCCCTCGGGACGCAGGCCTAACACCCCGGTCTCCGCCTCCCTGCGATCCTGGAGACCCCGCACGTACCCACCTGAGCAGCAGCTCCGCCCCGAAGGGCGCCTCGTGTCCCGCGATCAGGTCCCAGACCTGCGCGACCTGGGCACGCTCCTGAGTATTGAGCATGGCGTTGGCGTGGCGTGCTCTGGGGGCTGGCGCCCGCGGACCCCGCCTCTTTATATTAGCATCCCCAGCCCCGCCCGCTCTTATCTGCAGCAGCGCGGCGGGAACTCGGACACCCTCGGCCCGCACCGGGAAATGTCGCCAGCCCCCCACCCCCAGGTCCCCACCACCGCGGAGACCATGGCCTCAGGGATCATCGGGTTAGTGGCACAGACTCACTCCGCTGTGCGTGGGTGCCTTTGCTGCAGACACTAGGAGGATCTGTGATGACTTCCTCGCGGGCGAAGTTACTACTTCGCTCGCCAATAGGAAGCCGATGGAAAGAGTGCGAGAAAGAGCGCGGGGCAAGGACCCCCTTTTCCATGAGGGGCAAGGAGGGAAACTGTATCAGGTGTCCTTGCAGCGCGGGGGCTATGAAGTCAGGCTTTGAAAAAATGTCTCCTGAGTCCCTACACGCACCCAACACGCTGAGTGAAGCGACAGTCTTTGGGCGATTTGGGAAGAGGGTGAGAGGCCCAAACGCACCCAGAGAAAACGGCGTGGGTGGACTGCGGCTGCTCTGCTCTCCCCAGGTTGCGACTCTGAGGTCCGCAGATGCAAGGACTGTCCCAAAGCACCCTGGGAGTGGCCTCCAGGCCTGGTGTGACCCCGGGGTCTCCCCCATTTGATCCCTCACTTTGTCCCCTCCTTCCCCCCAATACTGAAGACGCAGGACTCAGCTCATTCCATCTTCATCCATTTATTGGGGAGTACCGGGAAGAACTGTGGGAGTGTTTAAGGGTAGAGGGGAGGTCGAAGCCTGGCCCCCGGGGTCCAGTGACTGCAGCTCAGCGGTACTTCTCGGTCAGTACGCTGGACACGATGGACAGAAACTTGTCCCAGGCGGCGTGGGCGTCAGCCGTAAAGTCCGCGGGGAAGTGCGAGGCCACCGTGACCAGCAGACAGTGGGACAGAAGCTGGGGGGCGGGAAGAGCGGCTCAGCACGCATGGCCCGGGTGCTCTCTGGGTGGGGGCGGAGTCCCTCTCGCTGAGACACAGCCCTTCTCGCACCCGGGCCCCGCCCCTATTCTGACCCAGTCGGGACCCCCTCCCCCTCGCCCACCTTGAAGTTGACCGGGTCCACGCGCAGGATGTAGGCGTGCAGCTCGCTCAGCTTGGACAGGGCGCCCGCGATGTTGTCGATGCTCTTGACAGCGTCGCCCACGGCGGCCACCACCTTGGAGCCGTGCGCGCGCAGCTGCGCGGAGCCCGGGTGCAGGTCGAAGTGCGGGAAGTAGGTCTTGGTCTGCGGGTAGCTGGCAAAGAGCCTGCGGGCCGGGGGCGGGGCATGAGCGCCGGAAGAGGGCAGCCTGACTACCTCCCCACCATCCAGCCTGCCCCTTTCCGAGCTCGAGGACCCAAGTGCCACCTCGCCACAGGCCCTGCAAGCTGCGCAGGTCTCCCTTCGCTCCCAGCCTGCTGCCTCACACCCAAGCTCGTCTAGCGGCCCCCCATATCACTCCCACCACCCAGCCTTACCCCCCACACCCCGCCCTATTCCAGACCGCTGCAACTCCCGGCTTGTCTCTGCTTCCAACTGGGTCAGCACAACCAGCTCACCAAATCCAGCCTCCTGGGCCTGCAGCCCGTTTCACTTCCTCTGGCTACAGGCGCCTCCTTCCCAGCCCTTGACCTGGCTTGCAGCTTCACCTCCTGCCAGAAATAACGCTCTCCCCAGCAGCATCCCGGGAAGGGCTCTTCAGGGAAGCCTCTTTTTACTGTGCTTTCCCCAGGATCAGAGACCCTGATATCAGTGCTTCAAGGCCTTGGAAGAAACTGTCCATGCCCTTCCGGTGGATGCTTGGGCTTGGTTCTGCTCACACCTCAGTGAGCCCAGGGTCAGTCAAAAGTCTGCATAATTCACCTTCCCCAGCTCACTGTCCCCTGTCCTCACTAACTTCACACTGTCACCTACCTGGCACCATCCCACCCTGTCTGGCACTCACCTCTCCAGGGCCTCAGTGCCGATGCCATCCGCCTGTGTGGCGATCTTGCTCCACATGGACATGATGATGGTCCTCTCAGCCTTGGTCAGAGACATGGTGGCGGCCGAACTGGAGCTGGGCAAGCCTGGGCTGGCCTCGGTGGTGCTCAGCCGCCAGGCCCCCTTATATGCATGGAGCCGTGGTCTCGTCGGCTGTGGGCATTGGTCAGGAGAGGGTAGGGGGCTGTGTGGGGTGGGGTCTCTTATCAGATCCAGTGACAGTGGGCAGTCAAAGCCTGCAGGAACAGGGGTAGTGAGGGGCTATCACTCCTGCCACCCTTGTTGGGCCTTAGAGGGGGCGTTGGCCGCAGCCTGACCAGAGTCCTGCAGAGATAGGGGCCCAGCCAGCCGAGGGGGTCATGCCCGCCTTTGCGGCCCAGCCCTACACCTTCTTTGTCCATTTCAGAATCACAGGATGAGGGAAGCTAGAGGGGCAGGGCCCAAGACACGCCCTCCTCAGGCTGGAACATGTCCTGTGCTGCCTGCACTGCTCTTGCCTCTTCGGTGGGATCCTGTGGCTAGCCCACCCTGGTCTCATGTCTGTCCCCTCCCCCTTGGCTCTATGATTCCTGAGCTTTCTCTGAGAAAGCAATGGTTTTGCCCTCCTCGTACTGAGGAAAGATGTACTGACTGGGTTTGTGCCCTGAGAAGCTAGCTCAATACAAGAGAATTCTTCTAATATCATGTGCTATTAGGGATTGCAATATTGCTTACCATATCATCATTTTAACATAACGAGGGAAATGGTCCTTTTAATTTTATTTTAACATGCAAAGAAATTGGCTTTTTTTTAGTGTACTTTTCTGTGAACTTTGACATGTGTATAGAGTTGTGTAACCTCCACTAATATCAGGATACACAATAACTCCATCACCCCCAAAAGCTCTCCTCTGCCACCCCTTTGCAGTCTCACTCTGGATATAAGTTCTTTGTCAGTTTGACGGGTCATATTGCCCCCAAGGGTGTAGTTTGCCTCCACTATCTTAATGCTGTTTTTGGTTAAACAGACATTTATAATTTTAATGCAGTATAAGTTAGTGATTTTTTTTGGTCCTGTTTAACAGTGTTGTACTGTTCTATTTACAATCACCAAAAGGTGGAAACAACCCAAATGTCCATCAGTCGATGAAAGAGTAAACAAAATGTGGTGTTTTTTGGGCACCATACAATGAGATATTCTTTTTTTTTTTTAAAGAAATTTTATTGGGGAACAGTGTGTTTTTCCAGGACCCATCTGCTTCAAGTTAAGTAGTTGTCTTCAATCTAGTTGTGGAGGGTGCAGCTCCTTGGCCCATGTGGGAATTGAACCAGCAAGCTTGTTGTTATGAGCCTGTGCTCTAACCACCAGAGCTAACTGGCCGCCCCAAATGAGATATTCTCTAGCCATAAAAATGAAGCAGTGACACACATTATAGCATGGATGAACCTTGCAAACATACTACCTCAACAAAGCCAGACACAAAATACCGCCTATTTTATGATTCCATTTATATTAAATGTCCAGAATAGGTGACTCCGTAGAGACAGGAAATGGATGACTGAGTGCCAGGGGCTGGGGGGATGGGCAGCCATTGCATATTATTAAGTACCAGGTTTCCTTTGGGCATGATGAAAATATTCTGGAACTAGAGAGTGAAGATATTTGTACAATCTTGTGAACACATAAAATGCTACTAAATTGTTCCCTTTAAAATGGTTAATTTTGGTGCTCACTTCAGCAGCACAGATACTAAAACTGGAACAATATAGAGAAGATTATCATGGCCCCTGTGCAAGGATGACACATAAATTTGTGAAGCGTTCCATATTTTTGGGATCACTTCATAAATTACACAATTATCTAACCACTATGCTGTACACCTGAAACTAATATAAAATAATACTGAATGTCGACTGTAGTAAAAAAAATAGTCACGGGATGTGTAGTGTATCATGGGGAATATAGTCAATAATGTTCTAATAACAGTGTACAGTGTCAGGTGGGTAGTAGACTTATTGGGGATATCGCTTTGTGAGTTATGTAAATGTCTGAGCACTATGTTCCTCTGTATGCCTGAAACTAATAAAAAAATAATAACTATACTTAAAAAATGGTTCATTTTGTGTTATGCAAATTTTACCTCAATTTTTAAAGTAAGTGAAATAAGCATTGTGCCAAATGCTGAGGTGTAGAGAACTGTCTATATTATCATTCTAAGAACTTTATTGTTTGGTGTTTTGAGTGGGGGCAACAGCCCCCCTTGGACTGATTTTGGGTGGTTGTGAGGTGAGGCCTGCGGTCTGGTTTTAGCTGACTTTTTTTTTTAAAACTTTATTGGGGAACAGTGTGTTTTTTCCAGGACTCATCAGCTCCAAGTCAAGTCGTTGTCTTCAATCTAGTTGTGGAGGGCTCAGCTCACTGGCCCATGTGGGACTTGAACCGGCAATGCTGGTGTTAAGAGCCTGAGCTCTAATCACCTGAGCTAACTGGCTGACGTTTATCGAGTGTCTTCTAAGCCCTAGGCACAGTACCACATAATCTTCATGTTGGGCATTTGACTCTCACTGCTGTCTGTGAGAGAAGTGTATTTATGTTATTGTCATTACATGTTTTAAGATATGAAAATGGAGCTTCAGGAAGGTTAATGAAATACTGGAGGTGCCCAAAAAGTGGATACACATGACTGATTTTCATCTTTTGTTATCGGTATATATTGAGTACTACAATTTTAATACAGTTTTTACCTTTCTTAAAATGTATATACATTTTTTTGGCACCCTCTGTATGTTTGAAGTTTCAGTGCAGGAGGGAACCAGTCCCAGTGGAACAGGGGGGTCTCGGTTTGGTATGGGCCAGGCTGCTGGCTTTTTGGGGGTCGGGCAGTCTCTTCTGTCTCTGGGCCTTGGTTTCCTGTGACACAAGGATGCCAAGCCTGTGGTCCTGGACACTGATACCTGCTGGTCTCTAGGAAGAATTCAAAGCCCCAGGCTTGTTCTGAACTTGTGTAGCTGGAGCTGAGCTCAGGGGGGCCTCTGTCACTCAGTGTGGACAGGGGTCTGCAGACCCTGCCCTGAGAGCAGGCCCTGGGTGACCCCAGGCAGGCTAATTACCATTGTGAGCCCCAGTTTCACTGTTTCAACCTTTCAGATGGGGGTTAGAACAGCCTCCACCCCACTGTTAGGAGGGATAATGGCATCAAGAATTCAAGCTTATCATAGTTTCTATTGTGGGTGAGTTATTCCTCCTGGGCAGGAACACTGCACCAGAGAAGGTGGAGGTATGGAGGTGGGTCCCAGATAGGGTCTTTGAGTCCCACCCAGCCCCCTGACAGATGGTGTGGCCCTGTCAGGCCCAGGCTGAGTGGCAGGACTGATAAGACCTGGCCATCCTAGCGGCCTTCTGGCCCTGCCTAGGGGGGACCCAGGCTGGGAGGAAGGGTCAAGAGTTTCAGACTTCAAGAATCCACGTACCTTCCAAAAAGTGGTTCCACAAGAGTCATTTAAATTTAAAATGAGGACTTAGAGGTGTAGGGTGTTCTCAGGGAAGAGCCTGTATAGAGCAAAGGTTGACTCTGTGCATGTCACTGATTAGGAGAGAGCATGAGGGCTTCAAGCCAGCACTGCACTTAGAGACCATCTGTTCCCAATCCTGTTACTGGTGGGAACTGGAGACCCAAAGCATGGCCATCCTGCTCTACCTGGTCCCTCTGGCTACCAGCACCAGGCTGGACTGGCCCGGGGAGTGACAACAAGCTCTGTCTTCCATTACAGCCTCATGAGATCGACACACGTGGACACTGAGCTGCTGCCGGTGTGGGATTCAGACCTCTGCTCGCTCCAGTCCAACCCTGGACATTCCCACACCCAAGTCCTGTGAAGGCAGCCTGGGAAGGGATATACCCGAGACCTCTGTGGGCCAGGATCCCACAGGTGACCCCCCATCAACTTCTATGGATTACAGTGCATATTACGATGAAAAGATATTAACCACATAGCCTGAGAAATAAACAGTGAATGCTCTTATGAAGGCTACAAGCAGGAAGTGGACCCTGAGGGGGTAACAGGGAATGGTGGGTTCCCCTAAGTCTAGGCCTTCCCCAGCCCAGAGACAGCCACCGCAGAGCCCTTGGACACTAGACCTGCTCTTTCAGGTTCAGGGGCCATGGGACTGTCGGATGGGGTAGCAGCATGGCCCAGGGAAGTGGGAGGAAGGAGGCTGGACCAGAGCCCTTGTCCTTATGTCTGGGCACCCACAGATTCCTGGTACCCTTGTGGGGAGGTCCCCGTTACCATAACTGGCCATCTTCCCAGAGAGTGGGCTCCCCCTTCCCCATCTGCCCATCTCTCCCAGCCTCACCTCCTTCTTCTGCGCCCTTATTTCCATTCCTGGGACACTCCTGGGAACTGTGGGATAACTCAGAAACCTTTTGATTATACATAATATCAAAACATACCAGACTGGGGAAAAGGCTCGCAGAATCTGTAACCAAGGGTAACTATCTCTCACAAAGAGAACGTGTCCAAACCATCAAAGAAGGACAAACAAGCCACCAGGAAAACAAGATGGCAATTCTCAGATACTGGCGAATAATCAAGTGATACAGTTCTCCACCTCAGGAATAATAAAAGAAATGCAACCTAGAATAAGATACCATTTTCTTTTTTAGGAATTTTTTGGGGAAAAGAAAAAAGTCAATGCTATGCAGCCCCATGGAGGGCAATGGGGCTTGTTAGTAATGTCTGAGGCATTTCAAATGCATGTACCCTTCACCCTGGCAGATTTGTTTAACCCACAAATCTGTGTCAGTTGCAGTGCCAGGAGGTTACTTCAGCAAAGAAAATGCGTATCCCTTAGTCCAGCGGTTATGTTCTCAGGCATGTGAGGTGTTTGAGAAAGGTTTGGAAATAGCCACCATAGACTGTTAACTATAATCACTTCCTAGGGAAGACTGAGCTCAAATGGGTGGGGTGATTTTTCTGACTTTTTAAAAACAGCTGGGGACGGCCAGTTGGCTCAGGTAGTTAGAACACAGGCTCATAACACCAAGGCTGCTGGTTCGATTCCCACATGGGCCAGTGAGCTGCACCCTCCACAACCAGATTAATGGCCTGACTTGGAGTTGATAGGTCCTGGAAAAACACACTGTCCCCCAATAAAGTTTTTTTTTAAAAAACCCACATAAAAATAAATAAAAACAGTCGTATTGAGATATAATTCACGTACCTTATAGTTCACCCATTTAAAGTATGCAATTCATTGGGTTTTCATATATTTAGTATAGAGTTTTGCAACCATCACCACAATCAAATTTAGAATATTATTCATCCCAAAAGAAACCCCAGATTAATTACCAGTCACACCTCCCCAACTACCCCAGCCCTAGACAACCTAATCTGTTTTCTGTCTCTATGAATTTGCCTAGTTTGGACATTTATAAAATGGAATCATACACTATGTATTTTTTCAGAGTTCATTCATTGGATCAGTACTTCATTATTTTTTATAACTGAATACTCTTCCAATGTATGGATTATACCATATTTTATTCACCCACTGATCAGTTGATGGACATTTGGCTTATTTGCACTTTTTTTTTGCCTATTATGAATAATGTTGTTATGAACATGAAAATTTTTGTGTGAACTTATGTTTTCGTTTTTCTCGGTTATATACCCAGGAATGGAATAATTGGGTTGTATGGGAACTCTATATTTAACCTTTAAAAAATAATTTTTTTTTAAATTGGGGAACAGCCATGGTCATTGGTTACACATTGCTTTTATACTACAATGGCATAGTTGACTCTTTTAAGGAGGGCACAGCTCACAGTGGCCCATGTGGGGATCAAAACAGCAACCTTGGTGTTATGAGCACGATGCTTTAACCAACTGAGCTAACCAGTCATCCCCTATATTTGACCTTTTGAAGAACTGCCAGACTGTTTTCCACAGCAACTGCACCACTTTACATTCCCTCCAGCAGTGTGCAAAGATTCCAGTTTCTCCAAGTCCTCTCCAACACTTGTTATCTTTTTTATTATAGCTATCCTAATGTGTGTGATGTTTTCTCTCTCCCTCTCTCCCTCTCCCTCTCTCTCTCTCTCTCTCTCTCTCTCTTTCTCTCCCCCCCTTGGTTCTCATTTGCATTTCCCTAATGAATAATGATATTGAACATCTTTTCATGTGTTTATTGGCCATTTGTCTATATTTTCTGGAGAAACATCAATTTGCTTCATTTGCATATTTAATTGGTCATCTTTTTATTGTTGAGTTGTAAGAGTTTTTAAAAAATATATCTGGACACAAGTCCTTAATCAGATATAAAAATTGTAAATATTTTCTCCTATTCTGTGGGTGCTTTTTTTTTACTTTCTTGGTGGTGTCTTCTGAAGCACAAAAGTTTTTAATTTGATAAAAATCAATTAATTTTTCTTTAGTCACTTGTGCATTTGGTATCATATCTAAGTAACCATTACCCAGTCTAAGGTCATTAGTTACCATTATTATTATTATTAAGAGTTTTATAGTGTTAGCTCTTACATATAGGGTTTATGATTCATTTAAGTGATTTTTTCAAATTTTATTTTAGTGCTTTATAGTTTAAACTTTCTTCCCAAAGCAAGGGTTACTTTTATGTTTTTTATTCTTTAAAAAAAAGATTTTATTGGGGAATTGGGGGAGGGGAACAGTGTTGGGGAATTGGGGAGGGGGACCAGCCCAGTTGTTCTTCAGTCTTAGTTGTGGAGGGCGCCAGTCGCCATCTGGCTGCCCATCTGGCTGCCCATCGCTGCCGCTCCTGGCCTCCAAGCTCCAGGTGCTGTGTTCAATCTTAGTTGTGGGTGGGCATAGCCCACCATGGAACAGGCAATCTTTTTTTTTTTTAATGTTTTATGATTTCTATTTTTTTATTACAAAAATTGCGCGTGCGTGCGCGCACACACACACACACACACACAAACACACACAACTTTAACACATCCAACTTTAACAGCTGCCAACTTGGATAATCTTGTTTCAACTAGGCTCCCTCCTTTACTTTCTCCTCTGTTATTGTTTTCTGTATGTAAACTTTTTTTTATTAAATTATTTTTTATTATGAAATACACATTTTTTAGAATTTGTTTCAGCTGTACAACACAGTGCAATAGTTATACTTTTTACTCCTCGAAGTGACAACCCCCCTCCCCCAATCCGCCGCCCCATTTCCCCCCAATATCATGCATATCTATTACAAATCCCTTGATTCCACTCCCACACTATACTCCATGTCCCATGACTATATATATTACATACACATATATATACACATACACACACATATATATACATACATATTCAATTATAGTTGACATACAATATTATACAACATCAGCTTCAGGTGTACAGTGCAGTGATCAAGCCTCTTCCCCATCCATGATGCAGTCTCCCTAGCAAGACATGTGACCACCTGACACCCTTCAAAATATTTACAACATTATCAATTACAATCCTCGAACTGTCCCCCATGTCCCCATGGCAACACTGCAGCTACGTATTTATGCTGTCCAGCCCCCTCCCTTTCTCCCTCATCCCCACCCCCCAATCAACAGCCATCAACTGCACCCCCACATCTCTGAGACCACCTCTGGAACAGGCAATCTTATTACACCAGCTGAGCCATCCTGCAACCTGTTGGCAGCTCAGCGACAGCTCAGCTCGGGTGCAGCATCACTGGCCCATGTGGGAATCCAACCAGCGATCCTGTTGCTCAGAGATCGTGCTTTTAAGACAACCCTTAACCAACTGAGCCACTCGACCAGCCAACAAGTGTTACTTTTATAATGAAGAAAGCAACATTCACAGACAGGTGTTTTCAACCCCAGGGCTAACCCGACCAGGAGTTTCCAATTTGCGCTGATAAGGCTGCTGCCTGCTCCCCAAGCGGTCAGTGGGAAGTTCCACGCGGACTAGTAGCTCCTCAGCGAGAGCGAGAGCCGAGCGCCTGCGCACACGGCCGCCCACGCCTGCGCAAAAGCCCTCGCCCCGGCGCTTTTGCCTGCCCGGAAGTGTGGCGGAAGTGTCGCGAGCCTGGTGGGGCGTGCTCGGTGGCGCGCAGGTTTGGTGACTGCCGCGCTGGCTCCGTCGGCCTAGCTCTCGGGCCGGTCCTTTCCGTGGCCCCGGTCGCATCCTTGTCAGGTCCCCTCATTCCCTGGCCCCGGACCGTTCTCCTCGGAGCCTCCCACCCACCCCACATCCCGGGAGCATCTCCCTTAGGCGCCCTTCTCCCCTCTTCCCCCCGCCCCCTCACCCCGGTCCTGGACCTTCTCAGCCCCCTCCACCCCCACACTTCCCGCTCTCCCGGCGCGTTTTCCTCAGGCCATTCCCACTCCACCCCCGACGCCCGTCCCGTCTTCAGAGCCCCCCACCAACCCTCCACTTCCGCTCCATCTTCCTCAGGCTACCCCGTCCCCCAGGCCCCACGGTAGGATGGGGGATAACACCAGCCCCATCAGCGTGATACTGGTGAGCTCGGGGAGCCGGGGCAATAAGCTGCTGTTCAGGTACCCCTTCCAGAGAAGCCAGGAGCACCCCGCGTCCCAGACAAGTAAGTGAGCGCTGGGCAGCCGGCTCGGCGCTCCGGGCCTGCGCCTGAAGGCTGGACCAGAGCACCCCACCGCAGGGGCCCTTCCCTTCACCACCTCGTATGTTAGCATTCAAGTCCTTTACTTGTTTCTATTCCTGAGCATGCAATCGATGCCTACTCATTATAGAGTACTATTTGGAAAGTGTAGAAAAGTAGAATGCAACAAGAGAAAAGTTACTCATAATTCAACATGCCCAAGCCACTATTGCTAATATTTCATACATGCCTGTAGCATTAAAAAAATAATAATATGTTAATCTAAAATTAAAAGGCTAAAGTGAGAGGACACAAGTATTTATTTGAGATCAAAAAGAGTAGCTATTTGGTACCCACTCATTTCAGCGGGAAGACCAAATTGTTCTGATTAGGAGACCAAGGCAATGTGTATATTTATGAGAAAGGGAAGGGGAATAATTACATCAATAGACGGAAAGCATTTCTATTGGTCAGATAGCATAGTGATGTTAATTCTAGACAATGTTTTTGATTTTCGGTGTTGGTAGCCATCAATCAGGTAGTTATAGTAACTGCTTTCTTGTTATCTTTGCGATCAGTTCTTTGGGGCACAAGGTTATTTTACCCCGTTTTAACACTCCAAAGTTTTGAGACATATGATGTGCAAGGCACTTCCTCTGGGATGGCAGCTCCAGCTGCATTTTAAAGTGGTTCCATTCATTATTATTTTTTGACATAAGAATGTTTTCAGCTTGGAAAAAATATGAAATTATAGAACATTCAGAGAATTTCTGTGACCACCTCTCCCCACTTCTGTTCCCCTCTTGCAGGGATAACCACTTTCCATTTTAGTGATTGTCCCTCGTGTACATAGACACAAGCTGTGTATCCACAGAAAAATGGTGTATTGTTTTGGGGATTTTTTTTTCTGTCCCAAATGCATTGTTCTGCAGGGGCCTTTTTTCCACTGAACAATATAACTTGGAGATCTTTCCAATTTAGTAAACAGAGATCACCCTTCCTCTGTGTTGTAGCGTACAGCTGCTGTGGATGGACATTGAGGTTTCATGCAGGTTTTCATTATCATGAAAGTTCAGTTTGTAATGTCTAGTTTGTTTTAAAATTACTTTTAAGTTTGTTCTTATGGTACAAAGTTTTAAAGGTACAAAGGGGTTTAGATTATGAAAAGTGAGTTTTGTTTCTACCATTTACCCCCCAGCCACCATTTCCCGTTGTAGGGGCAGCTGCTGTCCCCATTTTCCTATGCATCTTTCCAGAATCTTCTGTGTCCATACAAGCACATGCACAATTTATTTTTTTCTAAGTGCAAGTGTACACACTATACACACTGTTCTACCGTTGTTTTCATTTTCTTTCTTTTTTTATAAAAAAAAAACTTTATTGGGGAACAGCCATGGTCATTGGTTACACGTTGCTTTCACACTACAATGGCATAATTGACTTTTAAGGAGGGCATGGCTCAGAGTGGCCCATGTGGGGATCGAACCGGCAACCTTGGTGTTATTAGCACCACGCTCTAACCAACTGAGCTATCCGGTCACCCCCTGTTGTTTATGTTTTCACTCTCCATCTTGGATATAGACTTATAATTATTAGACTGTGATTTATTTATCCAGTCCTCTTGATGTTTCCAGTATAAACAGTGTGAATGTCCTTTCTGTGTTTATTATCATTTTGCAGTACATAAGATCAGTTCCCAGAAGTGGGATGGTTGGATCTAAAGGGATAAGAGCATATTTATTTTGAGTAGATTTTTCTGTCTTTGTTAATGAGATAGGTAAAAAATTGTATCTGACAGTTTTAATGTGCGTTTGTCTAGGATTGAGAGTGAACATGTTTTCCTGTTTTCAGAACCATTTGGATTTCCTTTTTTTTTTTTAAAGATTTTTTTTTTTAATTGGGGAATTGGGGGATGGGAACAGCGCTGGGGAATTAGGGGAAGGGGAACATACAAGTTGCTGTCCTTTTTGTTCTTCAGTCTAGTTGTGGAGGATGTTGCTTCACTGGCCCATGTTGGTATTATCATTGCGCTCTTCCCTGGGCGAGGTAGATCAGTTGCCGGCTTCTGAACGGCTGCTCATGGCGGCTGCTGGCCACTCACGCTGGCTGCTGGCTACACACGGTAGCCCATGGCAACCCACTGCCACAGGGGCTGCAGCCTACGCCGTCACCGGTGACTCAGGGCAGCCCAGCTCCAGGTCTAGCTGTTGCTCACCATCTTAGCTGTAGAGGACACAGCATCACTGGCCCTCATGTGGGATCTGAACCAGGGCCCTGCTGCTCAGAGCTGGCATCCCAAGCCAACCCCTAACCAACACACCACTCAGCCAGCCCCAAGAAAGGATATCTTTATGTTGCATCGTCCCATTCAAGAAAAAGGGTGTTTTCTGTTCATTCATATCCCCTTTATTAGCATGGACCTCTGACGCATGAAAAACTTGCCCACGATGAACTTCTGAAGTTCATCCTTAGGTTTTTAAAACTCTTTCACTGCGTTAATTGATTTCAAGTTTTGTGGGTTTTTTTTTCAAAATGTGTCAGAAATCCACAAAAACCAAAAAGTTGATATTTTGACTATTTTATGCATTTAATAATAGCAATTTGAGCTGTTTTGTATATAAATGACATTATTTTTATGTATAAAAATTTCGGATGTATTCAGTTATAAACAAACATTGTAGCAAAAGGATTAAACTTTACTGCTCTGTTTATGTTTATGCAGAATATTGGTATATGGACATTTAAAAATTATTTCTTTTGCCTGTGCTTTTTCCAACATAGTTGACATCATACACTGAGAAGGTGTTGGGGTGTGTGTGTGTATGTGTGTGTACATGTATATAATTATTTTTTCTAGCTTAATGATAGTAGCAAAAGCATTTCCTATGTTATAACTTCTTGGAAACCATAATTCTTTTTGAAAAATTTTAAATTATGGTTAAAGATATATAAAATTTGCCATTTTAACCATTTTTAAGTGTACAATTCAGTGGCACTAGTCACATTCACCATAATTAATTCCCCGTATTATACACCAGCACCTCTTTTTCCAGCATTTTTCATTACCCCAAACTGAAACTTGTAATCAAGCAATGACTCCCCATTTCCCCTCCCTCAGCCCCTGGCGATCTCTAATCTACTTTCTATCTCTGTGAATTTTCCTACTTTAGATATTTCATATAAGTGCAGTATTTGTCCTTTTGGGTGTGATTTCTTTTTTTTAGCATAACGTTTTCACATTTATACACGTTGGAGCATATGTCAGAACTTCATTCCTTTTTTATGGCTGATTAATATTCCATTGTGTGTACAGATCACATTTTAGAAACCATCACTTTGAATGGCTTCACAATCCTCCTGATGTGGATGGATCCTGTTTTCTTAGCCATTGTCTCCTTTTTGCTCTCCCTCAGATAAGCCCCGTAGCAGATACGCTGTCAACAACACCGGAGACCATGCCGAGGACCAGGACGGCGACTCCAGGTAAAGGCTCTGAAGTGACTCCATGATGGAGCTCGTCCTGTCCCCAGGCCTGGGCAAAGCCCCGCCTCCTGTTGACCTGGAGGTTTTCTCCCCTGAGAAACCTGATTTCCTTTTTTCCCAGTTGGTGGATGTTTCGGGTAGCACTTAGCTGGGGATTATGTTGCTAATCTCTGGCTTTCTGCATAATTTGGTCACATGTTCTAGCTGGGGGTTGTGTGTGCAGTTGGTAAAGCAGGTCGGAGACCAGATGAGGCCATGTCCCTGTAGGACGTTTATCTCCTGTGAGAGGAGCAGGAGGAAAGTAGACCCCAGTGCTGTCTTCTGACTTTATTCCTCGGGCACATGTCCAGCGGTCAGGTGGAGGTGCTTGGGTGCAGCAGAGCCTGTCCAGGTGGTGACGTGGGCTGAGAGCCTGGGCTGGTTTCATCTTTGCTCTTTTATTTATTTATTTAGGAAGTAGTCACACCAATCTCCTAACAGCAGTTAACTTCTTTATTTTTTTTATTTTTTATTTTATGGATTTTTTTAAAGATTTTTATTGGGGAATTGGGGAATGGGAACAGTGCTGGGGAATTGGGGGAAGGGGAACAGCCAAGTTGCTGTCGTTTTGTTCTTCAGTCTAGTTGTAGAGAACGTTGCTTCACTGGCCCAAGTTGGCACCATCACTGCGCTCTTCACTGGCGAGGCAGATCAGTCACCGGCTTCTGGATGGCCGCTCACTGCGGCTGCTGGCCGCTCACGCTGGCCGCTCACGCTGGCTGCTGCCCGCTCACGCTGGCTGCTGGCTACACACGGTAGCCCATGGCAACCCACTGCCGCAGAGGTTGCAGCCTACACCGTGTCTGGCAACTCAGGGCAGCCCAGCTCCAGGTTGAGCTGTTGTTCAGCATCTTAGCTGTGGAGGGCAGTGTCACTGGCCCTCATATGTGGGATCCGAACCAGGGCCCTCTGGCATCCCAAGCAAGGTCTTAACCATCGCGCCACTCGGCCGGCCCCCAAAATTTTTAAAGGATATTATTCACATAATGGTGATTTCATTTGCTTAAATGGCTCTCGAATAGTTTTTAAATTATTGTGAGGGAGAAGATTGACTCTTCTGTCTCAAAAGTTTGCCGACCCTTGGCTTAGTACATGGTAACACGGGCCCAGGTGAAGGTGGGAAGATTGTAAGTTGCCTGTCCTGGGTTTCCCTAAACACAATGGGGCCTTTGGGAGCTAGAAGACGCAGCTGCCACCATCCCGTGGTAAGTGGCTGGGGTCCCCACACCGGGCCTGTGACATGCAGCTCCCGAGTATGGTTTCCTCGGTTCTCTGACGAGGCACCGCGGTTGCCATACATAGTGCTGTACGGTTACAAGAATGTGTTTTTTTGTGTTTTTGGGGTGAGGATATCAGGGGCCTCTGCCATGACCAGTGACTGTCTCCAAGGGAGCGGGTTTTGGAAGAGGGACCAGTAAGAGGGGCGTGGGAGACTGTTGAATATTCCATGGGGTGTTCTGCTTGTCGTAGCGGCCTGTGGTTTCCTCGTCCTTTAACATCGGTAACTCGGAACAAACTCGTTTGTCACAGGCACGCGGAAAGCTTTGAGGCCCCACATGGCAGGGCGGGGTGCGTTTTGTCCTTCAGGTGTGCGGCAGACCAGTTCAGAGCAGGGCTGGCTGCCGCCGCTGTTCTTCCTCCAAGCTCCGCGCGCAGGAGGCTTAGGCTGCTGAAGACTCAGGAAGAGACCTTAGGATGGTCTGTGTGGAGGGAGTTTTTTAGAAGGGCTAGGAGCTCCTAATTCCTGCAGTTCATTTCCAGAGGCTTATATTAAAATGACCATGAGGATATTTGCTTCATCTGGTCATTTTAGCACAGCCCCCCCACGTTTTCAGAGATACAGTTCCATGCCCTTAGGGGCCCAGCTTTATTTTGTCGCATAGGCCTGCCCAGCTGCTGCCCTGCCCCTGGTACCTGGGGGAACCCCGTCATAGCTCAGACATCTTCCTGACGCCCTGCAGTGAAGGTACATCGTACCCATTCTCTGCTTTCCTTGATTGTTGTTCTCAAAGGAGCTTTTTTTTTTTCTGGAACCAGTGGAATGTTCTGCTTGTCAGTTGGCCATATCGAAGCAGTGTTAAGGCCACCCGGGGAACTTCTGAATGTGGTGGTGGCCGGCTTGCCTCAGAGAAGCAAGGGTGCAGAGCTGTGCTGCTCAGGGTTACAGCCACTGGCCAGTGTGGCCCTTTTATCGGAAATGAAATAACACTGAAAATCCATTTCCTCAGTGGCAGCAGCCACCTTTGAGTTGCTCAGTGGCCACAGGTGACTAGTAGCTACTGCATTAAATGGCACAGGTTTATAATATTTCTCTCACTATAGAAAGTTCCGTTGGATACCAACAGCTTATAGAATAGATTGGTTTTATAAGGTGAATTATCAAGATGATATCTTTCAGGGTAAAAGAATTAACTGTCACTTAAAAAAGAGCACTATTAGAATTCAGTAGGGAGAGAAGAAAATAGATATTGAGCATTGTCTCTAAGCCTTGAAATTCAAGTTTAGAGAAGTTGAATTGCCCCTCTTTATTGGGTATTAGGGGCTGGGGAGCTTGTACTTAATTGCATCATGCATCCCCCACACCGGCAGGGAGAAAGCCATCAGGAGAGGTCCGCGAGGAAGCCTGGAATCAGTTGGGGAGGCTGTCGTGGGCCGATCCCTCCTGGTGTGGATGTCATCTCTAGCCTCCTCTCCAGATTGCAAGTAGCGTTCTGGCCACCACCTCAGCGGAGGCAATGCTGGTGGCCTGGAGAAGAGTTGACTTTGTTTCAGAACACCCTGCAATCATTTTACTTTAGACACCATCCAGGAGACCTTCTCAGAGCCGTAACAGGGTCCTGTCTCCACGCTTTATCTCTGTTGGCCTCGTGGGGCACTGGAATCAGGTGGCACTGCTGCCCTTCTCAGGCTTGGCCACCTTTCTCGAAGCAGTGGGGCCAGTATTTAGGAACAGTCATGTCCTAGGCTGGACGGAAGCCTCGGCCAGCTGAGCCGTAGTGCTCACTGCGACACCACGTGCAGGTCCTCCATGCCAGGTGCACGGGGACTCCACCAGGGCCTCTCTTACGGCTTTGCCTCTATGGCTCATGTGTTAAGATACGTTAGAAAGATGCCCCTACGTGCTGGAGCTGAGGTCAGTACAGAATGTGGACAAGTAGTGTTGTCCCCATGCATGGGCATCCCCTTTCTCTTTCCTAGCCCAGCTGAGTCCACGCTGGTGTCTGCTGGCCTGTCCCTGCAGGGCAGTGTGCTTTGACAAGTGCAGGTTCAGGGTTCCAGGTCTGTTCTCACCCTGTGTCCTGCAGTATATGACCTCAGATGTGTTCCTTAGACAGTGAGCCTCAGTGTCACTATTATCTGTAAGATCCCTGCTGGTGACGAGGCACCTCAGCCTCTTCCTTGCAGCTCTAGATGTGGAAACATCCGCATCTGGGTGAGAGGACGTGCTGATGGCTCTGCCTCCCTTAGGGGCAGACACAAGTCCCCTGTGGCATTGAACGTGTCACCACCACACCCCGGTGAGGACATGGAGTGCTGCCAACACTCGGAAGCCCCGTGGGCTTCTTCCCTTTTAGAGGAAAGGGATTCTGTGGTGACCTGTCTAGCTGTAGGAGCTAAAGTTGTAGGAGGTACACTTGAGCTTCTTGGGATTCTGACCTTCTAGGTGATCGTGGGAACATCCATAAAATCGTACCCCTTTACTACCACTCAAACTGATAAGCTGAAGCTTGGGAGCTGCCGAAAAACGGGATTCCTCGTGTGCGTTTCTCCTGTGTGAGCCTCTGACTGTGTGTGTTTCTCGGTGAGAGCTGTGGAGGGGCAGCAGGCCCAGCAGGGCAGCCTGGCGGGCAGGACACAGCGTCCTGGCAGGCTCCCACCCTTGAATGCTGTGGCTCTTTGGGGCTCAGGCCTGCTTTCTGTTTCCAGGAAACTCAGGAAGCAGCATGTCCCAGGACATAGACCTGTGCAGAGGAACTTTAATTCTTTTAAACATACTCTCTAAAAAACACAGGCCGGGTAGTGCAGAGGTCTCAGACATTTTCCAATGTACATTGCCTAGGTACCGACCTACCATGACTGCCATGCTGCTGAAGGGGTTGCAGTCACGTTCTGGGGAGAGGCTCGGGGGTGAGCTGTACAGGAAGTCACAGCATCTCTAGAATTGGGGCTGACATATTCAGTGGCACGCTACAGTTTCATAAGGCTCTAACTTGTGGAGGTCTCGTTTGATTTTGTTGAGATGGCTCATCGGAAAGGTTAAATACTTGTGCACGAGCGTCTAGCCAATCTGTGGGGTGCTGGGCTCCGACCCAGGTCTTCCAGCCTTGCTTTCGCTTCTGGAAATGGACTCCCATTCTTGCCCAGCCTGTGTTCATGTGCAAGAATGGGAGCATTAGTGAGAAACCTGTGTGGAAAGTCCTCACCTTGGGGAGCATCTGCCTCCTTTCTCGTCCATCCGGTAAGTTGCTTAGCCTTGACATCAGCAGTGAATGCTTAATGGTGGTACTTCTGCTAGACTTGAATACTGTTTTAATGAAACAACGTATACATTTTCATGATTTTTTTAAAGTCAATGTGTTTTTGTTTGGTCTTGATGGTCCTGTTCCCATTTCAGCGAGCCCTGTCCTCCAACCGATGAGCAATTGGTTGCAGGGTAAGACCAAGACTTCTCCACCATCTTTCTGTCTTGATTCCTGCTACCTTCTCTTCTTGTAATTGTGCTTAACTCCTCATCTCCCTCAATGTTCAAGAATGACTAATGAGGCATTCAGGCTCTCGCTCGGACCGCACTGCCCCGACCCCCCACAAGTGCCCAGGCTTCCCACGGCCTCTGCCCTATCTCCACCTGGAGCTATGTAGCTATTGCACATTACCCAAGAGGCCTAGGCAAGGTGGGCTGGCACCAGGGAGACTTCTGGGACCAGGCACGCACTCAGCCCTCCTCCTCCTCCAGGCAGGCACCCGTGGCCCTGTGCAGGGGGCAGGTGAGCAGGAGCAGGCTTCCTTGTCTCCCTGGCCTGCTGCCCTACTCGACGGGCCCTTGATGATTGTTCTTGGCCTTCATTTCTCAGAGGGGTTTAGTGGGGGGCCTCCCCCAAGAGCCGGTTGTTAGCTATAATGCTTGAGCTTAGATGCTATTATTGTGTATGCCCGTTAGAGGCAAAAATGTTCCCGTGGAATTTATATGGCACTTCTTCCATGGATAAGATGGGACCCACCTGTCCCCCTGACAGGGCATCCCCCCTGCGCATCGGAGGTGCACGGAGCATCTGTGAGCCCCCTAAAACGGGAGGGGGCCGAGGCGAGCTCCCTTCCATGCTGTCCCTTCCTCGCTTTTATGGCCCAGCCAGAGAACAAGTTCTACTCCCAGATGTCTCTGCAGGAATGGAAGGAAGGCCTTGGCCTGTTTTCCAGCTGGGCTGGTTCATCTTCCTAAATGTGGTTTTTCTTTTTTTTTTTTTTCATTTCTAAGTTGTTCGGTAACAGAAGCTATTGTGTGCAATATATTTACCAGGTCTTTTACCATCAAAACAAGGGGAAAGTGTTTTTGTAAATTTTGGAAACAACAAACAAATGTCATCACTTGTTTTTTTTTCAGTTTGCTATTTATATCAGTTATGACCCCCTAGCTCATGATATAACTCTGTGTCTTTGTGCATGTTTGTCAGCAGACACGCTATATAAAGTCTAAACCACTCAAATGTTTTTTTCATCGTCAGTGTATAATATCACAGTAGTGAATGCGTTTCTGTCTGCGCCAGACTGGCTCAGATAAGCACAGCAGCCAACGCCACCCTGCTGGCCGCCCCAGAGGACCCTCCCTGAATGGCCACTTAGGGCCTGTGGCTTTGAACTTCAGCAGCACATGAGTTGCCAGTTGGCTCCTTCCTCAGACCCTGGCTTCCTTGGGCTTGGAAGGAAGTTCTTTTGATTTGGCTCTTGGGAGGGTGCTCTTGGATTTGGATCTTTACAGATGTGAAGTGGACCACCACTGCTCGCCTCTAAATCTCAGGACCCACCCCGCAGCCAAACTAGCTCAGGTTCCTGGATGGGTGGCTGAGGGCCAGGGCTGAGGCCCATCTGTAGCTCTTCATGGCAGAGCAGAGGTTTTTTTTAATGGAGGTGTTTGGCTATCACAGGCAAAAGGGAACTCTGGAGTAGTGCAAGGCTGTTTTCTACCCCTTATCTCTGTGGCCCCGAGTCCCCGGGTGGCAGCGTGGAGGGGCTATTTCTTCAGATAGGATGTGAAATGTTGGTACTGGCTCAGTCATCAGGGCAGAAATATTTGTTTGGGTTTGTCACCCTGAGCCCTCCCTCACCGTATCCCTCAGATGGGAGTCACAGGGCAGAGTGAGCCATTTAGAGTTTTGGAAGAAAATGTATAATGTCTCTGGTCTACGACATTGGCATCTGTGTCTCTGGTTTAATCACTGCAGAGAGCAGCATCCCAGAGAAGAGACCCCCAGTGGGCGGCCAATCGGGGCTGTGGGTCCCACGTTTCCATCCCAGAATGTCCCTATCAGCCTGGGTGGTGGAAGGTCCAAGTGCAGTGCTGACTACAAGAGGCAGACCCTCTGCATCTGGTTTGTCTGGGGCCACAGGAGGGCCTGGGACGCCCAGAGAACCACATCAGTCCTGGAGGAAGGCTGGGAACCAGTGTGACCCCACACCCCCCAGGGCCTTAGCAGTTCTAGGCTCCCCGCTGGTCCGGTCCGCAGGGCAGAGACCTGGAAAGAGCCCCCCAGCTGCCTGTCTTGCAGCTTGTCTGTGTGCTGGCCGATGAGCAAGGCTCTCGCTCCAGGCAGGCTCCCAGTCACTCTTACATTAGGTGGGGAGCCCTGCCATGTATGTGTAAGGAGCCTAGAACAAATGGCCCCCGTCTTACATCCTCTTTATCCCACAGTTGATTTGCTATTTCAGAGTTGAGCTGAAGCAGCAGTTTGTAGCAGCCCATCCTTTTCCTCCAGACAGTGGAAAGGCCTGGTGTTAGCCACCTCCCTCCCCCCACCCAAGTCCTCCAGGAGGAAAGCATGTGGTGTGCCTGCCTGATTCACCAGAGCACCTCAGCAAAGGCCCAGGATGCATGCTGGAGGTCTTTCCTTGATGGCCTCTAGGACCGTAGGGGTCTCTCTGCCCAAGAGCAGGGCGTGCGTGGCCCAGAGGGAGCCAGTTTCCCCAGGTGGAGAAATGAGCAAAGGACTTGTCTCCCTCCTGGCTCCAGCTCAGACACACCGCATCAGTGTTTCTAAAGTGGAGGCCCCCCACAAACCTGGGCTCTGAGATAAGAGTCTGCACCACACTCCCCAGCCCTCTCCTCCCTGTGGTGACTCCCTATCCAGGTTCCCCCTGGGCAGGAGGGAACAGGGTTGCCAGTAAGGAGACAGAGTACAGATGCACTTTACAAGGGGTGAACTCAGTAGTTTTGGAGTCATAGCCAAGTCTGCTCTGGTAAGCACCACAGCCACTCCTACTTCTCCGTGCATCCCTGAGTTCATCCCACATTAGTGGGTCTGCATAGCTTGCACGTCTTAAACATGTCTTCCCTAATAAAAACTGGAAGGTTTCAAAATAAACAAAAAACATGAAAAAAACATAAAAAAACAAAAAAAAAAACCTCTAAAAGCTGGAAGGTTTCAGAACAAACAAAAAACATGAAACAAACAAAAACAAACAAAAAACTAAAAGCTGGAAGGTTTCAGGGTTCAGGATAAGGGAAGGCAGCCATGTTGAGGGAGGTAATGAGCTATAATGAGTGCTGTCCCCCCTGCCCTTTACATAGCATGGAGGGCTTGAGGGGTGCAGCCCGGTAAACCTGGGCCTGGTAGTCGAGCCCCCCCCAACCCGTGAGCCTTAACGAGCAGCTCCTCAGGGCAGTGCCAGCTCCAGCTGTTGTTTCTCCCTTTGAAAGCAAACTGCACCTCGTTTCTCTCCTGAATCCCATAGAGCATGCCAAGAAATGACAGCATGTGCCTTCGGTCTGTGCTTCTCGTGCCTTTCACCTCGTAATTCTGGTGATTTTGTGTCCCCGATCTTGGGGATTGCTTCAGAAGGCAACTGATAGAAGCTTCCAGGTTATCAGTGGGGGTCCAGCCACTCTGCGCACGGAGCTGCCATGTACTGAGGGCAGTGGGCCCGGGCCTGCGACGTGTTCACTTACTTCCACTCTACCTCTTTTTAATTTTAAGGTTTTCAGATGTCATTCTGGCAACAATTTTGGCAACCAAGTCCGAAATGTGTGGCCAAAAATTTGAACTGAAGATCGATAATGTGCGGTTTGTTGGGCATCCGACCCTCCTGCAGCATGCTCTGGGTCAGGTAAGGGCCTCCTGGGCAGGTGGGGCTCTCCCTGGTCAGATAGGGCCCATCCTGGTCTGGTGCCCCCAAGGGATGGGGGGCTGACGCTGGCTCCTGTGAAGGCAACTATCATGCAGCAGACCTGACTGGCACTTGCTGTCAGCTGCACCTCTTCAAAGGCCCTGAGGGCCCCTTGGAGAAAGAGACAGGCTTCCTTGTCCCTGGGGTTCCCATCCCTGCCCCCAGCTTTTGCTGTTTGCACTCTGGGCTCCTACAGACTGTGACCTTCCCTTTTACGAGGTCAGACAATTAAGTTCGTGAACTCATCCTAGAAAAAGTGCTGCATACCTCATTGCTGAATATCAATGCCGTCACCTTTGAAGTGCTCCCCTTGGGAAGCTATGCACCAACGCCAGTGCCTATTCCACCCTTCAAAGCAATTTTGGAACTCTTTTTCTGGAATGGCCATCAGAGCTGTCATATTATTCTTGATGTCCTGAATGTCATCAAAATGCCTTCCTTTCAATATTTCCTTTATCTTCGGGTAAAGATAGAAGTCATTGGGGGCCAATTAGGTGAGTAGGGAGGGTGTTCCAATACAGTTATTTGTTTACTGGCTAAAAACTCCCTCACAGACAGTGCCAGGTGAGCTGGTGCATTGTTGTGATGCAAGAGCCATGAATTGTTGGTGAAAAGTTCAGGTCATCTAACTTTTTCACGCAGTCTTTTCAGCACTTCCAGATAGTTTACTTGATTAATTGTTTGTCCAGTTGGTACAAATTCATAATGAATAATCCCTCTGATATAAAGAAAGGTTAGCAACATCATTGTAACAAGTTTGCGAACTTAATTGTCAGACTTACATCTTAGCTGTCTGTGTCCAGGGGAGGCCAAGAGACTGAGTTCAACAGCATCTGTCAAACCCTTGAACTTTATATAAAGTGGTCTAAGCATTTCTTCTTATTTAGTAAATGATATCATGGCCAGTACTATTATTAATTTAGCTCTTACCATTGTGCTAAACCCTTTATATGCATTCTCTCATGAATGAAATGTTACAGTCCTTGGGAGTGTAACAAGACCGAGAGCGCTGTGACCCAGGGTTGGCCTAACCAGAACCTGCCGGCCAGTCCTTTGCACACAGGCAGTAAGCCAGAGCATCACTCAGATTCAGAAGGGTTTTGATACGATGCTGTAAGATGTAGCTCCATTTATATGATCCAAAAATTGTGTGAGGGTCTCTGATGTGGTCCTCAAATCTCCATGACCAAGCCCATGGAAAGAGCCTCTGAGGTGGTCGGAGATGCCAGGACACGGGGCCGTGGCTGGGGGCACCTGGCCTTATGGACAGCACCCTCCCTCCTCACCGAGGTTTCTGCAGGTAGCTTTAGTCCCCACAGATGGCCTGTGGGTGATGGAGGGGAGATTTGATTTGGCAGCTTGCCAGCAGTCACACCCTGTAAATTAACAAGTGACAGTGGATGGTCCTGGGAGAGCTGAGGCCCTGGACTCTTACGCCCCCTGGTGGCGGCACTTGTAGTCGGCTTGGTGTTTGTGACTCGGGTTGAGTGGATGTCAGAGTGGCAGCCCTGTCCCTGCTGGCCCTGAGCATTGTCCTGTGTCTTAATCGTCCTGAGGACTTGTCACACCTGGCAGAGACAGCCTGGAAAACTCAGGTGGACATTGGGATGGTAATGGGGGGGTCTCATGTGCTTGAGACCCTCTTTATCTTGTCTCCTCTGGGCACCTCAGCTCACTTCAGTTTACAGGAGCAGCTTTGGGTCGTATCACCGACCTTCATGCTCTTCCCTGTTCCGTGACTCCTCTGTGCATGCAGCCTCCACTCGCCCCTGCAAAGGCTCGGGTCACTTCTTCAAGCCTCTAGAGCTGTTTTGCTCTGGTTCTGCCGTATTCTGGAACCTTACCCAGGCCTAAAGCAGAAGCGCTCTGACCCCTCGTGGGACGTGGTGGCTCTCACTTATCAGAACTCTGTCTCTTTTACAGGCCTCCAAAGCAGACCCGTCCCCGAAGAGGGACGCTCCCACCATGATTCTTTTTAACGTGGTGTTTGCACTGAGGGTGAGTGTCTATGTAAATGGCCGATGAGCACGGGCAGACCAGGGAGAAGGCTCAGGGGGTTACAGAGGCTTGTGTCCCACACGGGCTCCGACTGCTGTGGGCATGGCACTGGGCTCCTCTCACTGTTTCCCTCTTTTTTTTTTTCCTAATGAAACACACATAACATAAAATTTACTATTCTAACCATTTGAAAGTGTACAGTTTGGTGGCAGCTAGTAACACTGTTGTGTAACCATCGCCACTATCAGTCCCAGAACATTTCATTGCCATGGAAGAGGACCAGTTATCCCCCTTTCTCTTCCCTCCCCCAGCCCCTGAAAACCACCAGTTCGCTTTCTGTCTCTGGGTGTACCTTTCCTGCGTGTTTCATATAAATGGGACCTGACAATAGGTGACCTTTGGTGTCTGGCTTCTTTCACTGAGCACAGTGATTTTGAGATGATTTCTTGTTGTAACGTGTATCAGCGCTTTGTTCCTTTTTGTGGCCAAATCATATTCCATTGCGTGGATACACCACACTGCATTTATCCATTCATCTGTCGATGAATTTGGGTTGCTTTCACCTTTTGGCTATTGTGAACAATGCTGTTAAGGACATTTGTGTACAAATTTTTGTATGGACACATGTTTTTATTTCCCCTGGATATGTACCTAGGAGGAGAATTGCTGTGTCATATGATAACTTGGTTTAACCATTTGATAAACTGCCAGACTGTTTTCCACGGTGGCTGCACTGTGTTGCATCCCCATCAGCCATGGATGAGGGTTCTGGTTTCTCTACATCCTCACCAACACTTGTTATTTTCCATTTTTTTTATAAATAAGCCTAATTGTTCTTAACGCAGTTCCCAGTGCTATTTGAAGTTGTGTTTTTATTAGTTACAGGAAATTCCTTTTTAAAAAGCTGTCAAAATATAAGGGATCCACATAAACATAGAAAGCCCCCATGAGTAAGGACTGACTTATATGATGAAGAGACTTTGGAATACTCAGAAATTTATATTCAGGGACTGTTAAAAAATTTCAGGCATTCCTCTGAAATATCCCGATATTAGCTTTCACCAGAGAACCCAGTAGTTCTTTCTGGCTGGGCACGTGATTGCCATGACAGCTTTTGTGCAGAAATAGGAGCGAGAAAGTGACAGGATTTCAGTGACAAGAAACAGTGTATGTGCTGAGAACTGCAGAGTCGCAGAGCTGAGACTGAGCAGACAGGGAACCTGTAAAATTTGATGCCCTTCTAAGTCTTGGGGTAGTTTTTTTTTCAATGTGGCTTTTTTGGTGTGGAGACCACAGGCCTCACTGTGAACGGTTCAACATCAAAATGATGCTAGAGAAAAGCTCCTTTAGAATGGAGCTGAACTTTTAAAACTGGCACACCTTGTCCATACATCAGGCACTACAGTTCAGAATAAAAGGATTTGTTAGTGGTGGCTGCCCCTGGGGCACGAGACTCCAAGGGGAGATCCATACTTCCTACTTTGTACACTTTTGTGGTGTTTGCATTGTCACGGTATCCTTGTATTACTTATATAACTGCATAATACAAACATCCACAGAGAGAACTCCCTTAAGTGAAAAACAAGCAAACCAGCTCTGTGACGAATGCTGTCCACCTGTTAGCACCGATAGCCCCCGTGGGCTGGGCAGTGAGTAGCAGCCACGACTCCGCCCCAGCTGTTACTGACAGGCCCTCATCTGTGGGCTGCACGCGATAGCAGAACGTATGACACCCTTGGTGAGAGCAGTCTAGAAAACAGGCATATTTCAAAATTGTGTAAAGATTTTTATAGTGATGGTTAGGCTGGAAATAACCCTGGTGTCCAGTCATTGGGGAATCATTAAACAAGGTGGTGGTTATTATACTCTGGTTATTATACCCTGGCATGTTCTGTGGCCATTGAAGCTGAGAAATGGGGTGATACCAGATCCTGGAGGAGTTGAGATAACTGCTAGGTAAAAGCAGTAGGAAACAAGATATTAATAGTCTATAGAACTTCAGAGGGCATAGGCCATAATGCTCAAGAGTGGGAGGAATTTTAAATAACCTAAAGAGTTGGTATTTTAGCGTGGACACATTTTTTTCTTTTTCTTTTCAGTAGTCATATAAAAATGTATACTTTTTTTACTTGGAGAAGTTTGAAACAAACCCCAAACTAGGGACAATAGTTTGATAACCCTCAGACGCCTATCTCTGAGATCCTACAACTGTTGCCTTTGCACCCTGGCTCCATCCACCCCGTCCCCCAACTTGTCACTCAGGTATTTCAAGACAAGTCCCAGCCCGCATATCTGTTCACTCCTCCATACTTTAAAAGGCATCTCTATAAAAAATAGGGATGTTTATTTTATACCCTTTTCACACCTGATATAATTCCCATAAGTTGGTATCAGCTAGTACATGGTTCGCTGACACTTGGCCAGTTGCCACACCATGTTTTCCAGTTGTCCTGTCTGAACCAGGATGAAAACCCAGCTCACACAGGCATGCTGTGCTGCGTCTTTAGGTCTTTGCCAGTCCGGGACTCCCCCTGCCCTTGGTCCCATCGAATGTACCATGTTTGGACTCAATCTCATTGTGCAGTCAGACTTCCTCTCTGTCCCTGTATGTCCTGCAAACTGGACACTAGCTTGGAAGCCTGATTATATTTGGGCATGGATTTTGGGGAGAGAAAGTCTCGTAGGCAATGCCCTGAACTTCAGCTGCCTCACATCACATATAGGGAAAGTATGGTGTTTCTAAGAGCTGCCACTCAGGGTTGGCACGTCCCAGGCAATAGCTTTCTCAGCATGGCCACACATAGCCTCAGGCACCTTGAGCAGTGCCCGACCTGTGCAGCCAAACAGGACACCTCGGCACACTCCGTCAATGCTGTCGTCAGGCCCTGCACGACTGAGAATGTGGACAAACTGTCCCCGAGCATCTGAAGTTCATGCCTCTGCCAGTGGGACCTCCAGCAGAGGGTCAGGTGGCTCAGATGTGAGACTTGGTTACTTCTTGAAGGGAATCATCATGTGCCCAGGATCATTCTCCTACTTTTGCTTTGCTGTGGGAGTATTTTTACAGATTCTTCTAGAAGGGTATTTTGGTCTGAGGCAATTGTCTGTATGCTATGACTCAGACCCTATAGTCCTGTCATCTTGCAGGAGACACTGTTGAGGGGATGCCTTCGACATGCAGGGGCTGGGCTGCTGCTGGGGGTGGGCACAGCATGGGGGCACAGGAATGCTGCCAGGTGTGTGTTCTGTTTGTGAACATAGGTCTGCTAGGAGTTCAGAAAGGCTCCCCCACCCCAGGTGGTGAAGGTGTTTACTGAGTTTGGCCCAGAAGCCTGGCTTGGACTCTGCGGGAAGGGCCCTGCCTGCCAGATAAACAGGAGAGGGAGGCAGCAGCAGAGGTCCTAATCAGCGGCCCCATTCGCCTTTCTTCCTTCTCCCACCTCCACCCCACAAGATGACTCAGCCACCCTGTCAGCCCCCTGCAGCTCTGAGTCATGGTCGGCTGGTTATCTGCTCCATAGAGCATCTTCACAGACCCCACAGCTGCTGCCCCACCCTTGGCCTGGCCTGACTGCAGCCCCTGATAGTTGTCAGAGCTAACACGGGGCGTGGAGGGTGTTTGGGGACAGGGATGGCCTGGAGCCTGCTGGCCTCACCTGTGAACCATGGTCATTTCTACAGGGGAGCATCTTAACCTTGAGGACAGAAGGTGCCCAGTGGACAATTAGCCTAGTGCTTCTGTTTATTACACTGTGTTTCTCTGTTGTAATCAGGGCTGAGTGACTGAATTCTCACTTAGCCAGTCCTGTCCACCAGCAGCCAGCAGCACACTGGTGACCACAAACACTCCAGGGTCTGAGTAGGCCCTGTTCTGAGCCTTGACATGTCTGACTAATTGGTGAGGGAGTGCCACCATTATCCTTTCTCCAATGGGAGCCTGTGACCCAGGGTCACATAGCAGGTGGACAGAGGGCTCTGTCCCTTCTGCTGAGCCAGGTGGGCTGCCCCTCCAGGCCCAGAGTAGTTGCCTGATCTGTGCCCTGCCTTCCTGGGTGGCCCTGGTGTGTGGCCTTGCAGCATGGCAGCCTTTCTCTCGTTAAAAATGCCTGGTCCACCACCCCCACCCTCGGGACTCCATGGAGCCATCTCCGTGCCGCCATCCAGGCAGCGTCCCCAAGAGGATGCTGAGTGAACTGGTGTTTCTGTGGACCGGCCCTATAGGGAACACAAGAAGCTGGGGACAGCAGTGGCACCTGGAGAGGGGCTGGGGAAGGAGTGGGGGGACCTCTTTTCTGGCTGGGGTGTTTGCTGTGTGTGTGCCACCTGAGCACGTGTGCCCATCTGAGCCGCGTATGGCCTCTCCCGCAGGCCAACGCGGACCCATCAGTGATCAGCTGCCTGCACACCCTTTCCCGTCGCATTGCCACTGTGCTGCAGCACGAGGAGCGCCGCTGCCAGTACCTGACGCGGGAGGCAAAGCTGATCCTGGCGCTGCAGGATGAGGTGTCTGCGGTGGCGGATGGTGAGTTCGGTGGGGCCTTCCACCAGACACCTCAGAGCAGGCAGCATATCCAGGCAGAGGTGGAAACTGAGGCACTCAGGTTTCGTGGGCTTCACCCTGAGCTGAGCCCGTCTTGGGTGCAGAGGAATATCCCTGGGTGCACAACTGTAGGCCCACCTTCCTGAACTCATGTGCTGACATTGATTCCCTGCTGGAAACGTCCTCCTGCATGATGTCTGCCTGATGTCTCCTGATGCAGGCGAGGCACTGCCGGCTGGGCCTGTGCCATGGCCGTGCTTCCCTGGGTAGAGGACATGTGCAGGGGCCAGCGGGAATATGGAGCTGGCAGGGTGGGCGCTTGCTTGTTCTTTGCTGTTAACTAACTTGAAGGAAGACCTAATGGAGTTATCAGCTGGCAAACTATTAAAAATAATTTTCGCTGCTAGATCACCATGTGGCTTGGGACATACCATCAACATTTCAAAGCACAGGGAGGCACCTCCCTGTAACATACCTCCACCTCCATCTTCTTAGGTCAGCACCTCTCTAACAGAGGAGAAACTGGGAACACAGTTGGAGGTAAACCCAGTCTGATCTTAGCAATAAGTAAAAGCAGTGATTGCCATACAGGAGCTGCCCCACTCAGCTGCATTTTCAATAAAAATTCACTTTCTGTGTTTGGCAGTTTGCTGTCAAAATGTGTAATATGTTTCTGTTTTGGCCAGTTATGCACTAATTAATAACAATCTAGAAGTTTTTATTTTTTTATAAAACATTTTCTTTAGAGTCTGCCTGTGACTTTATCACAGGAAATGAAAAAAATTCAATTTAGTATATATATTTTTGGTTAGACATTTATGAAAAAGGATTAATAAGAGACTTTCAGTCATAAAAATAAATGACGTGGGGCCGTTCGAGTGGCTCAGTTGGTTAAGAGCTTGCTCAAAAGTGCGAGCTCTGAGCAACAGCAGTTCGATGCCTGACCTGAGCTGAGCTGCCGCTGAGCTGCCAACAGGTGGCAGGATGGCTCAGCTAAAAAAAAGAGAAAGAAAAAAGAAAGAAAGAAAGAAAGAAAGAAAGAAGGAAGGAAGGAAGGAAGGAAGGAAGGAAGGAAGGAAGGAAGGAGGGAAAGGGAAAGGGAAAGGGAAAGGGAAAGGGAAGGAAGGAAGGAAGGAAGGAAGAAAAAGGAAGAAAAAGAAAGAAAAAGAAAGAAAGAAAGGAAAGAAAGAAAGAAAGAAAGAAAGAGAAAGAAAAGAAAAGAAAGAAAGAAAGAAAGTGATCGGAAACATATAGGGGAAAGTGGGAAGAGCATGGTCGTACATGGCCCCTGAGGTAACAGATGGCACCGTGGTCTGAGGTAGAAGCCTTTGGGGGCAGCCAGTGGAGCGGTTTGTTCCTGAGACGTCTGTTACTGCCGGTTAGGTGGGGCCAGTGGGGAAGTTTAAATACAAATATTTCATATAAAGACAGTTGAACGGATCAGCCTAAGTCTAATTTTAATTCAGCTGGATGCAAAAAATATTATAAAAAGCAATGGGGGAGTGTCTTGATGTCTGGTTTAAAGTTACTTAAAATTCTTTTTCAAGTTAAAGTTGTTTTTAAAGCTATTTTCTATTCCAGCCTGGGCACGTTTCCTTGCTCGGGAGGCTCTAAATCCTTCTGTGTTGTGATTCTTGCAGCAAACGATGGCCCTCAGTCCCCGTTCCATCACATCCTGCCCAAGTGCAAGTTGGCCAGGGACCTCAAGGAAGCTTATGACAGGTAAGACAGACAGGTGGGTGGCACGTGCTCCGGCCACCTCCTTCTCATGGGCCTGTTTGCCTGAGCAGTGTCTGAAGAGGGTACTCTGTCTGCTGGGTGCTGGTCTCCTGTTGTGCTGCCGAGATGGGGGTGACATAGGATAGGCAGTACCAGCCCCTTTGCTGAGTGGTGTGTGTCCAGCTGGCACAGCCACCTGCAGACTTCTCTTAAACCAGAAAATGAACCTGAAGTTCCGCATGAGAGCCCGAAAGTGCATTTGTTCTCAAATGCAAGGTGACATTTTACTGAGCATGACACAGCCACATTCTGCGTCCTTCTTCGTTAGATAGATGTCACTGTCCCCACTTCACCCATGAGGAAATCGAGGCTCAGAGGATGAAGCTGGGGTTGGCTGTGTTCTTCCCTGCTCTGGGGGACTTGGGGGTTTGGGACACTAAGGCTGCAGGCATTGGGAACAGAGGAAACCTCACAGTTGTTCTGGTATATTTGTGACTCGGCAGCTACTCTGAAATGTGGACAAGAAAAGAACTTATTTTTAAAGGGTGTCCTGTGGCTTGGACCAACACACCCTGGCCCTGGGTCTGCAGGTGCTATGGGGGGTGTGGAGTGGGGGTTTGGTGAGGCAAGTACCCAGGTGACAGCCACCTGGCAGTTTTGCCTTTCCTTCTCTGCACCTGACTCATTGGTTCACAGGGGCCCTCCCTTACAGCTGAGGCTGCCACGCTGCACCAGGCATGTTGCCAGGCAGGCGGCCCCAGTGCCATCCTGTCCCATCGCCCCTTCCGCCTTCTCCTCCCTCCCTCCTTCCCTCCCTCCCTTACTTTCCCACTTTCTCCTTTGCACATTCTGCAGCTCGGTGCTCCCTCCTGGCCCTCTCAGGGCTTCACTCCATCCCGGTGGACCCTGCTCCCCGCTGGAGATGGACTCTTAAGATCTTTGGCCAGTGACCCCATGTGTCATCTAAGCCCAGAGATGATCGTTTGTTCAGGATCCTTTCCTCTTCTGTGTTAATTTTTTTCTGATTTCACCAACAATATGTGTTCATTATAGACATTTAGGAAATATGGAAGAGGTAAAGGGGGTCAACTATATGGTGATGGAATGAGAACTGACTGAGTGGTGAGCACACAATGTGATATATAGATGATGTATTACAGAAATGCACACTTGAGACCTATGTAACTTTACTAACCATTGTCACCCCAATAAATTTAATTTAAAAAAAGTATAAAGAAAATAAAAGTCATCTATTATCCCATACCCAGTAATAATCACTATGAACGTTTTGGTAATTTTTGTTCTTTTTTTTTTTTTTACTTGAGTTTTTGAAAAGGGCACATCTCTACAAGTCCCATCCGGGTGGCAGGATGCATTTCAGCCGGGAGCCACGTGGCACGTGTCCTCCCTCACAGATGGGTTTGAGGTGCCTCCAGGCAGGCACTGACCCCCTTCTTCTCTCTACACAGCAGCACCCCGTTAGCCTGCTGCCCTCTTACTTTGACAGTGTAGCTTAGACTTCCATCTGTCCTAGTAAATAAGACTTTGTAATTCTCTCTTTTTTTGCTTCATCGTTAGCCATTCCCCTCCCTCAGACATTTAGTTGGTTCCACCTTTTGCTGCTCTGAGACATAGGGCTCAGCCACAGGCTTGTGTTATTTTGCACGCGTGCCCCCAGATCCAGAACATAAATTCCTCCAAGTGGGATTGCTAGGCCGAATAGGTGAAATGCATTCCCCTCGATCTGTAGCCCCATGAGCAGCACGTGAGCTGCCTGCCCACCCAGGGTCCTGGTGAGCCTCTGGTTTGTAGTCAATAGGACGGGCAGAGCATGGTGTCTCTCACAGCTTCATCTGAATGCAGTTACGCAGGTCTTCACGTGTTGGAACCACCACTGTTTTTCTTTTTTCTGTGAGCTCTCTACACAGATCCCTTGCTTGTTTTTCTGTTGGGATGTGTAGGTGCCTTTATAGAGCAGGGAGAGTTGTCCTCTGTGAGATGCGTGGCCATTAATGTTTCCTTTGTCTGTATTTTGGTGGCCTCTGCGTGTTAGAGGGCAGCTGGAAACAGCCCTTCCCAGAGCGATGGTTTGGGTTTCTGGTCCCTCCTGCTCTGGAGAACTTGACCCAGGATGAGACTTTTGGTCTTGTCGTCCTTTCTTGTCTTTCTGTCCCATGTGATCACAGTGAGGTTTTCTCTGCAGTAAGAGAATTTCTGCCCTCGGGTCTTGGGTTGGCTGGTGTCAGACAGACATTTCTTCCTTGGAAACTGCTGCCTTACTCTGGGAATTTGCGTGTCTCAACTCGGATTAGACTACAGCGCAATTCAGGCTAACCTGGAATTAAAATAAAAAGCAAGCCAGAAAGGACTTTATATTCCTCAAAAAAGAATGTGATGTCTCATGTTTGAACTGCACTGGAAAGCTGGCAGATGAGACCCTGGATCCTGACTGCTATTTGCATGATGTGCTGGGCCCGTTGCAGCTCAGAGCTAGAGGCGGCCAGAGCCCCCTAGTGGGCGTCAGTTTCAAGGAGGACACGAATCAGAGTTTGGGGCAAAAATAGCCCCCTGGGTCCACTGCCCAGCGCTTAGCTTCCTTCTTCTCACCCAGGAGTCCTGGTGGGTTAGTGCGTAGAATGGAATTTCCTCAGGACTGAACCCTCACCCGACCCTGACCAGTCCTGGTCCTGGGGCTGCCCCAGGGAAGCCAGGAGTCATTATGTCCTTCCATTATGTCCCAGCCTAGCAACCACCCATGAGCCTCCCTGGCCTGTGGCCTGTGGCCTTTCCCTTGACCTTATCCCACCAGGTCCATGCTGGCCTCGAGGGTCTGGCCTAGCTCCCGCTCATGGAGCTAAGAAAGGGAGACTGAGTTTCCATTAGTGATCAGGCAGCGTGGAAAACAGAGGGTGCCTTCCTGACATATCCTTGGGAAAGGTTTTCTCAGAGCAGAAATGAGAGACAGGAAGCTGTGAGACTTAGTGACGATGGTGATTGGGATGGGACTTTTCAAAGGAATTGTTCTGGATTTCGTGTTTTGATTCAAATCCGGAGCTGCGGTGTAGCTGAGTGGCCTGGTTGCCCCGTGCCCCAGGACCTGAGTGTCTGTGGACATAGGCTGGCAGTGTGAGTCCCCCCAGGAAGCCACCCCGACTGTTCTGCCACCTGTGTCTCCCTGTGGAGCTTGGTGACCTCAGTGACAGCGTCCCACTCATTTGTGGGACCTGTGGGTTGTGTCTCCTATGAGGCCCTTTCCCGTAACGGCCCTTGTGCTTGGCGCGTGGAGAAGCACAGCTCGTCTCCTAGAGGCGGAAAGGAAGAGTACGTAGGAGTCATGTCGAGTGGTTTCCGTGGGGTTTGAAGACGTGTTTGGTGGCTGGTTCTCTGTAGTTCTCGGGGCCTGTGGTGGGCCTGGGGGCGCTGCCCAGGGCCTGGCTGGGCCGGTGGTGGTGGGTGCACTGAGGGCCTGACACCTATTCCCACTGCCTCACACCGCTGCCTGTCCAGAGCAGAGATGGGTTTATAGACGCCTCTACCAGTATCCTGGGAGTGGGAGTTTCTGTCCCTATTTTCCTAAAATGTACCTACTTATAAATTTCAAGGTGGGGCCTTTGGAGCTCACCCGGACCTCTTAGATTGGGTACAGTGTCACATGCATGTAGTGGGAAGCCTGGCTGTGTGTGGGACCAAAGGCACCAGTGGGTGCACGGCCTGCTTCGCACGTCTCTGGCCTGGGGCAGGAAGAAGGCCGACCCAGGGACGTGTCAGTTATTGGTAATTAGCGAAAGGTTAGGAACTGAAGTTCTTTCTCAGATGCTGAGGTCTGAGGGTAGTGGAACAGGCTCATGCACACTTCATCTGGGATGTGAAAGATAAGAGGTGCTTCGGGCCCATGTGGCCTCATGCACAGTCATCGCCTCAGGACTGGGGCTCAGCTGGAGTGCGTATCTTGCGTCACAGACAGGGCTGGGCTCTCCCTTCTGCCCCAGAGTGTGTGAGCGGCTGGATAAGCCTCATGCGGGGGCAACATTTTTCCTCCAGTGTTTCCAGACCAAACCATTAACTGCCCTGCAAAGAGCAGTAAAGCTTAGCAGGAACCTTTTAGGGCCCAAACCCCTGCTCTGCTAGTCATGTCTTAAAACTGTGCTTTACAACCAGACACAAACCTTTCTCTTCCTCCCCTGGACAGACTTACTTCAGGGAGGCTCCTGGCTTGCCTCTTGCCATGGCAGGGTTAACGGCTTCTCGGAGAGCTTGAGGGCCATCCCCTCTCCTCCTGACTTGTTCCAGGGATCCTGGGGTCTGCAGCTGGCCCTGTAGGGTGCTGCTGGGGGCGGCACTCAGGGGCTCCACAGCCTCTCTGCAAAGTGCCCCAGGGGAGAGGGCTACTGGCAGGTGAGCAGGTGCTTGGAGAAGTGAAGTAAAATCCACATCGAAACCAGGAAATCAATGCGGGTGTCCCCCCACCCAGAGAAGAGGACCTCATGCCACTGGGCACCAGACGGTGTGTCCAGGGCCCCGGGGACGGCTGACATGCAGAGATGCTCTGTGGGCCTAGTTTGTTTCCTTCGCACACAAATCAGGCACCTGCTGTTGTCTCTCCATGAGGCCCGTCCTAAGCCCCCTCCGTCCCCCACATGCTCACCCCTGCACCCTCCTCTACTTGTCCTGCTCTGGCTTCTTACATTCCATCCAGTTTGCTTTCCCAACACCCGAGTGGGAGCCCCTCAAGTGCAGGGCTGTATGTTGCACCCCAAGAGTGTGGACCAGTGCTTGGCGCCTCAGCATGTCAGGTGGTTGGTGACTTGCAAGTGGCATCGCTGGGCTCCTGGGTGTGAAATGATAGAATCCCTGTTTAATCCCGATTCTGTGGGCCCGAGCAGCTACTTGGAGCCATGTGCTAAAGAGCACAACTCAGAAGTAGAAAGACCTTTGTTTTAACTCAACCAGCCTTTCCGACCAGGTAAAAAGTGAAGCAGAGGAGGAGCCTGGTCAATTCACTCTCCCTGCAGCCCCTGGTTTTCTGTGTTCCTCTCTTCCCTTTCATATGTGGATACTGGGAGCATAAATACTGGTCAATCGAGTGGAGCGACTAACTGGGTCCCCTGGGCAACTCCCTCATGGTGCGACCTTTGGTTCCATAAGAGGCTGGGCTGTTTCTCAGGGTTTGATGTGAGCTGTCCAGCCCTTGGCAGAAACCTTGGGCCACGGAGGGGTGAGGCTATAGGAGCCTCCATCTGCTCAGAGGTACTTGCTTAGTTAGCATCGGTTCTGGAAGAAGCCAAGCGTGGGGTCTTCCTCTGGGACCTTGGGGAAGGACCCTGCGTCTCTTCCCCAAATCGTAACACTCGGCAGACCTGCTCGTGGGTTTCACCCTGCAGGACTGTGGCTTTGGCAGTGACCAAACCTTTGCCTTCCAAGTGCAGCCACAGCTTCCCCGTCCCCTGCAGCCAGGGTGGTTCTGACCGTGGCTGAGGCCCTGGGAGAGCGTGTGGGTGTCCTGATTTCCCAGGCATGGCCCACTGAGGGTGTCTGGGAGCCATGGGGCAGTTTGCAGTGAGCAGATGGTTGGTGTTGGCAGAAACCCCAGGGGTAGCTGAGGTCACAGATGTGCTCTGTGTTCTTCCCACTGTCTTCTGTTCCATTGCTCATTCCCTGCTTAGGAGAATCAAGACTTATTTTTGTATTTGAAAGTGCTGACCACAGATCCTGCCAGTCCTCTGGCGGATGTGTGGGGAGAAGCTTGGGGGCCATTGGTCTGCTGCTTGAGGCTTCAGGGGAGACTGAGGAAAGCCTGTGGGTACGGGGAGTGAGGGCCTTAGGTCTGCCTCCCAACACCGTGCTCTGTGTGTCCCCAAGAGAGGTCTGAGACCTGGGTGAGTAAGGCAGCCGCTCCCCACAAGCCTTCCCAGGCCGCTGCCCCGCCCCACACTCAGCCGGATGTGGGCGTCCTGGCCGTCCAGCTAACTGGAAATAGCATAGCAGGGTTGGAATGTGATGGGAAGAGTGCTGCTTGGCCCTGCTGGGTCAGGGAGGCCAGGCCTTCACAGGGGGCGCAGGTCCCCCTCGTTCACCTGCTGGGGCACAGTGAGGAGCAACGTGGGGCTTTGCCCAGCTGTGCTCTCCTCTGTGCCAAACACCAAGGGCTGCCAGCTCTCAGCTCAGGGCTGTGCAGCCAGGCCGCTGGGCGGAGGCTGGGCTGGCCTTTCTGTCGGGGGGGGTTTCAGAAACGCCTGCTGGAGACAACCCCTTGTGTGTGGTTCCCCGGTGCAGGGAGTCCTGGGCCATAGGACAGGGGCTTCCCAAGAGAGTCCACCCAGAGCAGAAAGCACGTTCCTCGGGCCCCTTTCTTTCCTTCATTTGTGAAATATTTCTCAGCGCCGCAAGACTCCCACATGTAACCATCCATACTGTGAGCAGTGAACGAAACACAGGACCCCACCTCAGGACTGAATTCTGGCCGAGGAAACAGCAGTACCCAGCAGACAAGTGGGTGCGTCCTGTGGTCAGGTGCTTAGGACACGTGTGAACAGTGAATGATGAAACCACCAGTGGGGCCAGGGCGGGGTCAGGGTTCACCTCACTGAGCAGGTGGCACTTGAGCTGAGAGCTGAAGGCAGGAAGGAGCCACAGGGCCCCGGGCAGGAGAGCTCGTGGTGAAGGGCGAAGTGCGACGGCCTTGAGGACGGCAGGGCTGCTGGTGTAGCTGACCCACCCAGGGAGGAAACACGGGCAGAGAAACGCGGGGCTGCTGGCATTTTGGGGGCTTGGCTGGGACTGCCGAGGTGGGAGCCGTGTGGTCTGAGTAAGAAGGGCGGACAGCGGGGGCCGGGAGTGAGCAGGTCTGGAGTTTGTAGATCTCTGCAGGCGGCGCGGACAGGATTTGCTGATAGTTTGAGGTGGGATGTGAGAGAAGCGAGGGGTCAGGGGCAGAGTTGCCATGTTGGGCCTGAGAACCAAACTGCCATCCCTGCGGCTGGTTGGGACGTCGCCGTAGTGTACCTGGGCGCTGCTGGCACTTGCTCTGTGCTCCTCCCCGACAGGCCATCCTGAGGGGCTGAGCACCCCCCTTCCTCCCCTGCCTACTTCTCCTGCGCTGCCTGGCTGCCCGCCTGTGACGGTCCCGTCCTCAGTTGTGCAGGAGTAGGCCTTAGGTGCATCGAGCCTCCGGGACAGAGCTAGAAGAGGGTTCCCTCGAGCCCTCGTACTCTGGTTGGACTACACAGCCAAGGGCTAGCCAGAAATACCATGCCTCTGTGTGTGTGTGTTTTCCTCACCCATTTTCTTCTCTTCAACATACTGAGGTCTCCACTTGCAGCTTCCTCCGACCTGCAGGGGCAGGGTACTGGGAAGAGGTACCCTCGGGCAGGGCTTTGTACAATCTGTGTGCATGGGTACAAGTTGCCATGCAAATGGGCAGTGGCCTCCACAGTAATGGTTTCCGCTCTCTGCAGCTTGTGCACGTCTGGTGTTGTGCGGCTGCACATCAACAGCTGGCTGGAGGTGAGCTTCTGCTTGCCCCACAAGATCCACTACGCCACTGCGAGCCTCATCCCCCCTGAAGCCATCGAGCGCAGCCTGAAGGCCATCCGGTGAGTGGGGCCCCATGTGCGCTCCCTGCAAGGCCCTTTCTCTTTAGCTTCTGCCCGAGGTTTAGCTCGTGACTTTGCTCCAGACATTGTCCTTTCCTCTTCCTGCCACAGAAATTGGCAGATAGGGCTCTCCTGTTTATAGAAGTGAAAACACATGTTTTTGTGTCTGGTTTTGCACAGAAATGACCAGCCCTGGGTTTCCTCTGGGCCGTTGGGACACCCCCTGGATGAGTTGTGCTGAGGTCCTCGCCTCAGGCCTGGGCACTGTGAGGCCGAGCATCCTGGGGAGAAGCCACACCACTGGGGGGTGTTGTCTTCAGTGTGTTGCTCACCGGCTCCCCTGCATTTGAATCTGAACTTGCAAGATCTGTTTCTCAATGTAACTGATTTCCTGCAAGGAAAGAGCTGAGCTCAGTCTCTCCTCCACTCACCTCCCAATCAAGTCCCCAGTTTCCTTAAATATTTTTTAATTAAAAAAAGAAATCTGGGCACATTCCAGAAAATTTGAAGAGGTCAGAAAGCAAAGCACTGCCTCGCCCTTTTTTCCCTCCCCCCATCTGTGCTCCAAGTCCACATCTTTCCTTCTCAGCTTCGTGCTTATTTTTATGTAGTTCTATTCATAGTCTCAGTGGCGGTTTTGCTTTTCCCATATCTGGAATTCTCTCCTTAGGAAAGATTCATTCATTTCTTTTTGGGCCAATCAACAAACATTGGCTGGGCAGTCAGAGAGGTGGGAGATGGAGTAGGGTTGTCAGGCCTGTCTCAGGTTTGTTCTTATTTGTTTTTTCCTGAGAGTGACTGTCATCCTTGCAGATGTTTAAAGGTCCCTGGACACACCACTGTCCTCATCTCTAGTTCCCCCTGTGGTCTTTCCTCTCTGAGGTCCCGGCCTGTGGGCCCAGCCATACCTTTGTATCTGGGTGCACACCTGGTGCTGGGGACTTGTGGCCGGCAAGTCCCCTGACCTGGCTCTGCTCTGCAGCCCGTACCATGCCTTGCTGCTGCTCAGTGATGAGAAGTCCCTGCTGGCCGAGCTCCCGCTGGACTGTTCCCCCGCCCTGGTGCGCGTCATCAAGACCACGTCCGCTGTCAAGAACCTGCAGCAGCTGGCCCAAGACGCGGACCTGGCTTTGCTGCAGGTAGTGCCCTGGGGGCCCAGCGACCCATTCAGGATGCGGAAGGGTGGGCGGGAGGGGGCGCTGGGCATCAGGAAAGCAGGCCACCCCTGTCCCGCTGAGATCTGGTGACAGGTGGCTCTGGGGTCGGTTTCTGAGTCCGGCCTGGCCTCAGGGCTGGCTTTGAACTCGCCTCGGGACTGACTTCCTCCTGTGTGTGGAGGGTGGTGAGGCTGCTGCAGTCATTGCTGGGTGGACAGGATGCCAGGGTGAGGTGGCTTGCAGGGCTGAAGTGGAGGCACACAGCGTGTGGCCGCATGAGAAAGCCGTACAGCCCGTTTTTGGTGATGCAGGAAGTGAGGGCAGGACACATGGACGTGGGCCTGCCCATCTGCAGAGCCAGGACCTGACTGGTGGCACTGATTACCCCTCTGTGTGTGGGTGAGTGTGTGGTCTGAGTGAGGTGCCATCCCCTGGCTGAGCTGTGTGCTTGTGGGCCACCCTTTCTGATTGGATGGAGGGTCCTGTCACCCTGGCTGTGGATCTTGCTGGAACCTGGGCAAGGGCAAGGGGGCGAGGACAAGCACAGGGAGAAATTGCAGGCCAGGGGCAGGGGTGCCTTCCGAGGGACAGCCTGAGGGGCTGAGAAGAGAACAGGACCCAGGTTCTGGTGACTGTGGGCACCATGTGGCCACCAGGGGGCATCCGGGCCTGGCCCAGGGAACTGTGGTTCCCGCAAAGGCCAGTTGGCGGCAGCTTTCTCAGCCTGGGCTGAGGAAAGAGCCAGGCGAGAGGCTGGTCCACCTGGGGACCTGAGAGGCATGTCAGGGGAGCGTGTTATCAAGGCCTGACTCTCAGGCCGTTTATCCCCAAAGCAGTCTTTTTGGATTCTGTCACCCAGAGTAAGCCTATCCCTCATCTGCACCCCATGACTTTCGTCCGCCCCCCATGAAAATGTTTGTTGGGTTCTGCTTTGGTGTTTCCCAGGCTCCTGGACTGGACTGGCCTAGTGAGGACCACTGCTCGCCTTCATGGCATCCACGAGACATAGAACCTTAAACATGCTCACTGTTCCGTGGGAGTTCGTTCTGACCAGTACCTGGAAGGGGCAGATACCTGTGTCTACAGCTCCCATGTCAAGCTTCGGAAGGGGCTGGCCCCTCTGTCCACAGGGAGTCTGTCTGGATGCCGTGCCTCCCCCTCGTCAGTGTCTTTGGACAAAGACAGAGCTCTGAGGGTGTCCACTTCGCCTCCCTGCCCCGGCCTCGCCTGCCATGGGGAGACTGTGGTGGTTTCCCGGCACACCCACTGCTCTGTGATTCTACAGGGGCTCCCTGGGGCCCAGCCCCGGGGGCGGGCCCACCAGCAGGTGGTGCAGCGGACACCCCGTGTCCGCACCCTGTGTGAATGTGACTGTCACCAGATGATTTTAGTTGTTATTTTTTCTTTTTTTTGTTTCATTCTTTAAAAAAGAAAAATTTTTTTTTGGTCTTTTTTATTGTTTCACCCAATGATTTAAAATCACTCATCTACAAGTAAACATTTGGGGTTTTTTTGGTCATGATTGAATTGATATGTTCTGTCTCATAAAAGTTTAAATAGCACACAAATTACAGACACAAAAAGAGAAAGTCCTCACAGTCCCATATTGCAGAGGTAACCCCTGTGGATTCCTCCAGGTTTTTCTCTATGTATAATACTAACATACTCCCTTGGAATCACAGGATGAGGATCCCACCTTACATCACTTGTGATTGGCTGAACGATGCCTATAGACCTCCACATCCCGGTCCCCCCTGGGACCTGTGAAGGCGACCTTGTGTGGGACTTGGCAGATGTGACTAAGGACCTTGAGATGGGGCAGTGGTCCTGGATTATCTGGGTGGGCCCAGTTGGGTCACAAGGGCCCCTGTAAGAGGGAGGCAGAGGGAGAGGAGGCGAGATGTGACCGTGACGTGGCCACACACCGAGGCATGGGCGGCCAGCGAGGCACACAGCACATCCTCCCCTAGAATCCTTGGAGAGCATCACCCTGCCAACATGTTGACTCCAGCCATGTGACACTGATTGCAGACTTGGTCTCCAAAATGGTGCTGTGGCTCCAGGAGAGGCAGGCGGTGGAGACCACTGGGTGAGGGTGGTGACAGAGATGAAGGGAAGTGGGCATGTCCTTGCTTTAGAGTGAATGTCAGTGGGACTTGGGATGAGAGAAAAGAGGGGCAGCAGTGGAGCCGAAATGTCCCGGGTTCGAGTTGGCACTGCCACTTGGAGGTCCCATGTGCCGAGAGGAGGTAGAGGTGTCCGTGGCAGTGTTGCCGGCCTTGCATGCACGTAGGGGTGACTTACCCCTCAGGGGCACTCAGGGATGGTGAAGAGGGGCAGCAGGCCCACCTGGGTGATGCCCACCTGCATGATGCCCACCTGCATGATGCCCACCTGGGTGATGCAGAATCAGACATGCGCAGTGCCTTTCTTTCCAAGAAGCCCTACAGGGCCCTGTTCTCAGGCCCGGCCTCCCCTCGTTAGTCTGGAAGGAATTCCTGGCATCTTAGCCTGTCTGTGACCCATCCTGATATCCAAGAGTACAGGAGAGAGGTCAGTGGGGGTTCTCGAGGAGGCTGGGACAGAGATGAGTGCGTGGGGTGGAGGGCATGTCCAATGACCCCACATCCATTGTCACGCGGAAACCCCTGCCCATGCTGGAACCCTGTGGGGGGTAGGGAGCTAGCCTCTGCCAGGATGGCCAGCCAAGCCCTTTGCTCAGCTGAGCTGAGCCCATGACCCTGGGCGCCCCACATGTCCCCTTGTTCAGTGCCAACCAGGAGAGCATAGGGCCCTCATGGGAGATGACGGTCCCAGACCACACAGGGAGCAGTGACAGAAAGACTCGTTGCTCTGAGCAGACAATGCTGAGTGTGCCGGCTGCGCCCGCACCTTGGGGGAAGCGGGGTTGTTGGGAGGAGCCCCAGTGGTCAGCCTCCAGGCACTGGTCTGCCAGCCCCCTCTCCCCACAGGTGTTCCAGCTCGCGGCTCACCTGGTGTACTGGGGCAAAGCCATCATCATCTACCCTTTGTGTGAGAACAACGTCTACATGCTGTCCCCCAACGCCAGCGTGTGTCTGTGAGTTCCCCTGGCTGCCGGAGGCGGGGCCCCTCGGAAAGGGTGTGGCTGGCAGGGCCCTCCAGGGGGCTCTCCTTGGGTCAGCCCGGCCTCTGCGTGCCCAGGTTTCAGTTCTGGCCTGGGCCAGCACCCACAGCCCTCCCTGAGCCTGTACTCCTCTGGCGCCTGCAGCCTCCAGGAAAGGCCTGTGAGTTCTGGACCGGGTGCCTGATGGGAGGTCAGGAGCCTAGGCCTTGATTTGGGGGCTCAGAGGGGCTCTGGGGCAGCCTGCGCCCATGACTTCTGCTGCCCTGGAGGGAAAGCAGTTCTGTCTTGTCGCACCCATCCTGGCCTGCCCACCGTGGGCTTGTGGCTAGGGCACGCATGCTATGCATATATCGGGGAGGTCGCTGAGCTCACGGACACGCTTGCCTCACCTGTCCCCAGGTACTCCGCGCTGGCTGAGCAGTTCTCCCACCAGTTCCCATCTCACGACCTGCCCTCCGTCCTGGCCAAGTTCTCCCTGCCCGTCTCCTTGTCAGAATTTAGGAATCCCCTCGCCCCCCCTGTGCAGGAGGTGAGTCACAGGAGCTCAGGGAGACTGGGTACTGCCTACCTGGAAACGCCCGCCCAGGGTCAGTTCCCCATCCAAGGGACCTCCGGGCTGCCGCATCCTTAGCTTTTGGGAGGACAGTGGGAGGGGCCTTGCTGTACACGTGGTCCATGCCTTACCAAAGTGACAAGAAGCTGGCTCACTGGTCAGGCCACCTGCACATGCTTGGCCAGCCCCCCAACCCTTGGGCAGCCCCATCCTTCCCACCTCCACCCCCGTGGAGCCTGCCCTGGCTGCAGTGGGTTGTTGTTAGGGTTAGAACTGTGTCAAGGGCCCCAGTCAGGAGAACACTAACCTTTCCTGGGAGGACAGAGCCACATGATGGCCCCTCTGGGCCTGGGTCCTACAGGTGGAGGACGCAGAGATAGCTCGCTTTCCCTGAGCCTTGGCCCTGCCCTCCTTTCCCTCCCCATCGTGGTCCAGGTGGTCCCTGGGTCCAGGCTCACCGGTCCCCAGAGTCTCATCTGAGAGGACCTGAAGAGGAGAGGCCCAGGATTGGCCCTACCCAGTGGGCCTGGGGCAAGCGTGGGCCCTCCAGGGAGGTGTGAGTGGTGGAATGAACGGGTGAGTTCTGTGTCTGGCAGGATGGGGCGAGTGTGGCCTGAACCCTCCTCTCTGAACACCTGGAGCTCCAGGCAGGGACCCAGGGAGCAGCCAGATGGGACAGGTGTCAGAGATGGGGTTGGGTGTTCTCAAGGCTTTGTCTAAAGTATTTGCTTTAATAAACACCAGATCTGTTAGGCAAAACCAGTCCTGAAAAGCAAACCCTTTCCTTTATCAAATTGTGAATGAGAAAGCGATCCCAGCTCCTCAGTTCATTTGGATGCTGAATGCGACAGAGCTCTAAATGCCGTCTTTCATGGAGGCTTTGGTTTCTAGGAACTGTGCCAGGTCATGCCAGCTGAATGAAAGACACACTTTGCATCCGTACCCTCCCCCTTCCCAGCGGAAACTTCCCGATGGTCTGGAAGGCGGGTGGATTTTCCAGGCCAGGCCTGAGGGGCCGCCTCGTGCCTGGTCAGGGGGCCTACATGGAGCTGGGTTTGGTTCTGCACAGGCTGGGTGAGGCTGCCTGCCCCTCATGCCTCCTGCTTCAGGCCCAGAATGTACGCTTCAGTGCTTATGAAGCCTCTTTGTTTTATTTCTTAATTTAATTTTAGTTTACAATCCTTTTCAATTTCATTTGGTTCGACCAGGTCATACACGCCCACGGTACACCCCTATTTCCATGCCTGGTTAGCCAGCCCCTCCCAGGAGGGGACCCCCAAATATGAGCAGGTGAACGTGTGTCTGAGAACAGGGGACACCCTCTGTATGCCTTTTCCTGCTCACCGGTGCTGGAGCTCCGCCCACACAGGGCTTCTCACTGCTCCTAGTCAGGTGCCCGGTGGGAGAAGGGTGGGTGCCATGCCCTGGGGACTGCACAGCCCAGCAGGGGTCCCTGTCCTGGGCAAGCTTTCAGGGTGACCTTAGGAGAGGACTTTTGCTCTCAGGACAGCTACCCACAGCCTGTCTCTGAATAGTGTCCAAGCCACAAGGAGGGGATGCCACAGGCCCAGCTCTGTGTGGTGCTGGGGCCCGAGGGGCACGGCCCAGTGGTTGGGGGAAGCGAGACAGAGCAGTGGCGGCTCAGAGTCCGGAGGGCACAGGGGCCTCTGTGTCACAAGTCCTGCTCCTCAACTCTGGGAAGAAAAGGCCAGACGCTAGGGCAGCCCATGTGTGTGGTGGGAGGAGGTGCAGGGGGGGCCCTGGCCCCGCTGCCTTCCTGGGGAGAGGGGGGCAGTCAGGCTCACAGAGTCAGCCAGCAGCTAAGAGCTCCTTCCTGAAGTGGGAGCCTTCCTGCCCCAGGTCAGCCCCATGGCTCATACACCCCTGATCTTGTGAGGGTTGTGTCTTAGGCCCTGGCTCCCCGATCCTCTCAGGAAGGGAACGGGTTGGGGGGTGGCCTCTTCCCGCCCCAGGCCTCACGCTACGTGTCCTGCAGACCCAGCTCATCCAGATGGTGGTGTGGATGCTGCAACATCGGCTCCTGGTCCAGCTGCACACCTACGTGTGCCTGATGGCCTCACCCAGTGAGGACGAGCCCCGGCCGCGCGAGGACGAGGTCCCCTTCACTGCCAGGGTCGGCGGCCGCAGCCTCAGCACGCCCAATGCCCTCAGCTTCGGCTCCCCAAGTAAGAGCCCTCTGCCCGGGGCATCTGTCTGGGGCGGGGGGGAGGCTGAGCACCTGGGGGACACTTGGGGGTGGTGGCCAGGAGGTCCGACAAGGGCCCTGCAGGGAACGACCGAGGCACCTTCACACGGCCACACGCACACACACCCCTGACCCTCATGTGGGCAGTGGGGCCCTCATGCAAGGCAGCCTCCCTTGAAGGAGGCCAGGAGACCACCCCCATCTCCTTGCGCTTCTGGGGCTCTGAGGAGGGGCCTGCCCTGTTACCCCCACCTGGGAGTAGAGCGGATTTCTTAGCCTCACGGGAAGACAGCTAAAACCTCTGTGCCCTGGGCAATGAGGATACTATCATAGTCCCTTCTTGAAAGAGCCACTGTGGCCACAGCGTGCCCCCAAAGGCAGCAACCCATTGCCAAGCCCCGGGTCCCTGGGCTTGGGGAAGAAGGGGGGCTGGAAGGCTTTGCAGGCAGTGCCTCCACTGGCCTCGGGCTTCAGGCTCGGTGCAAGGCCCCGGCCTGCCCAGGGCTCTCCGTTGTCCATACTGGGTGGAGGGGTGTCCTTGGGGGACCGGCTGCTTCCTGATCCATGCCCATCCATAGCCAGCAGTGACGACATGACGCTCACGAGCCCCAGCATGGACAACTCCAGCGCAGAGCTGCTCCCCAGTGGCGACTCCCCGCTGAACAAGAGGATGACCGAGAACCTGCTGGCCAGCCTGTCGGAACACGAGCGGGCAGCCATCCTCAGCGTGCCCGCAGCCCAGAACCCTGAGGACCTCCGCATGTTCGCCAGGTGGGAACCAGGTGCCTGGTGGGAGCCGAGTGCCAGATGGGAGCTGGGTCCCTGGTGGGAGCTGGGTGCCAGGTGGGAGCTGGGTAGGGCCGGGTGGGGCCGGGGCCCAGTCCAGGGTCAGGGCAGGAAGTGGATGGGATGGACCCGACAAACCCACCTGAAATCCATTCACCAGTCAAGGTCGTGTCTCAAGCACTAGGTGTCCCCACCTGGCACCTGTGTGTGCCAGGCGCGGGCAGTGCAGTCTGTGGCTGAGACGCCAGGCCTGGTGCCTCTGTCTTTGGGAGTCTCTTCAGCACTTCCTGGGTGTTTCTTGTCACTTCTTGGGAAGTAGCAGCAAGTTTTCATCCTCTTGAGGCTTGGCAGGGATTCTTCCCAGGACTTTTAGCCTGGTGTGGGGGATCCAGGATCCCCACATCATCGGTGACTTTGTCACACCCACCCTTCACTTGGGGAACACTGTAGGTGTATGGTTTTCTGGGATAGGTCAGGCTATCAGGGACCGAGCTCCCAGTTAAGAAGCACATGCCAGGCAGCTATTTCAAGTCGCTGGCCAGGCCTCCTGTGCCAGCCCAGCCTAGACGCAGACACCCCTAGAGCAGCGAGCCTGTTTGGACCAAGAGCCACATGGACTTGTTGCCACAGCAGCATGAAAAGGAGAACCTTCTGGCAGACCTGTCCCCCTGCGCTGTCCCTACTGCGTCAGAACGCTGAGGGTGGGAGTGCCCCCAAGCTCAGGTGGGCTCCAGGGTTTGAACAGCCCTGTGTCCTCACAGACCCGCTTCAGGGGCTCACGGTAGGCAACTCCTGCCGTGTGTGTGTGTGTGTGTGTGTGTGGGAAGGGGCGTCTGAGCCACGCTCCCCCCAGCTCTGCTGTGGCCTGTGGGCTGCTCAGAGGCTGCTAGAACAGAGGCTAGCTAGAACAGAGGCTAGCCTGGGCTCTGCCACACCCCCACCCCCAGGCTCCTGCACTACTTTCGCGGCCGCCACCACCTAGAAGAGATCATGTACAACGAGAACACGCGGCGCTCACAGCTGCTCATGCTCTTCGACAAGTTCCGCAGTGTGCTGGTGGTGACGACCCACGAGGACCCTGTCATCGCCGTCTTCCAAGCACTGCTCACCTGAGCCTGTGCTGGGACGTAGAGGCAGCCTGTGTGGTGGGTGAGCAGTGGCATCCCCCACCAGGCTACCTCCCACCCTCCCTCCTGGGGGCCTGCGTCCTCTTAGCCCTGAGGCCTGACTGCAGCCTGCAGCCTGTCCGTGGGGCTCCTGCCCTGTGCATGCTCACTCTCACCTGGTCCTCCAAAGTCCCGGTATCTGAGCTGAGACAGTGAGGCTGTGGGCAGCGTCTGTGATGCAGACTTCCCATATGCAGCTCGGGGCCGCCTGTTCCTCTGACCTTCCTCCGATCATGTGGGTGTTCCCTGGCCCCCCTCCAGTGCTGCCCTCCCAGACTATGGGGGCCGAGTGCCCGGCCCATCCTGCATACCCACTGCCCTGCCCTCCCAGCTGGCTGTGTGCCCTCCCTGGCAGGCCCTTACTACAATCCTGCTGGGCACCAGGAAGCTCCTCTTCACCACCCAAGGCCCAAGGCCCGGTGAAGGCGTCCTCAGCACCCCCTTGGGGTGGGTCGGCCCTGGCACTCCCAGTCCTCTGCCACGTGGGGTGGGCAGGCTGCAGCAGGCCTGAGGGAGGAAGTGTGCACACTGGGCCTGTCTCTAGGTACCCTGTGGCTCACACAGGGCCCCTGATGTCCCCATCCTGGAGGAGGAGCTGACCACTGAGGGCAGCTCAGGCCAAGTGAGACACAAGTGGCACTATTATATTTTCTAGAAAATGAAGCATTTATTTAGTTTTTAAACAATTAAAAAGCCTGCCTTACTCAGGCCTGTGTGCCCTGCTCAGCCACTCTGTCCACCACGCTGACCCAGGGGCTGCCCCGGATGTAGAAGCGCAGTGGCTTCTGGACCCACTCCCCTGCGTGGCCAATGCCCACTCGGGCTGCTGCCACCACAGCCGGCTCCCTGGGCTCAGGGGGGCCCTGCTCCAGCCACACGGCCTCATCCTTTGCCAGGTCCCGCTGGTCGAAGCTCTTGTCAATGGCTAGGGCCTGGCAGAGCTTGGAGGGGCCGCTGCAGAGCTCGCGGTCTTTGAGGGCTCGGGCGCTGCCCTTCCGGTGGGCACTGCGGAGCTGTCGCATGGTATCCATGCCCCCCAAGGGCTCCAGTGCTCGTAGCAGGACACATGCCCCGTCTCCTATGGGACAGATGGACAGCCTGGAAGCGGTGCCTCCCCAGGCCGATTGGCCCTCCCTACCCCAGGTCACAGCCAGCACTGCGGGGTGATGCAGCTGCCTCCCTGAGAACCCCTGGACTCACGCGCTGTCCAGACCCTCCACCCTCAAGGCCCCAGGAAGCCAAGGCCTGACCACCAGCCAGGGAGAACTCGTGAAAACGCTTAGCAAGTGTTTGCAGCTGGCCCTCTCTGGTTTGGTGATCAGCAGCGGCTGTACGGCTGGCAAAGGAAGCCCCACCAGAAAGCAGGAAGCCTCAGGCCTGGCACAGAGCGCTGCCGGTCCCAGGACCCCCACCAGCCTCTACCCACTCATTGTCTGCTGGACAAGCCAGAAGCTTGGTTCAGCAGCTTCCGAGTGTGCACAGGAGACTGGGTAAGCCCCACCCCATGACTAAGTGGGGAGACGTGCCAAGTGTCCCTCCCCCACCAGTCCAGGCTGCTTCAGAGGCTAGAACCGGCAAACGACACCCCAGGCCCAGGGGCTTGCTCAGGAAGACAAATCTGTCCACATTCCCCTGGCCCTACGTGGCTGGGAACAGTGCTTACTGGGACCGTGGCCTGGGGAGCCCTGACCCCAGCAAGATCACTCTCCTGATACCCCGGCGCTCCAGACTCATTTAGTCCTGTCCTCCACCTGGGAGTCAGAGGCTTAGCCCAAGGGGGTGGCCAGTCCAGTTCCCGCTCTTGGGCCTCATGCACAAACGCCTGCCCATCAGCACAGTGGATGCAGCAGCCACAGCCTGCTGCACAGCTAGTAGCTGGGGGCAAGCGGGTTCCTGTGACCAAACGCTAAACCTTTAACCAGCCAGTTTTCAAAGGACCTTGTTACACTCCCAGGCAAGCAAAGCCTTGATTTCCAGCCTCTCTGTGCTTCCTGGGCCCCTCCCAGCCCACCAGCCTCAGGGTTTCCTCTGTCTACCCTGAGCTCCTGTGGGGGGTCCCTCACTGAGCCCCCAGATGGGTCAAAGGAGCAGCCCATCTCCTTACTTGCCACACCCCTCTCCTGGAACACACCCAAGTCCTGCATCCTGATGCAAGCACAATCCCCAACCTTCCTGCCAGGTCTCTGTGGTCTCACCCCTCCTCCTCTGCCTGGACTGTCTGCTGGCCTCGGCAGTCTCACCTGTGTGCCCTCCTAGTCATCTCTGCCTCTTCCACCCGGCAGGAATCATGTCCTCGGGCACCGCTCCTGCTGCACCTGGATGAGCCCTGACTGCACCTGTGTGGTTTCCTGCCCCCCAAACTAGGTGTTCCTGGGGCATCTTGGTCACGTGTCCATAAAGTCACACACTCCCTCCTGTGCACTCACTGTACCCTCAAACCCTGGCTCCTTTCCTCGCAGACCACAGCCCCGGGCATCTCTGGACTCAGTCTCTCTCCTTTGTCTGAGTTCAGTCCCACCTCATGTTGGTTCTGTTGCCAAAGAAAAGCTCGAAGACCAAATTAAGCTCTCCAGAGTGATAACAGGGCCCTCTGGGGGTGTCCCCACCATCCTCTGACGTCCGATCACTCAGTTTCACTCAACACCCTCTCATGCTTGTGCCAGGCACAGGGCCAGTCACAGGGGTTCCCCGCATCACCTAGCCCCTGCGGCTTTGGCACTAGACGTCCCCAGCCATCCTCTCCGGGCAATCACAGCTCCCACATCACTGGAATCATTCAACAAATGTGTGTGACAAAACACTGGACCCCAGCCCTTCACCAGCCTCCTGGTCTCGGGACCAGTGGGGTAGGCTTGGCAGGCAGAAGGACGGGTTGGCTGGCCAGACCCTGCTCCTGGTCAGCAGTGGCTCTGGCAGGATGGTGCTGTGGGCTCTTCCTAGCACAGACCACCCAGAAAACAGCCCACTGCTCAAGAACAGGGCTTCCCAGACAGGTCCTACGAGGTGAGTGGGTTTTCCTGGGAGACCGAGACCAGCATGTCCCCACTCGGCACTGCTGACATTTGGGGCTGGGTGGTTCTCTGCGCTGGGGGCTTTTCCTGTGAGCTGCTCAGCATGTCCCACCAGCTGTGATGATCACAGATGTCTCCAGATTCTGCCTAGTGTCCCCCTAGGGAGGCAGAATCACCCCCAGTTGAGAACAAGTTATGATTCCAACCCCATAACTGGCTGCCTAGCAAGGCTCCTGCCTGAGCCCAGCTCAATCCGAATCGAGTCCACCCTCCTTTCCCTGCCACCAGCCTTTCCAGTCTACCCTGGGTCATTGGTGACACCAGCTCTGGAACCAGTGGTGGCCTCACGGAACCTGTCAACCCACAACCTCTATTCCATGGGGACCCCCAGCCCCTCTGACCACCCTGAGTACCATCTGAGCTCCTGACACCCCGACCTGGCCTGGCAATGGCAACTCCTGCTCACGCACCCGCCCCACCCTGGCCCTCCCAGGGGTCTCCCAGCTGCCAGCTGAGGGGGCTGTGCTGAGGCCCCCTGCTCCAGCCCCAGCACTGCTAACCTTGGCTGGAGACGTTCATGCAAAAGTACATGCCATAGATGAGGTAAACATACAGGGTCCCCGGCTTCATAAACATGCCACGGTTGCGGGGAGTCTGCCGGCCGCCCCTCGAGTGGGCAGCTTCATCCTCTGGCCCTAAGTATGCCTCAGTCTCCACAATGCGGCCGCGGAGCTCTGTGCCACCATCCAATCGCCGGACCAAGACCTGCGGGCAGTCAGGTGTCTGTTTAGGGTCGGAGGGGCTGGGTCCTCCATCTGGACCTCACCTCCCTAGCTCAGGATGCACCAGGGCCAGCCAGGTTCCCCTCAATGTCCCCTCCTTCCTGCTGTGCCACCAGATAACAGGTTGCAGCCATCTCAAGCTCTGGCCATTGCTAGGCTGCAAACCAGCACTGGTTCTCGCAGCAGGGCCCTCCATCACCCTGCCTCCTCTTCCCCGTGTGCCCCTGAACTTGCTTAGTCTGGGGCAGGGCAGTGTGGCAGGCACAGTGGTGTCCCCACAATGGCCACCTGGGATACTCCAGAGCCTGTGGTGCTTGCTCAACCTGGCCTAACCACAAAGGACCGTCACACTCAGCTCCCACCCACCCAGCTCTGAAAGGCCTTTCTGAGCAGCAGGGCTGGCTGTCCCCCAGAACCCCTGGCCTGAGCCATGGCCCTGGGTGTGGTCAGCTCCATAAGGAATGGGTCAGTGTGGGCAGTGGGCCAGAGAGATGAGGCTAACTGCGGTTGGCCTGGACAATACCTCAGGTGGGGGTGAAGCCAGGAGGGGACACATGGGCCGGCCAAAGACAGGGCGGAGGGAAGCTGCTAGGGGCTGTCCCTGGAGTGGGCGAGTGCTTTCAAGCCAGCAGAGCACCAGGAGAGCAGCCTAGGCCATGGGAAACCTGGGGGCGCTAAGTGTGCCTGGAAGCCAGGTCCTCCCTTGCGTGGCACCTTCCGGCCCTGTGGTGGGGACTATTTCTCGGCTGTGGGACACAGGATAGCCCCGGGAACGGCCAGGACTCATGCCCATGCGCGGAGCCCCAGGCCTGACATGACCAGGGTTCACAGTGGCGCTCTGGGGGCCAGCCACCTCCCCAGGATGTCCCAGCACCTGCCTTGTCCTCAGGTCAGAGCCATCAGTTGGACGACCAGGCCACCTCTGCCTTAGCCCCGGGAATCTAGTATGTCCAGAACCAGGGACGGTGGCACAGGACAGGGAAGGAGGTGCTAGAGCCTGGACACTCAGTGGGGCAGCGTGGGAGCAGGCCTTCCTGGAGGAAAGCAGGGGGTCAGGGCCTCCCCAGGAAGCCCATCTCCAGGCGAGAAAGGGAGGCCCCGTTCCTTCTCAGATGAGGCCTCACTTCCATCTTTCCAGAAGATCAAAGGGGGGGCATTCCTCCATTAGCTTCACTTTCCAAGTTTCCACACCTCTAGGAGGCCTGCTGGGGGGGGGGCGCCCAGGTGCCCTAGAGAGGAGCTTCCCAGGGTACTTTTCTCACTGTCTTTTCTTCCATTTGAATTTTCTGCTCTGACTTTTATTCTGATGTCATTTCCAGAAGGCAGATGTTGGTGGCTGTCCCTAGCCCATCACAAACATATCTCCTCCTTGTGGGTGGAGGGTCCTGGGGCAGGTGACACCCTTCTCAGTTGAGAGGGTAACTCAAGATTGGTTTGGGTTATCATGGCAACACATTGCTCCTTGCAGTGACCTGTTGAGGGATGACCCCAGTCTGGCCAAGGGGTCTGCAAGGACATCCACTGGAAAGTTATAAAAGAGGCTGTCCTCCATCACTAAAGGGACACAGGGTCAAACACTCCCTTCTCTGCTGGATACGGCCCTCCACCCTCAGGCTCAAGTGGGCATGATGGGAGCCTCGGGGGAGACTGACATGCTGACACTCCCCTGCCCCAAGTGCCATTGTATGACATCATAAACCCTCATTATTGAGGGTGCTTTTAGAAGGATCTGGCCCTTGCAGCTACCTGCATGAGGACAAGGAGGGCTGAGTCAGAGGCACGAGCCCAGTGGTGACAGTCTGGGACCCAAAGATGCTGCACGGGGACGACCACTTCGGCAGAGGCCATGTCACTGTGTTTACATTACCTGTCCCAGAAATGCCTGGGCCAGGAGGACGGCAGGCTGGTCGAAAAAGTCTGATCCCAGGCGAGCAGGGTGGCCTTTGGGACTCGAGAAATAGATGCTGCGTTGGGGGACCAGGGTCTTGGGCGGCTCCAGGCGGGGCTCCTTGGGGAAAGGAATGTGTGCTCCATTGGGTGGGCTCTGAGGCTGCTCAGCTGTCAGTGGTCGCTGCTTTTTTTGCCCCAGTTTGCGGGAAAGCTGCAATGGGAAAGGACAACATAAAGTCTGAACAGGAGAGGGCAGACGATTGTGTGGTGAAGTCAGGATTGCAGAGTTCAAGGACCTTATCTAACTGCTTGCCTCAGTTTCCTCATCTGCAAAATGGGGGCAAACAGAATGCCAGACCTGATGTACTCAGCCCCTGCCAGGCCCCAGGAAGCCTGGGGAGATGACCACATGTGAGGGCAGACGGGTGGCAGTAGTGACAGGGTGATCACTCTGCTCCACACGCCCTCCACGTACAGGAAATGCACAACTCAGTGGCAAAGAGCTGCAGGGCCCAGAGTGGAGACAGTGGGGACCCAAAACTGGGACAGAAGCACCGGTAGCCTGATTCCCATTGATCACCTGGGCCCCAAAGTTCTCAGCTCGTTTCTGGAACCCCGCCCTTTGCATTGGACCCTAACCAGGAATTTGGTCAAGGAGTGGATTGTGGGTCAGTGTGTCATCCACACCCTGCCCCCACCCAGCTGACATGTCCGCTGTGCCAGACCCCTCCTCAGAATGGCCCAGAAAGTCTGACACACACAGCTGGGTGAACACCAGGCTGATCATCTGCTTGGCCCCACTCCAAGTGCTCAGCACATGACCCCCCCTCTCCCCCCCAGTGAGTCCCCCAACTGGCCTCTGCCTCATGACCCAGTATGTCAGAAGGACAAGGAGCAAGCAGGACAAAGGTGAGGTCTCCCATCGGAGGAGGAGGACCGGCTGAGACCCCGCACACGTTCTGCTTCCTACCTGCCCCCACACATGCCCCACCCCCATCCCCGGAAACCTGAGCACACACCAACAACCATGAGCGGAAGATAAAGGGAGCAGGTGGGCACTGGGGGCCTGGAAACACCCTCCTCAGGGGCTGATCGTCAGCAGTACCCGTGTCTCCCCAGCATAAGACACTCATTATTTTTAACAGAAGTGCTGACGTTCCATGGTGGACGGAGACGGCCAGTCGGCTGAGAATGGATGCTGACGTGACCGTCTCTACAGTCTGGCCCATCTGCCAAAACCCACCATGGGCTCAGACTCCGGGACTCTGAGGCCCCTGCTCTTACCCAGAGTTTAGCCCCCGGCCTGCCCCATGGCACTCGGGTCACACTGGGTCTCTGCCCTGGCCCACCTTGGGTGGTAGGAGACTCACGTGGCTGCCCAGAGACTAAGCCTCAGACCTCGGATTCCAACCTGCTTCTGAGGCCTTCGCAGCAACAGCCACATAGGCTGCTTAACCCAAGGGCTGAGGAATGGAGTGCCCCTGCTGTTGCAACTAAGGGTGAGTGCTGCGTCAAACCGTGCACCTGGGTACCTCCCATGCATTACCTGGCCCTGGTTAGAAATAAGGGTTTCCTGGGTGAAGAGCCCCAGAAAATAACAGGTGTCTGTGCCTCTGTCCCCTCATCTGCGGAAAGGGAACCAACAACATGTGCCCTGAGAATAAAATGAGAGACGCCAGGAAAGCACTTGGCTGGCACACAGCAAGCACTCAATGAGTGGTGGGAAAAAAATACCATCCACGGGGGATGCCAATTGCTAGGCTGGGCCCACCCGGTGGAGGGCAGCAAACAGCCTGGCCTGGATGGGGATCTTCAAGGGACCCACCAGCCCTCCACCAAAATGTGGGCAAACGGGGGATTAGTAAATAAAGGGAGAGCATTTATCAGGCTGTGACAGGCAGTGAGGCCAACTGCTAAGCCAACCCCATGGGCTCCTGGGTAGGGGGCGTCTAAGCTGGGCCTGAGTGCTCAGCATTAACCAGGAAACCGGTGTCGGGGTCTCCTCCCAGACCTCACTGGCGATCTTGGGCCGAGGTAGGCTTTGCTTCTGGCAAATGGAGCAGCAGAGCAGACCCTGCTGGTGGGCGCTCATTATGGGAACGGCAGACCCCGTCGGGGGCCGGCCGTGCGTACGTTACTGCTTTAGCTCCGGTTGTGATTCTCGCCCTCCGAGCCTGCTCCTCGGCCATCCACGGAGCGAGAAGCACGCTCACCTGGGCGCGAACTTACCTGGGCCCCGCTGCGTGAGGGCATCCCACGGCTCGGGCCGGGACTCTTTTGGAGCTGGGAACAGCCCCGTGCGGAGTCCACCCCAAAACTAACACCGGAAGCACCGCCCGGGACCGGGGGGTGGAGCCGGCGCCTGCGCGGAGGAGGGCGGAAGCCAGCGAGTAGGGGCCTGGAGAGCTGCACACGAACCCCGCCCCCGGAGGAGGGGCCGGGGTGAGCCACACCGAGGTGGCCGGGCCGGACTCGGGCTCTGGAGGGATCCCCATGCCCGGCGCTCCACCTGCTATCCTGGACAAAGGTTCAGGGCTGCTGGGGCACTTGTGGCGTGAGAAGGCGGCTGGGGTTGGGGCGAGACCCCCCGCGCCTCGGCACCCTTCCCAATGACCTGCCCCCCGCCCTTTTCGTACCCTGGTCCCCTCACAGTCGTAGAACCCACCCAGAGGTGGTCAGACCACCAAGAGGACTGGTCCGTCATGAACTTTGGGCCCTCCAGGGGACCCGGTTGGAGGTGTAGTTCTTTGGGGGAGTGGCCTGCAGATGGTTCGGTGGGATGCACGTGGAGGGCACGTGAGGGAGGTGGCCTGGAGACCTGGTCCTTGGGACACGCCTTCCTGGACCGCGGAGGGGGCATTTGGGTGGAGAGGATAGGTTGGGCGGGGGAGTGGCTCAGGAAGTTTGCCCAGGAAGCGCATGCCAGGCCTGCCCTGTTCGGAAGCCCTCGCTAAGGTCATCACCGCAGGTGGTCCGGGGATTCGGTCTCTGTAGCGGAGCCCCTACCCCTCCCGCCGCCCAAGGATGCTGAGAGGAGCCCGCCCACGTCCTGGAGTGGGCCTGCTGGAGCGCGCGGGAGGCCTGGACTAGGGCTGTGGGGAGAATAGCGCTGGAGGCAGTATGAGGAACACTGCTGCCCTCCACCTCTGACGCCCCTTCCCACACCCACACCTGCTGCCCACCCTGCCTATAATTTCTGATGTCAGTCGGATTTGTGCCCCCAGGGGGAGGGGAAGTGGAATCTGGGGAGGACAGTGCCTGGTCCAGAGGAAAGAAGCCCCATGGGTAGTGGGTGTTCAGGCACAGGACTGACTGTTTAGGGGGATGCCCCTGTGGGGAGGCGGCACACTGGCAACTCCCATTAGAGGCCCCCCTCTACCCTGTCGCTCTAGGGTTTATCTGGGTCTGTAGGGCCTCTCTGCTGTGGCAGGTACAGTGTCACCCCCTCTACAACCTGCCCCTGTCCTGGGTAAACCCTGGCCCTGAGAGGGGGTACCATGGGGTCTCAGAGAGCCATTGGGCATAGGATGGTGTGTGATGCAAGATGCTGGATGGGCCCTGTGACCGGATCTCCGATAAGCATGGCACCTGGTCTCAGGATGAGTCCAGCTGGGACGACTGTGGTCTCCAACTGCCCCTCCTCCTCTGACCAGCCCAGGAGCTGAACTCCAGCCCCTACCCCCACCCCAGGGCCCCAACCAGGACTTCCTGGGGACGGAGGGGCAGCAGCCTTCCAGCTGCCTGGAAGCCACCCAGCTGTCTGTGGCACTGTATGCTGCTTCCGGGGGTGGGCACTGTGTCATAAACCCATGTTTGTAAGGCAGGCCTCCCCTTTTCTTTCTTTCCTCCTCACCCCCTGCAGCCATTCTGCTCAAACAATGACTCCCCCTTCCTGCCTTCCTGTGTGCCCAGCTGCCCTCCCCCCTCCTTTTCCCGTCTCCCTCCCTCCGCCCTCACTGAGGCTCCAGTTATGCCCCCTAACCTTGGTGAGGGCAGGGGCAGGATGGGCGCTGTTTTGTATTAAAGTTTTATTTTGATTTCATAAATGATGCATGGTCCTTGGTAGAAATTATGGGGAGCCCATACATTCCCAGAGGGGATTGTATTCCCACCGTGAGGATGAGGAACCAGAAGCTTGGAGGGCAGCCCTGGCTGTCCCCCAGGAGGAGGAGGCAGGGCCTGCCCCTGCACTCCACTTCTCCAGATGTTCCAGCCTGAGAGCAGGGGCTTGCGCAACCTCTGCAAGGGGGGCTCTTGCCCCCCACACACTTCCTGGTTTGTGGTCTGAGGCCCCACCGCAGGCTGGAAGTGGTGGGTTAAGCATCCCCAACTGTGGCCTGCAGGGCCGGCTGGGTGGGAGTGAGAGGTGGTGCAAGGCGAGAGAAGGGGCTCGGATTCCTCTGTCCCCAGGGTGCCCTGCTGCTGGGCTACAAAAGGCATGTTGGAGGGTGTCGGTGAAAGAGGACACCCTCGATGCTTTCAAAAGGGTCAGTGCTGGGCTGAGCTGCTCTGTACCCTGCCCAGTCAGCTTACAGCCTACGGAGGGGCCATCAGTCACTGGAGCCTTAAGAGAAAGGACAGCAGCTCTATCAGCCACAGAAGCCAGAGCGCTAGCACCAGCACCAGCTCAGTGGCCTGCTCTCTGAAGTAGGGACAGGGACGACTGACAGCCTCCAAAGGGAGAGTTGATAGGTGGGGGTGTTGAGGGGCTCCTTGGGTAGAGAGGGCTGCTGAAGGAGGTATGTGTGGGCTGCATCCTCCCTTCCTGGGGCTGTCCTGCCAATGCTGCTGGGCCCTGGGCCCAGGTACTCACGGGACCCCTTGCCACACCCTGAGACAGGGGGAGGGACAGCTGCCTCAGAAATAGTCAGTGACTTCAGGCCCCTGGCTGGCCTGGCCCATTTCCGCCTCCTCCCCAAATAGCCAGGGGCTGGTCTTGGGCCCATTCAGGCCCCACTAAGCCCAGGGACTGGCCTGCTGAGTTATGGATTCCATTCCGGAGTGGCTGGCTGCGACTCCTCCTACTGGTGGGGGCTCCCAGTCCCTCAGGTCCTGCAGTGAAGCCCACAGCCACGGGGGTGGTCCAGACGTTCACCATCCCCAGCCACCCGCCCACGTGCTAGGCAGTTGCAGCTGATTTCCGTTCCTCTAGGAAGGCGGGTTTCCACGTAGGGGGCTTCTCCACCAGGGCATAGGGCAGTGGGGCAGACGTGAGGCAGAGCACGGGTGTACCTACATATGTCCATGTGGACTAGGTTCCGACCTGAGCACACATGTGTTGACCCTCCTCCACTCACACCATCGTTCTGATGCCAGCGTCCTTGCTTAGGAGGAGGCCAGGGTGGGCAGAGAACCAGAGATTCCTGGGCCTGCCTGCCAGGGTATACTGAGGCATGCCTTGGAAGCAAAACCTGTGAGGAGCAAGGTTTGCAACAGAGGCTGCTGTGGATCCCACTGGAGCTCGGGGACTGAGAGGGCCCTTCAGAAGTAATCCAATGAACACGGGGAGGCCATTGACCTGTCACTGGACACAGAGACCATCTTCTCTGTGGAGGGGGCTTGATTTGGGGCAAGGTAGCTCTTGTCCACTGAAGGTGACTCCTTGGTGGGTGGGTGGGTGGGGTTTCAGCTGTGAGCCAGCTATGCTGGTTGTCCCTGGCAGCTGGGGATGAGTGTCTGGGTCACGGAGTGGGTCTCTGGGCGGCACCCTGCAGTGTCCACTGCAGGAAGGGATCTGCCAGCACCGGATGCCCAGTTGTGGCATGCTTTGGAGGTGAGCCTGAACCCTGGACTCCAGAGAAGACACTGCTGTACTCCCTGCCAGCCCAGTCTGGGCATCAGGCGGGTGTGGCCTGCTTATCCCTGGCAGGGGTCAAGAATGCTGGGCATGGAGAGACTGTCCTGTCTCTGGCTGAGAGCCTGGCATGGAAGGGGTGGCACGTGTGGGCTGCAGGAGCCCTGGGCATTAGCACTGGGGCAGCCTCCCTCTTGCCTTGTGTTCCCAGTCCACCTGTAGCCACCCCCCTCAACTAGTGAAGGCAACCCTTCTAGCCCCTCCAAAGCTTTCATTGTCTCCCTCTACCTAAGAATCATGTTGCTATATTTGTGTTCATAGAGGACCCCGTATGTACAGGCACCACTTTGTCCCATGGTATGGATAAGGGCACAATCAGAGCATTCTGTCCCTTGGTCAGGCTCTGGGCTGCCACCTCATGTTGTCACCTTTCTTTTCTGTGTAGCCATGGACCAGGTCATTGTCTGCAGTCAGACACTGGGTATAATTTGCTGACGGTGACAGCAACACCATTCAGAGAGGGACATTGTCATTTGGTCCAAGGCCAGCGAAGGGTCTGAGGACTCATTTATGGGCCCTCTTAGGCTTGAGGGTCTGGCCTCAAGTGCCCAAGGGGTTCTGGCATCCAGGGGAAGAAGGGTCCTTAGGAGACCTGTGGTCCCACTTCTGTTTCCTCTGGGGGAAGAAGGGACACCATTGTTATCACACTTGAGGGGAGGCCTGGGCCCCTCTACCACTTGCAGCTCCTGCCTGGACCCTGCTATTGGCACACCTCCCCTGTTCCTGGGTCTTTTTCTGGGTGGTCTCAGCCGCACAGACTCCTGCAATGTCAGGAGAGAGGAATGCTGCGAAACTCCCACCAACAGCCTCAGCCTAGGAGCAGATGGGCCATACTGAGTCCAACTCTGTGCAGGACGAGCCCACCAGGAGCGATTGGTGGGCTCTGAAAGAGAGTAAAGCACAGAGTGGGTGCCAGACACTGTGCTGCTGCCTCTGCTCCGAGGGCTTTCGAGGCCCAGCTGGCCCCGGGAATGCCTATTGGGAGAGCACCATTTCCAGGGGTGGGGAGCACACGGCCCAGGGACAGGGGAACTGCTCTCTGATCCTGCCTTTGGTGTATGAGTGTGCAAACACAGATGGGAGTGTACAATCGTGGTTCTGTGCACATGTGTAAATGTAAGCGTGGGCATGAAAGTGTGTACAATTGCGTGTAGGCGTAGGTGTGTATGAGTGTGTACACAGGTGTGTGAATGAATATGTGAGCACGTGTGCATGAGTGTGAGTGTGTGCAGCTAGTGAGAGTGCTCATGTGGCACTGATGGAGTGTAGGGTAAGAACTTGTTAGCGTGGGCCGCTGGGGGAGGTTTGGGGGAGAGCCAGGGATACTCTCCCGGACACCCCTTCCGTCCCCCATTCCCCTCCACTGCGGCCTGTTCCCTCCACTCTTTCTCAAGCACTGGTCTAGGCCCAGTAAGGTCAGGACTCACTCTGGAGTCTAGGAGAGGCTGAGGAGACCAGGTCTGTAGTTGACCAATCGGCTCTGTCTAGTGGGGCCACCAGGTCCTCCCTCCTCGGCCAAGTCGCTCAAGAGCCCCCAGCCACAGGTGTTCTCGCGGCCGGACACAGGGGAGAGCGGAGCTCAGCGGCCTTCCCGGAGGAGGTGACTGGGCCCGGGCGGGCCGCGCGCATTCCTGAGCCCTGAGTCAATGCGGCCGCCCCCTCCGGCCGGGCCCGCCCCCGGCGCGCACGCCCCTCGCTCCATGGCATTCCCCGGCGGGCGGGCCGGACGGGCGGGCGAGTGGGCGCGCGGGCGGGGTCTCGGCGCGGGCGCCCTCCCGGCCGGCGGCGGCAGCCACTCCCCGAGGTCTGCAGGACCCCCCGAGGACCCCCGGTGCCGGCGGCGGCGGTGAGTGAGCGCGCCAGGAGGGGGGGCGCAGGGCGCCGCGAGCTGGGCGGGTCTGGGGCTGCGTCCGCTGCGCGCGGGGCCCGTCCTCAGCCCATCGCGGCGGGAGCAGCTCGGAGCGGCCGGAGCCAGGTCAGGTCCGGAATCCAGGTCGGGTCCGGGTCCGGGTCCGGGGTTGGGACTAGTACCCGCCCGAGGCGCCGGGACTTTCCTTCCCGGAGTTTCCCTGAGCCGTCCGCGGAGGCGGCCCAGCCCCGGATTCCAAACCCGGCGCGCCGCAAAAATAGCCCGTGGCCGGATTAGCACGTCCCAGCGGACTGACCAGGCCGGACAGCTCGGCTCCAGCCCCCGCCCAACAGCTGAGGGTCCTGGGAGCGGGAGGGCTCGGAGTCCGGCATGTCCCCAGGCTCCTCTGAGCTGCATCGTACCCCCCACCCCCCACCCCCCCAACCCTTACGTTTTCCTTCCCGGCCACCACCGGTGGGTGGTGTCTCCCAAGTCGAAACTCCGGCTCAGAGGGTGGGACTTCAGGGGATTGTCCCTGTCCTAGCCGTGCTCCCCGGGGATGGGCATCACATCAGCTATAGCAGTAGCTGTGGAGCTAGGGATGGGGACTGACCTGTCTCCCCATCTGTAAAAACTGAAACTGCAGGGCTCTGCGAGCTGCTCCCAGACACCCCCTTACCCGGTGCTCTGTGGCCAAGAGGCGCAGGCCAGGGCTGAGCCTGAGACCACTCTCAGGTGCCTTGACACAGGCCTTCTCTTAGCTGGGGAGATGGAGGGACCCCAGGTGCTCGGGGCACTGGGAGTGGGTTTGGGGGTGGCTGGCTGGCTGCCCTGCTGGGGGCATGCCTGTGGGACTGAGTGGGGAATGGGCAGGAGGTTCCCCCGACATGCCTGCCCAAAGCCCAGATGGTACTGACTAGAGTTGTGCAGCTTGAGGCCATGTGTCTGTGTGTCTGTCTGGTGGGCGGGGCCTGGGTCTGGAGGCCCCAGCTCTCTGCTGGGAAAGCCCCCCCCCCTACACCCCCACCCCTCACCTTGGGACTTCCTGGTAGAGAAGATTCAAGGATGAAACTGGCTTTTCAGGTTTGGCCCAGCTAGGTGCTGGGTTGTCCCCACCCCCATGGAACCAGCCTCAAACCCCTAGCCCCGACCCAGAGATTGATAGGGAGAAAGCTGGGGAACCAAGCAGCTGGCCAGGGCCCAAGGGGTCTCTGAGGCCGAGCGCCCTGCCACCAGGAGTCATTCTGGGTGAGTTGGGTCCTTTTCCCTGAGAACAGGACAGGGGTTTAGTAGGGGGACAGGGGAGTCAAGTGGCCTGGGATTGAACATGTCAGGCCCCACACTCCTTCCCAACCCCTCCCAGCAGCCTCCACTGGCTGACCAGTCTCCTGTTGCACAGACGGGCTTACTGGGGTCCCTCCATCTCCCCGGTCATGAGACGGCCTGCTTCAAGGCACTCAGGCTCAGGCTGGAGTGTTGCTATGGCAGCATCCCTCAGTCAGCCTTGGTGTGCTGATCAGACAGACAAACGGCCACCCTCTGGGAGCTCGCATCCTAGGAGGACCCTTGGTTCAGAGGGAAGCACCCAGGTCTCCCCTGATTTTCAGGGCCCTCTCAGGGTCTTCTCAGCTCCAGTTGCCTCTCAGGGCACTTCCTGTCGTTGCTCTCCCTGGAGGTGAGGGGCTCCCCCACCCCAGCTCCAGTGGCCCTCCCTTGGTGTCTGTTTCAGGATTGACTTTCTGCCCAAGGATTGGATTCCTTGGCTTCTGTCTGGTTTTTGGGGTGGGTGTATTTGAAGGGGACTCCCTCTTCCCTAAACTGAGATGCTATGGCTTAGGGGGGTGGGATGGGGCACAGAGGGGCCTGACAGCCCTCCACAGCCCGAGGAGCCCAGATGGTTTGCCCCTTACCCTGGGAGGCTGTGGCTAGGGCCAGTGAGGCAGGCACATGGGACCCTTTCACCCCAGCTATTGGGCAGACATGGCCCAGGGCTCTGTGACCTCAGGCAGTGACTGGCCTCTCTGACCCTCAGTTTCCTCATCTGTAAGATGGACACATAGGACCCCTTCCAGGGCTTGTGATAGTTCAGCGGGTCAGCCAGGGTTCTTTGGTTTAGGCAGGTGCCAGGCTTGTAATGACTGAAGCCATTTCTGCTCTGATAATGGACTTTGGGGACTTGGTTTCTCCTTGTGGGACCTCTTTAGCTGGGAGGGTGTTGCTAAGCCCCGAGGGTGTCTGGGCCCCAGAGAGCACATGTGTGGAGTCAGTCGGGGGCACTTCTGGGGTCTCTGACTGGTGACCAGGCACGTGGATGGGATGTGGCCTTTTCCCTCTGCAGCTTGAGGGGGTGCTTTCATCTAACTCCCGAGGAGATCCAGCTAGACTCCAGATTGTCACACCCAGAATCTACGGTGGCTAAGTCCGTGCCCCTACCCCTTTGCTGTCTGTAGCATGGACAGATCCTCCGACCTCTCAGAGCCTTGGGGCTCCCTGACCTCGGGGTGTGTCTGCTGTCAGCTCCTGTCAGACTCAGTGGGGTCAGGGACTTTAATTCTGGCTGTTGGTAACCCCTGGGCCATGTGTGCCCACTGAGCCCCTGGGCAGTGCCTCTCTCCAGGGCTGATGCCCCCTTTCCAACCCTGTGCACCATCCGGGTGCCCAGGTCAGGTCCCTGTGCCTTAGGGCCTCCTAGAGCAGGAGGACTCCTGTCGTTCTGTCATGGACCCTCTGCATCTACTCCTCTGGGGGGACAGCAGGTGATTGGTGACACAGGGAGGAAGGGGCTCCGTTTGTCCCCCTTCGGATGGCACCTGGCCATTGGCTGGGTCTCAGGCCTACCCTGCTCCCCTCTGAACCCCGTTTCTTCCACAGAAACCTAGCGGGGTAGCTGGGAGGGATGGGGCCCTGGCCAGTATCTTCCCGATATGATGCTGTTTACAGATGAGATAAAGAGGCCCACAGAGCAGCACGTGGTGGGAAAGGCCTGGATCCTAGGTTCCCAAGGGAGGTCTGGGGCTGGGCCTTAAATTAGGAGTCAAACGGAAGACTGAGGTCAGAGATCAGGGCTCTAGTGGGGAGGTTGGAGGAGTTGGCTTCTCCTGGGACCATGTGCAGGTGAGCTGGGGACACGTTTGGACAAGTGTCCTGGGGTGGGGCTCATTGCTCCAGCTGACCTCGGAGGTTGGCGGTCCCCTGGGCTGGGCGGGACAGGGCCCAGGCTTAGCAGGTCTGCTCCTGGGCCCAGGCCACCCACTTGGTCTCCAGCCGCCCCTGCCAGCATTTCCTGCGAGCGCGCAGGAAAGGCCTGAGTGCCCTGGTGGCTGCTGCTCACACCTGAAGATCCAGCTTCACCCTGGTTGTGGCCATGGGCCAGGCCTGGGCAGAACAGGATGCCTCCCTGCCTGCTTCTGCCCCTTGGCCCACCTTCCCAAACAGGGCATCTCGGAAGGGTCCCGTGCCCAGTTCCCCCTCGGGCTCCCGCTCTTGTTGTACATGCTTTGGGGCCCTCTTACCCCTCGGGCTCCCTGCTCTTCCTTAGGCCGCTCTCCTCAGGGAGCTCCCCAGAGCCGGCGCGCATCACCAGCCTTTCTGGTTTTGATTCAGCTTGCTTCTGGGGCACGTACTTTGTGGCAGGAGCTGCTGTGGCCCCTGATTTGCAGATGGGAAAACTGAGGCTTGTTGGTGAGCAGGGTCTGTGTACAGTGTCTCGGGCCAGGCTCTCCCCACTGGCGCCTGCTTCCTGAGCCCTCCTGCACATGCATAGTGCCAGCCTGAAGGGTCCCTAGCCAACCCCAGAGCAGGAACCTTGCTCAGTGGGACCCTCCCCTTGCCCCCCACCTAGCTCTCTGGTCTGATGGCTGCAGCAGCACCCAGCCTTCTCGCTGCTGCTTAAAGCAGCCCCAGTGGTCCCCTGACATCACGGGGCCCTTGTCCCTCAGCCTTATCTCAAGACTTGCCCCACACTCATCCTGAGCTGCTCAAAGTATCCAGGATGCAGCGCCCTGGGGTGCTGTGCTGTTTTGTGCTCCCCCACCCCCAGCTGGCGTTTGTTCATCAGCACTTCTCACCTTTCCTCCACATGCCCCTTTGGGGGTCTTCTGATGGGGCTGGGCCCTGGGTGGGCAACCGTGAATGTTGCCAGAGTGACTCAGACGCTGTGTGACGGCGGGCAATCCGGTCCTCCCTGGCTGTGGTTTCTCCCTGCACTGAGGGGTCAGCAGAGTGGAGATGCTGTTCGGATTCCCCCACGAGGGGCTGTCGGGGAACAAGAGCCCACTGTGCGCCTGGGGGAGGCCTGGACACTGAGCCACTGTCTCTGGGCGGGCACTCTGCCCCCCCCCCCAGTCCGGACCCTTTGTCCAGCCTGAGCCGGCACCTCCCCCACACCCTTGGGGCCCATGGCGAACCCCACCCCGCCCCGCCTTGTGAATCCCACCCACTTGAGGTCCAGATGGGGAACTGGGCACATAGGGGTAGGGCAGGCCAGGGACCCATAGCACTGAGGGCAGGCTGGGTGTCCTAGAGCTGGGTGGGTGGGTTACAGAGCTCTCTCCTGTTTTTGCCCCAAACACAGGAGGGACGTGGGCAGAGGGGAGGGACACAACGAAGCAGGAACTGGTGCCTCACTTGTGAGCTGAGCAGCTCTTGTGTTCCTGGGACAGACCGTGGGCGCCGGGCCCGCGGGCGCCGGCGATGTCCGGCTCCCTTTGCTCACCGCCCTCTCTCGTCCCACCTCTTTGCTTGTGATGTTCCTGCCCCATCCTGGGCCTACGGTCACCTCCTCCTCCCAGACCCAGTCGAAGGGTCATCTTCATCAGTCCCCCACTGCCTGGATCGTGGGGATTGGCTCTGCTAGCCTGTGCTCCTAACTGACCAGTGTTCACCAGGCAGTGGTGCCGGAGCAGGCCTGTCTGGGGCACTGTGGGCCCAACAGGGACGGACAGGACAGCACTCACGTGGATCCGTCCCCGAGCTGTGCCAGGGGCCGGGAGCTCCTGTCAGGGGTAGGGCAGCCTGATGGAGGCTGCCTGGAGGGCCTGGAACATGTGGGAGGTTGGGCGGAGTGCAGGGGCATGGGCGGGGCCCTGAGACAGGGGCGGGTGTGAGGAGAGGCCGTGGGGTGGGGGAGCAGTGGGAGCCCCAGGAAGTCAGAGATATGTGTGTGGGGTGCCCCAGTCAGCTGGCAAAAGTTTCTTGGAACTGCTGAGTGGAGAACCAGAGGATGGCACCAAGAGGTGCCAGGCAGGCATGGGGAGGCTCCTGAAGAGGCCGCCCCCCAGCACCCAGCCTGCAGACTCCCAGGAGTGACCCCAGGTGCCCCTCGGCCCTGTTCCTCCCTGGAAGCATTGGCCCGTTTTCCAGGCGAGAACCCTGAGGCTCCATGAGGCACACACATGGTTGGTGGGGGGCAGGAGCAGGCTGACGGTAGCGTAGCCTCCCCACTCTGAAATGCTAAGGGGGTCCCATCCTGTCTGCCCCTCACCCAAAAGGCCCCACGGGGTCCAGTACAATCTTGGGGGTCAGATCTCCTGGGTTCCCACCTGGCAGGCGTGGCCTGACCATGGCTTAGAGGGTGCGCTGGGGATGCTGTCACAGCAATGTAGGTTCTGGAAGCCCATATCTCATCACCACCTGTCTTCCCAGCATGCCTGATGCTGTCTGACATCCCACCGCTACTGCCTGAGCCCCAGAGCTCTGTCTGTTCTTCCCCATCACTTTCTCACCAGTAAGGGGGTCTTAAAACCAACGTGATCTGCGAAGCGGGGGTGGGGGGGGGCGGGCTGGCGGATGCTGACCTGGGACCTGCTGATGCTGTGGCTCAGCCGTGTGGGGACACACCCAGACCAGTGTGTCCAACTCAGTCGTGGTGTGAGTTGGATGATTGATGGTCCCCTGGTTCAGATCCCAGGAGACCCAATTCTCAGGATGCCTTCATGTCAGACACTGGCCCCCCAACCCTGCCCGCCCCCGTCTCCTTCCAGGGTCCCCTCCATGTGACCCCACACTGGGGCCCAGAAGGGGTTCCCAGCTGCGTGCAAACGCTTCCTTTGGCCCTTGCCCTGAGATCAGACCTGGTGACGGCAGGGGAGAGGGGCTTGGCTCTGAGGGGGCTGTGTGGATGGAAAGACCCCTGGGTGCATAGTCAGCTCAGAAAAGAGGCTGGACCATGAGATGGGGCAACAGCCAGGAGAAGGCATCCCTGAAGGACCGAGCCTTCCCTCCGAGCCAGCTCCTGGTTGGTGAAGCACAAGTGGGAGCTGCAGGCAGTAACCTGGACTGTCCCTAGTTGGTATAGGGCCAGCAGGAGTATGTGTGTGACTATTGTCACTAGAAGGGTCACAGAATCCGTGAGCAATGCTCTGCGCCCGTCTCTGGTCAGTAGAGAGCCAATAAGAGGGTGAGCAGTGTCCTGGGCTCAGCACTGTTTGGTGTTAGGCCGGTAGGAGCTGCACCCTGGCCTCGCCCTCAGTCAATTCAGGGCCAGTAGGGCCTGGGACCTGGGTCCTGGGCTGGTCCCTGACTGGCATAGCGCCAATAGAAGGTGTGGGTACTGTCCCAGGCATGTCCCTGGGTGGTGCAGGGCTGGTAGGAGCTGTGAGCAGCATCTGAGGCCTGTCCATGGTTGTTATAGGGCCCTGTTTTGTGCAGAGCCGGGAGGAGCTGTGCTTAGCAGCCTGTATCCTCCCGGGTCTGTGGAGGAGTGGGAGCAAACCTCCTTGGACTTTCCCAGGTCAGTGCAGAGCCGAGTGTTGCTCTGAGTAGAGCCCTGGCCTTCCCTGGTCTGTGTAAGTCCAGTAGGAGCTGGGAGTAGTGTCCCAGGCCTGTCTCTAGTTATGCCACCCTGAAGAAGTGACCTCGGGCATGTCAAGCCCCTGTTCTCCAGGCCTGTTTCCTTAAGTCTTAAGCTATGGGTGAGGCGTCCTCGCCATCTACTCCAAGCTGTTGGGAGGGAGGCTCGGAAGTGGCAGCTGTTTCTAGGGGTGTTGGGTGGTGGGTTGGTTATAGATCCCACAGTTCAGAATCTGGCGGTGTCCGAAGCTCTTTGAGGAGACCAAGGCATTTTGGGGTCTCCGCCCTGAGTATTGCTCGGCTACTCGTCTGGTACCCATGTCCCCTATTGTGCTCAGGGAACGCCCCCAATCTTGGATATCCTGTTTCCATATCCCTTGTGATTCTTCTTTGGGGGAAGGGACTCCAGATTTGTTCTGAAAGTGACATTTTTTAAGGGGAGGAAACCATGGTCACATGACCTTTGCCTCACGGTCACATGGCCAGGCAGTGGTGGCCCAAATCAACCCCTGACCTCTCTGCTCTGGGTCCTGGGCCCTTCCTTACTCCGTGTCTAAGTGACAGATTTGGGGTTAGGGTCTTAGACGCTTAGGTGTGGTGCGGGCCTAGCTGCCCTCCATTATGGAGCTGCTTTGCTGCTGTTTCTGGGTGCATAGCGCACCCTGGTGGTCATGACAGCTGGTTTTCGGGTGGTCCCTTTGGCTTGGAGTGCTCAGGTCCTGCCTGGACAGCCACGTGACCGCTCCTCGGTGAGGTGGAGCCACTCCACACCTCTGCTGGGGGCGTGATTGGCCATCAGTCTCTGCTGCAGATAGCAGGGGGGTTGAGATGGTGAGGTCTGAGATTTGCCCCGTGTGCAGACAGGGGCGAGCTGTTCAGCCTGCTGGTGCCCTCCTGCCCACTCAGACCTATGCACTGGCGGTTCCCTGTGCCAGGAACAACTCCCCACCCGCAGCCTTGCTCACTCGATAACCTCCTTCTAGCCTTTGCTCAGATGTCACCTCACAGGGAGGCATCCGTGTCCCTGGCAACTGTAATGTGCTGATTTTGACTGGCATTTCGCATCTTTTAATTCAGTATATCTACTTACTTCAGGTTTATGGTTTGTCTCTCTCTGGACTATAAGCTCCAGGAAGGTGGGGATTTTGTCTGTTTTGGTTTTTTTGTTTCTCCACCAATGTGTCCCAAGCACCTAGGAGTGGCTCAGAATAGGCGCTCCGATATCTGTCACCTGAATTTATATTGTCTGAGGACCTATTATGTGCCTGGGAACATCTATTGGGATGGACAAGGCAGGGACTGAGCATATCAGTGCTGAGCACATAGTAGGACTTTAGCAACGGGAGCCGTGGCTACTCCTGTTGGAGTTATCACTGCTTCTCCCTCCTCCTGGGTCTGGGCCCTCGGAACCCTCGGACGTCTGTCTGTCCGCGTTGTTATTGAAACACACACCACACCCCTAGGCCAGCCTGGCTGCACCTGGAACCATGAGCGAGGCCCGCAGGGACAGCACGAGCAGCCTGCAGCGCAAGAAGCCGCCCTGGCTGAAGCTGGACATTCCAGCTGCGGCACCCCCAGCGGCTGAGGAACCCAACTTCCTGCAGGTAGGCCCTGGCCAGCTGGGGCTCTGGGTACATCCTGCCCAGCCCCCTGACCACCACCCTGTTGCCCAGCCCCTGAGACGCCAGGCTTTCCTGCGGAGTGTGAGTATGCCGGCCGAGACAGCCCACATCCCTTCTCCATATCATGAGCCCCGTCGGCCAGTGCTGCAGCGTCAGACGTCCATCACACAGACAATCCGCAGGTTTGTCTCCCCTGGCTGCTCCTGGGGGCAGGTGGGACAGAGGCAGGCCTCCGGGGTCCCCTCTGGGGACTGATACTGGGAACGGGGCCAGGGCCCCTCCTGTCTCAGCTTTCTTCTCAGTCTCGTTCCCCGTGTCACCCGGCTCTCCTGCTCTGGGGACTGACTTCCCTCACCTGCCACCCTTCTCTACTCCCCCCCAGCACTTGCTCTCTCCTTCTCTGTCTCCCTCACCCCAATGCTCTGGCTCCTGAACAGCCGACAGGTGCGTTTTGGGCGTGTCCACACTCTGCCACTCTTGGGTTCCCCTGCTGCCTGCAGGGCCCTCCCGCAGCGCTGGTCTCTCTCACGTTCCCTGCTCAGGTACCTTGGGCAGGGCGTGAGTGTGTTAACGTCCGCTGGCATGTGCATGGCGTGGGACCTCTTGGGAGCAATTTGCGTTCCCTGGGGCTCTGAATGGCAGGTGCTGGCGGTGTTTTTGCTTGCACATCCAAGGGCTGTGGGGACCTGCCTGGGCTTGCAATGCCCACTGCCTGAGTGCTGTGCTGTCTGAGGTCAAGCTGCTGCCCAGGGCCAAGCTCTCTCTGGATGAGCTAAGGGATGAGCTCTGAGCACCATCTCTGGACTCTGTGTCTCCCTACAAACCCCTCTCTCAGGGATGGGGTGCAGGCCTGTGTAAAATATTCACCTGGGCGAGGCCTGTCATCTGCAGTTCTAGTGGGAATTTGGAGTTGGCTAATTGTTTAGGGGGATGGAACCCCCCCTCATCCTCTTAATTGGACCCAGCCCAACTGGACCCCAGACCCTGGAGTGACCGGAGGCGTGGGGTGGGGCATGATACCCAAGAGGAGGGCCTCTGAGGCCCCTGCTGGGGCGGGACGAGATCTGGCTTCCGCTTGCTGAGTCCCTCCCATGGTAGGGGCACAGCTGACTGGTTCGGAGTGAGCAAGGACAGTGATAGCACCCAGAAGTGGCAACGCAAGAGCATCCGTCACTGCAGCCAGCGCTATGGAAAGCTGAAGCCCCAGGTCATCCGGGAGCTAGACCTGCCTAGCCAGGACAATGTGTCACTGACCAGCACTGAGACGCCTCCTCCACTCTATGTGGGGCCGTGCCAGCTGGGCATGCAAAAGGTATGCCCACCCCCTGCTGCCTCCCACAGGTCCCTCATGCTGCTCCCTGAGGCTGGGGCTGGGGCCACAACCAGCCTAAGCAGAGGAGGCTCCTTGGGGCTCATGGTCTGGGAGGCTGGTCAGATGGTCTCAGAAGGACACCTAAGATACTCCCTGGGGAGGGGGTTCTGGGGGAGGGGACAGGGTGCTACCATGGTACCATGGGGCCAGCCTCTGCATGGGAGAGCATCCCAGGATGAACAGCAGTGTAAAGGCACTACAGGCGGGGAGAAGGACACTTCTGAGTACAGTGGGGTGGGGGTGGTACCCACCAATGTCCAGGGACCCACGGGTGTGGAGGGAGCAGCAGCTGTGTTCTACATAGTGGGGTCCAGGGTGGGGAAAGAGCCCCGGTGGTGATGACCCAGCCCCCCAACTCCAGCGTCTCCTCCCCTCTGCCAGATCATAGATCCCCTGGCCCGGGGCCGGGCCTTCCGCATGGCGGATGACACCGCGGACGGCCTGAGTACCCCGCACACGCCCATCACGCCGGGTGCTGCCTCCCTCTGCTCCTTCTCCAGCTCCCGCTCGGGTTTCAACCGGCTTCCACGGCGGCGCAAGCGTGAGTCTGTGGCCAAGATGAGCTTCCGGGCCGCTGCAGCGCTGGTGAAGGTGGGTGCGGGGACTGGGGTGGGTGGCGGGTGGGGGTGGGACTGACCTAGTCCCACAGGATGTGATCAACTCCTTGCGCTCTACTCCTTGCCGGCAGGGCCGCTCAGTTAGGGATGGCACGTTGCGCCGGGTGCAGCGCCGAAGCTTCACTCCCGCCAGCTTCCTGGAGGAGGACACCGCTGACTTCCCCGATGAGCTGGACACGTCCTTCTTCGCCCGGGTAAGAGCACAGGGGTGTCATCTGAGCCCCCTCCACCTGTGCACCTCGCCCTGACCGCGCTTATTTGCTCAGGAAGGAGTCCTTCACGAGGAGCTGTCCACATACCCAGACGAGGTGTTCGAGTCCCTGTCGGAGGCAGCGCTCAAAGACTGGGAGAAAGCCCCGGACCAGGCGGACCTCACGGGTGGGGCCCTGGACCGCACGGAGCTGGAGCGCAGCCACCTGATGCTGTGAGTGGCAGCGGTGAGGGGGCGGGCAGTGGGGGCGCTTGGCGGTCAGGAGCAGCTGGGCCCTAGGGCAGGACGCCCTGAAGGGCTGAGGGAAGGGGTCCCTTTGGCTACTGTGGCTGGTTGACCCCAATTTGAGTCTCAGCTGCCCATCTGCGGAACAGGAGCGCAATCCCAGAGCCCGCAGGGGTTAGGCCAGGGAACCCCTTGTAGGTCTGGTCCCACCCGACTGCCACCTCCAGTGGGGCTCAGGACTGCTCCTTACTGGTAAGTTGGAGGCTGCAAAGTGTCTTCATGGCTAGATGGGAGCGAGACAGATGGAAGGTCGCCCTGGTTCCGCCTGGGAGGGACTGCCCAGGAGGGACTGCAGCAAGTCAGGGTCTGGGGCGGTAGGTGACCAGTAGGTGGCCGCGCCTCTTCCTTCAGGCCCCTGGAACGCGGCTGGCGCAAGCAGAAAGAGGGTGGCGCCGCAGCCCCGCAGCCCAAGGTACGGCTGCGGCAGGAGGTGGTGAGCGCGGCGGGGCAGCGGCGGGGCCAGCGCATCGCGATGCCGGTGCGCAAGTTCTTCGCCAGGGAGAAGCGGCCTTACGGGCTGGGCATGGTGGGCCGGCTAACCAACCGCACCTACCGCAAGCGTATCGATAGCTACGTCAAACGCCAGATCGAGGACATGGATGACCACAGGTGGGCATGAGGGGTGGGTGTGTGTGGCTTGCCGTAGGCAAGGCTCCGGGGTGGGGGTGGGGCTCCGGGTTGAAGATGCCGCCTCCACTGACGCTCCGCCCGCAGGCCCTTCTTCACCTACTGGCTCACCTTCGTGCACTCGCTCGTCACCATTCTAGCCGTGTGCATCTATGGCATCGCGCCTGTGGGCTTCTCGCAGCATGAGACCGTGGACTCGGTGAGCCCCGGCGCCCCGGCGCCCCTCCACTGGTCTGGGCCCAGGATACCCTCCCGCCGACTCTGGGCCCGAGTGGACTCCTGATCTCCTTCCCCAACCTCACAGGTGCTGCGGAACCGCGGGGTCTATGAGAATGTCAAGTACGTGCAGCAAGAGAACTTCTGGATTGGGCCCAGCTCGGTGAGGGCGGGGTCTGGCTGGGCGGGTGGGCGAGGACCCTGGGCTGGCAGGGGGCAGGGGCCTCAGCTCCCTGTCCTGATCGCCCGCCCGCAGGAGGCTCTCATTCACCTGGGTGCCAAGTTCTCGCCCTGCATGCGCCAGGACCCCCAGGTGCATAGTTTCATCCGCGCCGCCCGGGAGCGTGAGAAGCACTCCGCTTGCTGCGTTCGCAACGACCGGTCAGGCTGCGTGCAGACCTCGGAGGAGGAGTGCTCGGTGGGTACCCCCTGCCGGCAACTCGCGCCCTTACCTGCACCGTGTGTTTGCGGTTACGTTGTGACTTCAGAGGGAGCTCGTTATCCTTTATCCTAGACCTCGGCACGTTACGCCAGCCACCGACTGTCTGAGCAGCGTCCCTCAAATCACATTCATTACATTTTATTCCCCAGCTCCTCCATCTCACCCCATAGCCAACCATTGTAACATGCCTTTGATTTGGGTGTGCGCTTTCTGCGCAAGTTGTGTTTCTGTGCATGTGCCTTTAGTTTACATACGTGGTATTTCCTTTACCCAAGTTTTTATTGCATCCTTCTGTGAGGAAGTGCCAGAGTTGGTATCAGTTCAGATGTTGGACACTGGTTGTTTCTAATTTTAAGCTAATTGGAATTATGCTGTTGAGCTTATTAACAGAATTTCCCCACATGCACACACATTTGTGGAGTGTAAATTTATGAAGTTGGGGTTGAGCTCAGGAGGATCTCAGTGGATTTGCTTTTTTTTTTTTTTTAATTTTTATTGGGGAACAGCCATGGTCATTGGTTACACATTGCTTTCATGCTACAATGGCATAGTTGACTCTTTTAGGGAGGGCGCAGCTCACAGTGGCCCATGTGGGGATTGAACCGGCGACCTTCGTGTTATCAGCACCACGCTCTAACCAACTGAGCTAACTGGTCATTCCCCATCAGTGGTTTTGCGTTTGATTCCTGCCTTCTGGAGACTGTAGTGGGTGACGGGTGTCTCTGACCTGTGTTTTCCCACAGTCCACGCTGGCGGTGTGGGTGAAGTGGCCTCTTCATCCCAGTGCCCCAGACCTTGCTGGCCAGAAGAGGCAGTTCGGTTCTGTCTGCCACCAGGACCCCAGGTCAGTCCTGTAGCCCCTCCCTTACCTCCCTCTGTCCTTGTCTCCCTGGGTAGTGGGTTGGAGAGGGTATTCCCCTCATTGTGGAGTTGGGTGGAAGGGTGCCCATGTTAAGGGCACAAAGCAGGGCCTGACCACATACTGGGCTCATGCAGGGTGTGTGATGAGCCCTCCTCTGAGGACCCCCATGAGTGGCCAGATGACATCACCAAGTGGCCGGTGAGCCTGGGTGAAGGGGTTGTTGGGGAGTCACCCTTGTCACGTGGGAGAGGCATCCACACCTCACCCACTCGTGATGCCAGGAGGTCCCGCCCATCTTGGGACCACCCTGTTTGTAGATGCAATGCCCCTGACCTTTGCCCAGCTTGTCCCTCCACCAACATCTGCCTCTCGGAGCAGGTAGTCAGAGCAGGAAAACCAGGTAGAGACTTGGGAGGTCAAATGACATTTTTCCAGTTTGACAGATGGCCAAACCGAGGCTCAGGGTACAGCAGCCTCATGGTCAAGGAGGCCTGTTTTCTACTGTAGGAGCCTGCCCATCTCTGTCCCAACCCCCACTCATGGTGTGGGGCCCAGGGTTGGAGGAGGCCCTGACCCAACGCATCCCCATTTGTGACCCAGATCTGCACCAAAAACAGCGCTGGGAACCACACCAACCACCCTCACATGGACTGTGTCATCACAGGCCGGCCCTGCTGCATTGGCACCAAGGGCAGGTAGGTGTGCAAGGGGCAGGGCACTGCTTTGGGGCTGTGCCCGTCTCCCTTACCACGTCCCGAAATAACCCCAGATACTGAGGAGCAGGGGGTAACAAAAGGGTCTGGACTTATCCAGGGCCAACAAAGGTGGGCAAGTGGGGCTGGAACCTGGGCCTGGGTGGTAGAGTGAGTTGGGGGCCTCTGCCCCTGGGCCCCAGAGGTCCCCCCAACCCTGGCCTCACCTTCCAGGTGTGAGATCACCTCCCGGGAGTACTGTGACTTCATGAGGGGCTATTTCCACGAGGAGGCCACACTCTGCTCTCAGGTAGGCCTCCAGGGTGAGTGTCCCTCCCCTCTCCCCCCAGCCACGGAGGGTGCTGACAGGCCACTCTGCACAGGTGCACTGCATGGATGACGTGTGCGGGCTCCTGCCCTTCCTCAACCCCGAGGTGCCCGACCAGTTCTACCGCCTGTGGCTGTCCCTCTTCTTACACGCTGGGCAAGTGATACCCTATGTGCTGAGCGGGGCTGGGTGGGCTGGGTGGTCTCAGGGCCCCAGGAGTGGCGGGCCAGGGGTGCTGGCCCTCCCTGCTGAGTGCCCTCCTTGCCCCACAGCATCCTGCACTGCCTGGTGTCCGTCTGCTTCCAGATGACCGTCCTGCGTGACCTGGAGAAGCTGGCCGGCTGGCACCGAATAGCCATCATTTACCTGCTGAGTGGCGTCACCGGTAACCTAGCCAGTGCCATTTTCCTGCCGTACCGGGCAGAGGTAAGGCTGCCCCCAGGGTCCCTGTCCAGCACTGAGGATGGGTCCCAGCCCGGGAGCATCTTCACTCGGCCCCTCAATCCTGCAGTGCTCTGGGCCATGGGAGGCGGGAGGGGTTATGAGGCTATGGGGCCGGGGGTCCCGCTCAGCCTGCACTGCCCGCCCCCCAGGTGGGCCCGGCCGGCTCGCAGTTCGGCATCCTGGCATGCCTCTTCGTGGAGCTCTTCCAGAGCTGGCAGATCCTGGCCCGGCCCTGGCGCGCCTTCTTCAAGCTGCTGGCGGTGGTGCTCTTCCTCTTCACGTTCGGGCTGCTGCCCTGGATCGACAACTTCGCCCACATCTCAGGCTTTGTCAGCGGCCTCTTCCTGTCCTTTGCCTTTCTGCCCTACATCAGCTTCGGCCGGTTCGACCTGTACCGCAAGCGCTGCCAGATCCTCATCTTCCAGGCGGTGTTCCTGGGCCTCCTGGCTGGCCTGGTGGTGCTCTTCTACGTCTACCCTGTGCGCTGTGAGTGGTGTGAGTTCCTCACCTGCATCCCCTTCACTGACAAGTTCTGCGAGAAGTACGAGCTGGATGCCCAGCTCCACTGAGCTGCTGGGGCGCTGGGGCCACCTGCTGCCGCGGGCCGGAGCCGGGCGGGTGGGCCGTCTACCCCGAGCCTAGCGGTCCACGGACGGGGCTGCCTGAGCCGTGTGGGGTCCGTAGGTCACAGATGGGGCTGCCTAAGCCCTGTGTGGGGTCTGCCTGCGTCTCGGACACAGACCTTGTGTGCCTTGTTCGCTGCTGTCGAACCTCTCGTACTTCCGGGCATTTATTACACTAGTTCCTGTGATTCCCTTCTAACTAGTCTCTTGACGACCACCTCATGTGGCCAATAAATGGACTGGGAGCGTTTTAGCTGCCACTAACTTGACCAGAGTTGCCTCCGCCTTTCTCCTTTCTGGCTGAAGTGTGAAGGAACGAAGTGTCCAAAACACCTCCCAGTGAAGTCCCTCAGCAAGGTGGACCCCCCTTGTCTCCCTTCCTTAGAGTGACTGGTAGCCACAATGAGACACAGACCCAGGGCTGCACTGTCACATCTCCCCCCAACACAACGAGATGCGCTCTCCCTACCCAAGTCAGCAGCTCCAGCTTCAGCCCCAGGCCCCTCCATTTCCAGGAGTTCGGGAAGGCATCGCTGTAGGGGAGCCCTGCGGGCTGGGGCTGGAGGCCCTGTGCGCTCACACACAGGCCCGCTTGTTTCTCCACCAGCAGAACAGAAGGCCAGATGTGCTGCTTTTATTTCCTCCTGGCTGTGGAGCGCACAGTAATGGTCACATGGCCTCTGCAGCCCTTAGGACACACCTGCACCATTCTCTATCCTTGCCTCCTGTGATGGGGCAGCGCCAGTCCCTCCTGCTGGTACTGTGGCTTGTGGACTTTTCAAACTAAGAAGCAAAGAGATTTATTCTGTACACAGGGCCAGTGCCACAGCCCCGTGGGATCTGCCACGAGAGGGTTTCAAGCTCAAGGAGGGGTCAAGCTCAGGCCATGAGCACTGGCTCATCTCGTCCTTGTCCTGAGGGCTCAGAATTCAGACAGTCCCTCTTGTGCACATTTTGACATTCTCCTCTGACAAGGGGACAGTGGCCCAAGGCTGCTTCCTGCTGGGGAAGAGCTTGTCACCAGCACAGAGTTGTCCTTGTCTGGGGGTTCATTTTTGCCTCAGCTTTTTGATGAAGGATACCTCGTCCCGATTCCGGATACCATAACTGAAAGAGAAGGAAAGGTGTCAAGTGTCTGATCTACAGAAGGGTACGTCTGTGACTCCTCACCTGAGGCTGGTGAGAAACCCAGAAAGAACAGGTGGGTAGGGGGCAGTGGGCAGCCTTTCACCCCTATGCACACTCTTCCTTCCCTCTTCTGGCTCTGCAGCCCTGCACTGCCACTGGTGAGAGGCAGCAGGCCCCTCATACTGCTCCTCCATCGCCCATTCTCCCAGTATAGGGAGGACCCCCTGCGGGAGGTGTCAGTACAGCCAGGGGCTCTGTAGGTCTCACACATTCCCCAGGAACTGACCAACGATCCCTCCCTCCTGGGAGGGGGCCCCAGGCTTCTGGCAGAGCACGTGGAACGACAGGGCACAGCCCAGATGCCTCCCTGCAGCTCAACATGGGGCCTGAACTTACTCTCGCAGCTTCTTCCTGTCCTCTGTGAGCTTCTCTCCCGCAGAGGTCAGATGGTACGTCCTCCACACGTAGGACCTGTGAGATGGGGATTCAGGGAAACCACGAGCAGGGTGAGGGGGGCAGCTGGGATGCAGACGCTGTGCCTGAGAATGGCTCATGGTGCCCGGGCAGCCGGCCTCCTCTTTTGGGCTCTTTTCCTGCACACTGTGCATCAGGCTAGAGGCAGCTATAAGGAGGCCTTGCTCTAAAAGGGCTACATGAGGCACACAAGTGAGAGGATGGGGCTGCTGATACCTGCACCATCTGTAACTAGGGGGACCACTTCTGGATACATCACAGATGCCCTCAGGCGTCTCTAAGTACTGATACCCAGCTGCCTAGGTGGTGTATGTAGATGAAAGAGCAGCTGACGCAGGGCTCCCAGGCACAGAAGCACCTGTCCTGTCTGAAGGCTTGGGGCAGGGAACCCATCACTTTAGTCTGTACTTTGTAACAGAACCCAGTGGTTAAAAGCACGTGGAGTCCTGTGAAGTCCCACCCCAGCTCGCAGGAGATGCAAGGAGCCACTGTTTCACTTACCAGCTGATGTGCTGGATGCCCCCTTCCCGCTCCTGCCTGAGCTGCACGTATCTCTGGATGGCCTTCTTCAGGTCCAGGACCGTGGCGTTCTGTACTACGACCACAGCTGCAACCAGGGACACAAAAGGGAGATCCATGGTGGAAAGCCACAGCCGCAGCCTCAGATGGCAGGAGAGGAACCCAGACACTCTCTCAAACCTTATTTCTGACTGAGGCTCAAATCCGGTCAGGGTGTGGCTTGTGGTTGCCCCAACACCCATAGGCATGGCCCTGGAGTGTCCCACTGACCAGGCCCTGTGAAAACTCAGACAGCATGGCCTAAAGGGAAGAGGGCAGCACTTACGCATGACTTCTCCATCCATCTTGCACACTCGGACGGTCATTGCTTGGCCATACTCTAGGGCTATTTGGGAATTGACCTCTTCCAAAGTAACCTAGAAAAGACCAAGGATGGAGGTGGGAACCCTGGCTGTCTTGACCACCCCAAACAAGGTGATGGTGTCTAAAAAGTGGTGCAGGGCTGGCCAAGTGGTGCATTGGTTAGGAGTTGGCTTGGGATGCCAGCTCTGAGCAGCAGGGGCCCGGTTTGGATCCCACATGAGGGCCAGTGACGCTGCACCCTCTACAGTTCAGATGGTGAACAACAGCTCGACGTGGAGCTGGGCTGCCGGGAGTCACCAGTGACAGCGTAGGCTGCAGTAGGGCTGGCCAGCAGCAGGCATGAGCTTTCCTGAGCTGCCGTGAGCCACCGTGAGCAGTTGTCCAATGGCTGGCGGGTGATTGCCTCACCCAGGAAGAGTGCAATAATACCAACATTGGCCATTGAAGCAACATCATCCACAACTAGACTGAAGAACAAAAGAACAGCAACTTGTCTGTTCCCTTCCCCCAATTCCCCAATAAAATCTTAAAAAAAAAAAGTGGTACAATATTATATGAAAGAGAAGGGAAGGGGTTCTTGCTTATACGTTAGGGTTCCCAGTTGTTCATCATCTCAATCTCATGTTCCACCCACATTTTCTATTTAAAGTCCAAAGTGGACAGAGGCTCTGAAGAAAGGAGCATAGGAACAAGCAAGAAGAATGGATCCTGCCATTCAGGGGCTGGGTAGGAGGAAGAATCCTGGGCCTGTCAATCCAGTCTGATCCCCAAGATCCAAGCAGGCCAGGGCCTCCAGGCAAGGTTGAGGCAGGTGTGCAATGATAAACATTGCAATGCAACTTTTATGAAAATATAGAACTAAACTTCAAAACTCCATGATGGACAAAGTAATATTGAAGTCTGACAAGGGAAAAACCAGCACTAATGATCTTGTCCTTATTATTTTGTTTGCAATAGGTTTTGCACCAACTTTGAGTTATAAACACATTGTATTAAAATGTCATGTATCCGGGGCTTTTTTTGGCACCTCTTTAAATTCCGAGCCTGAGCTTCGCGCCTCGCTCGCCCCACCCTAGGCCCGGCCCTGGTTAAGACCCTCATTTACGCCCAGAGGTGCCTTCCTGAGGCCTCTGGGCCGCAGCCCCCATCAGCAACTCCAGGGATCTGTCCACATCCTACGAACGGCCCGGCGGGGAACGCCCCCTGCACCCTGCCCACGAGCACCTGGATCGGGAGATCGCAGAGCAGTGGGTCCTGCACCACCATGGCGAGACCCTCCTGGAACACGTCCACGGCGTCGGAGTGCGGCAGCGCCTCCTCTTCGTCTTCATCGTCCTCCTGCGCCTCGGGCTGTGCCTCGGGCTTTGCCGCCGCCTCCGCCTCCTCCAGGACGCCCGGCTGCCTACTCCGCCCGCACCTTCTGTCTGCAAAACCCAGGACAGGCGCTTCCGCCCGAGGAGCACAACACGCAGTTCCGACATTAGAACGTCAACAGGCCGCTGCCGCGAGGACCAATGAGAAGTGCGAGATGCCCTGCTGCGGTGCTCGCTGGGAGCGGAAACCGGCGTGTCTATTGGTGGGCGAAGGCGGCCAGGACCAATAGGGCTCGAGGCGGGCCCAGGGTTCTGAGCGGCCGCGGGGTCTGCCGGGAGCCTGTGGGGCCGAGTCCGCCGTCATGCTGCTTTTCTGTCCCGGCTGCGGGAACGGGCTGATCGTGGAGGAGGGACAGCGCTGCCACCGTTTCGCCTGCAACACCTGCCCTTACGTGCACAACATCACCCGCAAGGTGGGTCCTGGAGCCCGGCGTCGGGCCGGGGCGCCTCCCGCAGGCCTCCCGCTTCCTCTGCCCTGCTCCACGCCTACCAGAGCTCTCACCGTGGATTCCCTTGCGGTGGTCGCAACAGAGGCCATAGTGGTCCTTTGAACGCCTAAGTCAGAGCGAGTTCGTCTGGCGCTCGGTAACCCTCAGCGGTTCTCCAGCGTGAAATGGGCTCACAGGGCAGACCGAGCGCTGACACTAAACCCCTCTACCTCCAGTCTTGCTTTTCTCATTTCAGGAAAGGCGCTCTTTTGCCCCCAGAAACACCAGTCTCTTGGAGGATCTCCCATGCTGGACGTGGCATGACTACCAGGGCCTTTGCCCATATTTTCCCGTTCGGACTTCCCCTAGATAGCCATGCCACTCTTTTATCATGTCTCCACGTAAATGATTACTCAATTTAAAATTGCAGCTCTTCTATTTTTATCCTCCTTCCCTGTTTTATTTTTCCTATAGTACTTATTGCCTTCTAATACACTTTATAATTTACTTATGTGCTTTGTTTATTAATACCAAGACAGAAGCTGTCGGAGGGCAGGGATGTTTATGTTTTGTTCCCTCTTGTGTTCTAGTCTGAACACCTAGAAGGGAACCTAGGATGTTGTGGGTGTTTGGTACGTGAATGATGCTCACTGTATTAGAACTTGGTATTTTTCCCTTGATAGCACATCTTTACCTTTAATTTTAATTTTATTTTAAAAAAGATTTTATTGGGGAATTGGGGGAGGGAACAGCTTTGG